TGAAAAAGCTGAAACTAGTATTCTTTAGAACAGCATACAAATTCTATGGAATGAAATCATACACAAAAGCTCGTCAAAAACCTATAGCTCAATAATCAAATGGAATTTGATGCATGTGCGCAAAAATGTGCGCGTTACCACGTACAACCGAAGCACGCAGGAAAATGCGTGTGATGTACTAGTATTCAAAACGTTTGACTCAACTATGTTGGCATAACAGGTGCACATCTCGGTTTCGCATACGCATACCTTCTATCTCCACAAGGATATATTAATTTTGCCAAAGTCAATGCAGCACTGAAAGGTTGCGGTTCTTCCAAAAGAAAACACGTTACACATCTTTAGATACCAGTGGATGGTATTACATGGCCTTGTTCGGAGTGAAAGACGAGGTCAAATATTCCAATCCAATTCAACTAATAAAATATTTCACAAGTCCCTAAGCTTAAACTAGGAAAACGAAATGCCAAATGTGGTTTGAAGAGCGCAATAGAAAGTGGCTAGATGCTGTCGATGGATCTTGGCTTGTATTAGTGAAATAAACTACCATTTATTCTACTAAAATTGAATTTCTGACATTGTAAGGAGATTCAATGTTACTATGTATGCAAACCTAAACCATGTAGTTATGAAATAATTGTTTTTAACAAAAAGGCGCTCTCGAAGTATTTGTACCAAGATGGCGCACAACCTGAACACAACCTGTATGGTTACCAGGTTAGGGTTCAGAATGTGCGTCATCTTGGACCGAATACTTTAAATCCACTTAAAAAAAATTGCTCAACATTACTCCACACCCACCTGGGTATCATTATATATGTCACATACATTATATCTAAACAACAAAAAAAAACTTTATGTCCCAAAACAATGTTAAGGCCCGATTCTGCCGGACTATCTTATCCAAAATGTATAGTTTACAAAAAACAAATTAAAATATAAACCTCACTGATAAATGGTGGCACAATACAAAATACACCCATATAATGTGAACGTAAATTAATATGTCCGTTTCTGCTTGTCTAAAGCCCTGCTTAGAGTGATATCGTGTAACGCCATATTAATATATTGTAGCCCAATACATGATCTATGGCTGGACATAAAATAACAAGTCCCTCCTTATGTGTGTGTGGTAGGGAGGCCGCTGCCCTCACTGAGTTTGTTAACGTATAGTCGCAGACGCCATTACGGGTCATCAGCTCTATTTTGTTACTGTGACGTCGCATTGGCGTAATTTGTTGATGACGAAGTCAGGTGAGGGTCAGGAATATTATATGCAAAAATTGTTACGCTAAGTTAACTATAGATAATTGAGGTACGAAACTACATCCATAGGTGTCATTACGAATATCGTCGCTATTATTGTGCAAGCCGTATTTCGTGATTGTGACGTTTCTGTGACGTACTTTTTGGATGACGAAGTCAGGTGAGGGTCAGGAATGATATATGCAAAAATAGTTACGCTAAGCCTAATAGAAGTTATTGAGGTACGAAACTACACCCATGGCGTACACACAGGCGTAATTATTACGAGTTCTTTATTGTCGCTATTATCAGGCAAGTTCTATTTCGTTATTGTGAATTCGCATTGACGTAATTTTTTGATGACGAAATCAGGTGAGGGTCAGAAATATTATATGCGAAAAATGTTACGCTAAGTTAACTAGAAGTTATTGAGGTACGAAACTACACCCATAGCGGACACACAGGCGTATTTATCACGATTGCATTATGGTCGCTATTATTGGGCAAGCTCTATTTCGTTATTGTGAATTCGCATTGACGTAATTTTTGGATGACGAAGTCAGGGCAGGGTCAGGAATATTATATGCAAAAATAGTTACGCTAAGTTAACTAGAAGTTATTGAGGTAAGAAACTACATCCATAGGTGGCATTACTAGTAATCGTCGCTATTATTGGGCAAGCGTTATTTCGTGATTGTGACGTTGCAGTGACGTAATTTTTAGATGACGAAGTCAGGTGAAGGTCAGGAATGATATATGCAAAAATTGTTACGCTAAGTTAACTAGAAGTTATTGAGGTAAGAAATTACACCCATAGCGTACACACATGCGTATTTATCACGATTGCATTATGGTCGCTATTATTAGGCAAGCTCTATTTCGTTATTGTGAAGTCGCAGTGACATAATTTTTGGATGACGAAGTCAGGTGAGGGTCAGGAATATTATATGCAAAAATTGTTACGCTAAGATAAGTATAAGTTATTGAGGTAAAAAACTACATTCATAGGTGGCATTACTAGTAATCGTCGCTATTATTGGGCAAGCGTTATTTCGTGATTGTGACGTTGCAGTGACGTAATTTTTGGATGACGAAGTCAGGTGAGGGTCAGGAATCATATATACAAAAATTGTTACGCTAAGCCTAATAGAAGGTATTGAGGTATGAAACTACACCCATAGCGGACAGACAGGCGTAGTTAACACAATTGCATTATGGTCGCTATTATTAGGCAAGCTCTATTTCGTTATTGTGAAGTCGCATTGACGTAATTTTTGGATGATGAAGTCAGGTGAGGGTCAGAAATATTATATGCAAAAATTGTTACGCTAAGATAATTAAAAGTTATTGAGGTAAGAAACTACATCCATAGGTGGCATTACCAGTAATCGTCGCTATTATTAGGCAAGCTCTATTTCGTTATTGGGACGTCGTATTGACGTAATTTTTTGATGATTAAATCAGGTGAGGGTCAGGAATATTATGTGCAAAAATTGTTACGCTAAGTTAACTAGAAGTTATTGAGGTACGAAACTACACCCATACCGGACACACAGGCGTATTTATCACGATTGCATTATGGTCGCTATTATTGGGCAAGCTCGATTTCGTTATTGTGACATCGCATTGACGTAATTTTTGGATGACGAAGTCAGGTGAGGGTCAGGAATGATATATGTAAAAATTGTTACGCTAAGATAAGTATAAGTTATCGAGGTAAGAAACTACATCCATTGCGCTAAGGCAAATTAATATGTCGGTTTCTGCTTGTCTAAAGCCTTGCATAGAGTGAAAGCGTTCCACGTCCTATTAATAAAATGTGGCCCAATACATGATCAGTCTCTGGATATTAAATAACAAGTCTTTATGTCTGCGGCACCTAACCTCAATCATTGCGTGAATTAAATGTTCTTTCTGTTTGTCTAAAGCCTAGCTCAGAGCGGTATCGTATATCACCCTATTAATAGATCGTAGCACAATACATGAGCTATTGCTGGACATAATAATAAAATAATAAGTCTTTATGTGTGTGGTACCCAACTTCAACCATTGCGTAAAATAACATGTATTTTCTGCTTGTCTAAAGCCTTGGTTAGAGTTGTATCGTATAACGCTCTATTTTAGATTGTAGCACGATACATGAGCTATTGTTGGACAGAAATTGGTCAGAATGGGATATCGTGAACGTTCCTTGGCGACAATTTAGTCGCTTGTGATTCTTGTTTATTTTGAGCTCTGTACAACGACCCCGATAAGAGAGAGGTCGCTGACGTATTGAGTTTGTTGTCATACTCGTAGGCGCCATTACGGGGGACCGTCGCTATACTTTGGCAAGCTGTATTTCGTTATTGTGACGTCGCAGTGACGTAATTTTTGGATGACGTCATCAGGTGGGGGTCAGGAATCATATATCCAAAAATTGTTACGCCACGCCCACTAGAAGTTATTCAGGTAAGAAAGTACATGAGACCCGTGGATCCTAGCCAGCAGTAGACTATGGGACCATTTGGTCGAGAAATTCCTAGACTTTCGGGTTGGTTTCTTTGTTTAATGTGTTTTTATTTTTGCACCGATTGACTTGCGGAACTGAGGAGCCGGGGATAATGGATGATATGAATATTTCGTGGACTGTTTTGTTGAACACCATTGCACCCAGGTTTCGTTCAAGTGAAATCGATATGGCGGACGAAAATGTCTAGTGGTGAAAAGACTGTGTGTTCCAAGTTGCAGCAGAGGTCGGGAAATGAAATCTTCCCCCCTTGGTGTTGTGTAGAACAGTGTTTTTTTTATGAGTGAGCTTTCGAGTAATGATGGTGGCTCAATATGCAGGCGGCGGTTGAGGCTGGCTGGACTTTTGTGACCGGTTTTCAGAAATGGGATTGAGTCATGAGTGTATTGACTTCAGTGGTGGAGTCCTGAAGTGTTAGAATCTCATTGTGTGTGGTCGATATGAGCCAATAACCGTTGCATATCGAAGCGGGAGCCCTGTGGGGTGGAGTAAATTCAAGAGGGAACATTTCCCCCAATTGCTGAGATGACCAACGCGTGGATACAGAAAGAAAACTGTCCGAGTTATATTCTGGCTGGTTGTGTTTGAGAGCGATTTATCAAACTCGAGAAATTGCGATTATAATTTTGTGTGTTATATTGTTTGTTCCATTTCATTCGTGATAACTTTGATTTTCTTTTACTTATGTTGCCACGTTAGAACTTCTCGGGTAAATATGCCTCTAGTTTGAAGAGGGTGGGGTACATACATTTTTGAAAATTGGATATTTGGGGTCTTTTGAATTTAAATTAGTGTATTTTCCATATATATCTGTTTCATATTTAGGACAGGAAGTTTTATTTTTAGAAGGAAACTTGTTGAGTTTCATTCTGAACAAGGAAGGGGCTCTGTTACGGACTAAAGTGTCTGTGTTTATATTGTGTATATATATATATATTTTTATGTTTATAAACAGTTATGTTGACCCTTGTTCAATGCTGTTTTGTCGGATCTGAACTTCGACCACTCACTACACGTGAGAGAAAATCTGTGTCTTTCGATCTCTTTCTCCGGCCGTTGGGCTGGAGGTCGGTTGCGTCCTCTGTTTTAACTGTGAAGCTGCCTCATAATAAACCACAAATCCAGAATCTGATTCTTTCAACACACAGAATAAAAACCTATCTGTGATACTCATCCCGCAAGTTATGCCGACAAAATATGCCTCAGGCTATCAGGCAGACTGAACATGCAGAATGGTCGCTCGTCCGCACTAGAAATATTATGTTGAGAGTTCTAATTCAAACTGGAACTAGTCTAATGTTGAGTATGTTATGTGAGGAAGACATAATAATAAAATATTTGTTCAATTGAAATTTGAGCAAAAAAGACGGGAACTTTTACATTTGAAGTGTCCTAAAACATATATGGCTGTGGCTTTGGTTTTATATATATAAGTAATGAATCGAGTCGGATGTATTTTCCTGTTTTTTTTGGGACTGATATTTGTGGCAATGCTTCCACGCATGCGAGTTGACTACAGTATGTTCAAAAATGCACCCTCAAATGTGGCAAATCACTACAACATTAAGTCCATGCAAACTGCTCAAGATGGCAATTTTACTTTATCCAAAACACAAATTTATCCGATACCGAATTGCCAAAATTTGCTTATAAACATGACTTCGGGTCATTGGGTGAAGAAGGAAAATTTGGAAGAATATGCCGATAAAAGACTTCAAATAATGGAAGAAGAAAAAGAAATTTGGTACCATTTGAATGAGTTCTGGAAGAAGAGAAGAGTTACTATGAGCTTTTGGAGGTCCGATGGCAAATGCGGATATAGAGTGTGAGTAATATGACATATTTTAAAAATTAATGTTTCAAATGAAAAGTCAATTTTGTAGAAGTATTGATCCACATGAATACGCACTTACACGGGACATTCTACACTAGTTTATGCCATGTCACATACCCATTTTTGATGGACGTTTTACATATTATTCTCCTAATTGAGACAAGATCTAATAATACTGTATGAACAATAAGACTGTAAGTCGAGCATAGCTTACACAATGTAATAACTAATTAAGGCCTTAGGCAATGTATCATTCCTCTTAATCATACCTCCATCTACCCATCTAAACCTAGATGAGCTGATACCTTCGGCACCAATCAAGTCAATAAAGCCTTGGTCGCTGAATTTGTAGTCTGATAGACAGCAATGCCGGTAGAGCTGAATTTGTCCACAGACTAATATTTGCTAATGAAAGGCATAGCAGGAGTGTAAGCAAAATATTCTATCTATTTGAATGTTATGTGCATTTTATGTTTTTTATCAGAAACCAGAAACGACCTCCGAATAGTACGTGGCTTCTGACAGGATCTTGGTGTGATAAATACAGCAGTCGTCCATGCTGCAGTAATGTTAATTCTGGATTTTGTTCGGCACCTTCAGGGAATAATTGTAATTGTTACAGGTAATGAAACCGAAATATTCGAAATATATACTTTTTTTTACATACTCAAGGCTTAGTCTAAGTCTGTTCCAATTGACATTTTAGGTGCTACGACACAAGAAAGATAGCCCATGCCGAACTTAGCAAATGGATTACGACGGATGCCAGATGTACATGGCATTATTATTCTACAGAACAGGCATGCGACATCATCGAATCATCGAAATACAGCAATATTATTTTTGCTGGAGATTCATTGAACCGTAACATGTTTAGTGCGTTAATGTCGTTGCTAACCGGAGACATAGTTTCCGGGTCTCTACCCAGAGGGAGACTTTCCGGAAGCTGGAGAAAAATATGTACTGGGCCTGAAAGATATTACTGGAAACAATGCCGCGAGTCGCCTATGTATTTAGGATGGGGGTTAGAGAAATATCACGAAGGCGTAATTAAGACGTGCATGCAGAATATAAACACCGTGTTTAAAGCCAAACGTGCGTGGATAGGAAACTTGGGCATATTTAAAAAAGAAGTAGAAACTATCCTGGGTCAGAAAGGTTCACTTTTAGTTTTTGGATGCGCATTACATATTAACTGTCAACCTGAGAAGTTTGTAGAAAACTACCTTACTCTAGTATTAGACATGATTAATCAGTACTATCGTACAAAAACGAATGACCGCAACGAAGAGAAATGGCCAAAGTTAATGGTTACCTCAGCTCCGAACTCTGGCCTGATGAAGCCAAAAATCTTTCAAGTCTCACAGGGGAGCGATACATGCAGCAACTTCAATCGTGTTGTCCGAGACACTTGTAATAAGATTAAAATTCCATTTCTTGATTTCTTTCCATTTACAACGGGAGTTTTTAGTTTTGATGGAACCCATCATGCTTATGACGTCAACGCATTAAAAGTTCAACTATTTTTAAATTATATAGCTAGTGAAAAGTGAACAAAACTTAAGCATAGTTTTTATTATATATATATATATATATATTGTGATCATTTGTACCATTCTTCAATGTTTCATTCTGCTCTATTTATATATGTGTAGGGCATCTCTCACAGTGTTACCTGACCTAGTTGTACACAAACTTGAGGAAGCATGAAGTATTGTTTGTGTCCAAAGCAGAATTTGTAGCAGAGACAACAAACAAGAAGAGGAGTCGAAATTGAATTAGTTTTATCAGTGAAACTGGTGTCTTGTGTGGTCGAAGATATGATATTGTTGTTATTCTAACTAGTTAATAACGCCTTATCTCGGAATTGAAAATAAATTTGAACTATTTCTATATCTTAGTCTACTACGCGCGATTCAAATCTTAATTGTATAGCAAACAATTCGACAAAATTATTGCATTAAGTTTTGAGGGCTTATATCATAGACTTGTCCGAGTAACATATATATAAGTGTAGTTTAATGAAGTGCGCGGGCATACTTCGTTCCCACAACTTGTAACGAACAACCTTACCAACTATTTGCATTCGAGCATATCACAAAGTATATTTGAAAGATAATCAGGAACAGCAAAAACATGTAAAGAAATCATTTTCCTGCTCTGAATAAAACCACATTTTAATGGCACGATTAAATTTGTATTTTACTTGCCGTTATTGATATGTGTATATAACAAATTTGAAAAATAAGTAAACCACCAAATAGCTATTACAAACTTAAAAATAGCATATATATAGTTTGAAATTGTGAACTGGGTTTTTATTGATAGCTTACGATGTTTAAAAAAGCCTCAAACATCGAATTGGTTAGGCACCGGGCATTGGTTATTATAATTTAGAGATGATTGAAACCGCTAGATGGCTATTGCCTTTATTTTCAAATCTCCTCCGAGTCCTATGCAGCGCGATATTTCAACCAAAATTTTGCTATTTCTACGAATGCGCGGCATTACGTCAGACCAGTCCTATATCTTCACGACAATGTCGGTGCTCAGTCTTACTGGCACCGAAGTGAACTGTTACGTCGGTGGGACTTGATTCGGAATTTTACCTTGAATCTTTTCAATGATTATAAAGTACGTCGCATAATATGCTATCTGTAATGTTTATACACTCATGTTATTGGACACGAAATGAACCTATGGATCGTTTTGTGATTATGTTGTTGTTCTCATTCTTCTTGTTGATATCTTTCTTTTCTTCTTACAGTGGACATAAATGTGGCAGTGAAAATTAACCCTTTTATTCGCTGCCACCTTGAACATGTGGACAGGTAGTAAGATGCGTAATTTTGTTGGTTTCAGGGCACGCTATATTGATGGGATGAACATCATGTGCTCAGTTTCTAGCAAAATCGAAATATATATGGGATTTTATTTTAGAGGAATTCAGATTCTAAAATGAGGGAAATACTTCCAGACAGATACGGGTTAAGTTTTGATTGAATCCGCACATCACTATCTTCAATGGCAAACCGCCGTACCGGTAGCTTGTGCGATATACAGTATACACTCGCTACCCATCATTTTAAATCTTCAAATCGGAATTGCTATCCCTGAAAAAGTTGCAAAAAGCATAATACTGTAAGCCTCTTGTGACAATATCAATCTTTAACTGTTTAGAATTAAAAAAACTTGCTCGCGTAGTCGTCAAGGAAGGCAATATTAATTAATAAAATACCAGGTACTCTTGAAGTATGCGTACCAAGATGGCGGATACCGGAACGTAGTATGTGTACCAGGTTAGGAAGGCAATAATTTTGGGTAGAACTACGGGAGTCACTTGGCTAGTTTCCGAACTCACTCACTCATAACAATACTCATAATAAGGAAAAGTGGAATAAAGCGACTTTGTCGTAAAGATATAGGAATGGTCTGACGTAATGTCACGCTTTGACGCAAGAATCGTAGAAAATGGCAACATTTTGGTTGAAATATCGAGCTTCATAGAACTCAGACACGATTTGAAAATAAAAGTAATAGCCTGTCAGCGGTTTTAACTCTTTTTAATTACTGATTTTTCCGAACAACAAATGCCACCCCAACCACAGCAACAATATATCACAACAATCTACGTGTCCAAATAGTATATATTGGCATAGAAGTGCTATCATATCAGATGGATTGCTCGTTGATCCGATTGTGTTGTGGTCGTCTGTTAAAAAGCTATTGAATTTAAACCTAAAAAAGTCCTAAGCTAATTTTCAAAATAGCAAATTGGCGCTAAAAATCGGCATTTGGTTCACTGCTTAGGGCTTTAATAAATACCCAGTTCACAATTAAAATTTGATAACGTTGAGTAAAATTCAAATTTAGTTGTTCTAATAAGATGCAGTTTCATTCAGAGCAGAAAAATTATCCATTTTCATTTTTGTGCAGTTCCTGATTATCTTTTAAATATATATACTTTGTGATATGCTATCTTTATTTAACTACACGTATATTACTTCGAAAAGTCTATGAAATAAGCCCCGAAATATATGAATTCTTACGGCAAGAATTTTGTCGAATTTTCCTGCTATGCAATCAAGTTTGGAATCGCGCGAAGTAGACTAAGATACCTATAGAAGGAGTTCGGATGGATTTTTAATTTGAAGATAAGACGTTAATTAGTTAGAATAATCACAATATCATATCCTCGACCACACATCACACCAGTTTCATTGATAAAACTAATCCGATTTCGACTCTTCTTCTTATTTGTTGTTTCTACTACAAATACTGCTTTGGGCACAAACAATACTTCATGCTTCCTCAAGTTTGTGTACAACTAAGTCATATAACATTGTAAAAGCTGACTCAAAGAAATATATAGCAGAATGATACAATGAAGACACGTGCACAGGATCACGATATATAATAAAAACTATGCTTAAGTTTTGTTCACTTTTCACTAGCTATATAATTTAAAAATAGTTGAACTTTTAATGCATTGACGTCATAAGCATGATGAGTCCCATCAAAACTAAAAACTCCCGTTGTAAATGGAAAGAAATCAAGAAATGGAATTTTAAGCCTATTACAAGTGTCTCGGACAACACGATTGAAGTTGCTGCACGTATTTGGGCCCTGTGAGACTTGAACCATTTGTGGCTTCATCAAACCGGAATTCGGAGCTGAGGTAACGATTAACTTTGGCCATTTCTCTTCGTTACGGTCATTCGTTTTTGTACGATAGTACTGATCAATCATGTCTAATATTGGAGTAAGGTAGTTTTGTACAAACTTTTCAGGTTGACAGTCAATATGTAATGCGTATCCAAAAACAAAAAGTGAACCCTTTTGACCTAGAACAGTTTCTACTTCTTTTTTAAATATGCCCAAGTTTCCTATCCACGCTCGTTTGGCTTTAAACACGGTGTTTATATTCTGTATGCACGTCTTAATTACGCCTTCGTTATATTTCTCTAATCCCCATCCCAAATACATAGGCGACTCGCGGCATTGTTTCCAGTAATATCTTTCAGGCCCGGTACATATTTTTCTCCAGCTTCCGGAAAGTCTTCCTTTGGGTAGAGACCCGGAAACTATGTCTCCAGTTAGCAACGACATTAACGCACTAAACATGTTACGGTTCAATGAATCTCCGGCAAAAATAATATTGCTGTATTTCGATGATTCGATGATGTCGCATGCTTGTTCTGTAGAATAATAATGCCATGTACATCTGGCATCCGTCGTAATCCATTTGCTAAGTTCGGCATGGGCAATGTTTCTTGTGTCGTAGCATCTAAAACGAAGTTAACCAAAAATTATCAGTCGAACTGATTTGCAGGAATACGCTGGTGAATATAAAGAAATACAATACAGTTTCAATAATTTGAATCAACGAATTTACAGTAAAATAAAAATGCTTTGGGCGCTGGTTTGATTTCGGAAAAATGTTTTTGATTCCAAGTCTATTTGCAAATATGCGAAAATCTCTTTTTGCGTTATTTTCAAATAAACGGCTCACTCAATAACACCTATTGAGATACCTCAAAACAGTTGCGCTTACAAAATAATTTATATAGTAAATATAATTGTGGCGTTGAAATAAGATTTTGTGTAAAGCAATTTCACATGGTATGCAAAACAAGTTTTAGTTTCAATTAATGACGAATTACGAAATCGAATCTACCGCAATGTACATATCAATTGGAACATACTTGGACTAAGCCTGGAGTATGTTAAGACCCACGAATATTGAGTTTGAACACAAGATAATTGCTTTACCCGTTACAATTACAATTTTCCTCTGAAGGTGCCATACAAATTCCAGAATTAACATCACTGCAGCATGGACGACTGCTGTATTTATCACACCAAGATCCTGTCGCAGGCCACGTACTATTTGGAGGTCGTTTCTGATTTCTGAGAAAAAATATAAAATACACATAACATCAAATAGATAGAAAATAATTTGCTTACACTCTTGCTATGCTTTCCATCACCAAATATCAGGTTTGTGGGCAACCTCAGCTATATCTTGCAGTATTGCTGTTTATTAGACTAGCGGCTTAGGCTTTATTAACTTGAGTGGTGCAGAAGGTATCATCAGCTCATCTAGGTATTGGTGAGAGGAATGAGACATGGCCTCAATAGTTAATACATTACCGTAGCCCACTACCTATTGAATTGTCAACGATATCACCATCAAAGAAGCCCATTCATTAGCAAAGCCAGAAAACTTAAATTGAAAATAACTTGGAAGAAGTGCTTAGTAACATGGACATTATTGACACTGTTATCGAATTTGTTTTGTCTACGGGCAGAAATGTTTAGAAATAATTACTTATTGTAATTGATTCAATTGTATAATTATATATTCGTAAATATTCGTATTATATGTTAGTATAGTATTTTTAAATTTGAATTGATCAATGGCGCAAAAGACCGCTGAAGTTATAAGCGCCATAAAACATATAACAACAACAACAACAACAACGAGCTATGCTTGACAAACAGTCTTTTTGTTCATACTGTATTACTAATTTTGTCTCAGTTATTGCTTATAGAACTCAAATAGGAGAATGATATGTAAAACGTCCTTCAAAAAATGGGTATATGACATGGCCTAAACTAGTGTAGATTGACCCGTGTAAGTGCGTATTTATTTGTTGAAACTTCTCTGTTGAAATTACTCACACTTTATATCCACATTTGCCATCAGACCTCCAAAAGCTTGTAGTAACTCCTCTCTTATTCCAGAACTCATTCAAATGGTACCAAATTTCTTTTTCTTCTTCTATTATTTGAACTCGTTTATCGGCATATTCCTCCAAATTTGTTTTTTTCACCCAATGACCTGAAGTCATATTTATAAGCAAATTCTGGCAATTCGGTAACGGATAAATTTGTGTTTTGGAGAAAGTAAAATTGCCATCTTGAGCAGCTTGCATGACTTTTATGTTGTAGTGATCCGTCACATGTAAGGGTGTATTTTCAAACACTCTGTAGCCAACTCGCATGAGTGAAAGCATTGCCAATAATATCAGTCCCAGGATAAACAAGAAAAAAGACCGGACTCGATTCATTTCTTATATAAAATCAAAGCAACAGTAATATATGTTTTAAGACACTCCAAATGTAAAACTTCCCGTGCCTATTGCTCGTCTCCTTTGATTAAATAACAGCTCTCAATTGAACAAATATTTTATTGCCCTTCTAACATAATATAATCAACAATACTCTATTCATTTTGAACTAACACCATCCACATAGTATTTCTTGTGCGGACGTGCGACCATTCTGCATGTTCAAGCTACCTAACAGCCCGAGGCATATTTTTGTCGGCATATCTTGCGAAAGAAGCGCAAAAAATAAAGGTTTGGATTAGCACGTACTCGTCCTCTTTAAGAAGGAAATTTCTCATGGTAATTATTTCATACAAATTCCATAATCATAACGTCATAATATGACGTCACCAATTTGTTGTATTACATCAGCATAACATAATAAATTCTAGTGAATTGACCAGTCACGCTATTTAGGCGATAGTTGACTGCTGGCACATAAGACAAATATGCAAAAAGTCTTTAAAATTGGTTAAACAGAAGACGGATAAGGCTTCTTCTATCTAAATCCAGAAAAAACTAAAATGTGTGCATGAGAGGCTCACAAGCTAATGCGAATGCTAATAATTTTGCTCTTTTTAATTGTTTCCATTGTTTATGATATTTTTATTGATTTTTTCATTGATATTGCCTTTTAATATATGTTATGGGTGTGAATGGCATTTTTGTAAGTTTTCTTGAACATTCTGCAAACTTTAGTGCGATGGTTTTCCCTTTTTTGAAAGTTGTTCAAAATTGGAACAAAGCACACACCAATTTCATCGTCAATACCGAGGAGTAGTTCTCGATTTTAGTTTTTCAATTTTATCACCGCAAAAATCCATATCTGAATCTTGTAAACTTATTTGATGAAGGGGTAAAATTTGCAAAAAAAAGGTTAAGAACCACTGTCCTATACAGTCCATGGCAGTTCCAGAAATACCAGCTACCCAGCTTGGAAGTTCATATCAGTAGTTCAAACTAACAAAATTAGACGAGGGATATTTTCATGAGATTTCCGGCTGGCAGCAGAATGTGCTTATGTGCAGCAGATTTAAAGATCCAAGATTAAAACCATATGACAATCACCTTAATACACGCTCGGAGTATTGGTGTTGAAAATCTCATTAAAAGACCCAAATTTTGATCAATTTTGTTAGTTTGAACAAGGAGGTAATATATGATTATGAACTTCCAAGCGTGGTAGCTGGTACTTCTGAATCTGCTATGTACCGTATATATGATAAATGACAAAATTCGATTTGTGCAATGTGGCTTTACTTATTTGAAATTATACGATGGGCGAGTAATTTTACTTATTGGCATACTCACGGCAAATGGGAGTGTGTTATAACCTTCCACAAAGTTTATATTGCGGCGGAGTAGGAAACATCACGTCAATGATATTTCAACAATTTGACTCTGCGTGTGTCTGGGATATTGATTGTCTCGCTGTTGGAATCACCTCAACTATTTGGGAGATATCAAAACAGTTTGTGGATGAGATAGATGTTCCGTATAGGCAAACGACCAACTGCGGTATGGGGCATCCTGACCGTGATATACAGGGTGTCTCAAAAATAAATATATACTTTAAAATTTGCATACCAATCTATTGGCTTAGTCAAACGTGTTAAAAGTTTACAAAAATATTCTATAAACTACTAAAAACAGATTATCATTCTAATATCTCGTAGAGAAACGCTTTAATATCTTTGCGTAACATTCGTTGAATAGATGATCGGCTGATCTCCAGTTCGACTGCTGCACGACGTATGGATTTACTTTGACTCAATGCATACTTCTCTTCTAAAACTTGAATGTTTTCTTCTGAGCGTCCGCTCCTTGGTCTTCCTGATCTTGTGCATCAACTACAGATCCAGTTTCCATAAATTCACGATGAATTGTTCGTCGTGTAGGTGCCGAATTAATTCCAAATTCTCTGTTAAAGGAGCGCTGAGTTTGCCTTACTGATTTATATGCTTCTTGCTAAACAGCAATCTGGCACCTCATTTGTTGGGTTGATCTCCTTGTGATGAAAAATGCAAACAATACCTGAATTTTACTACTTATCCATACTTTATTCACTGAAGAAATGAACGCTTTATTATGAGTACCTGAAAAGCAAATCAAAATTATAAGTGTATACTTACTTTTGAGACACCCTGTGTATCACTGTTTGATCGAAGATTAGTCGCAACCACCAGGCAGCTCCCGTACCCAGTGTTTGCCGATGAAGACCTTTACCAGGCCGTATACTTTTCCAGGTTAAATGCTTTAAACATATTTTAACGTTAGACCCAAATTCTGCCGGACGGTATATAAAAATAAACTTGATTATCTGATTTTTAATATCCTATGTTAAATAAACTAATGCAAGATGAAAGCGTCTCTTTGGACAAAACAAGCTCAAGGTTTTTTTCGCGGAAGATTTTTTTTTGACAGCAGTACGAAAATCGTTATCGGACCCCGTGTTAGAAGACTGTTCGACTTTTCTAAATTTTGTATTCAAAATTTCAACAGTGGAGCCAAAACCTCAAGTGTGTAATGGTGCAATACAAACGTTTTGCCATTTCTATTTACCATCTACGCTAGATTTTCTATGTGGACCAGCTTAATCTACTAGATCGAACAGTTTTAATATATAGCCTTCGAAACAGAAGCCTTCGGACTCTTCACCAAGCAGGGCCAATGTTTTCCAGGAACAACAAAATTGACGGCATTTTCAAAGAAACCCGAACTCATCGCTTACTTCTTATATTTACGTCAGGCAGTCTGATTTACCGGAAAATGATTTATCTTCGTGTTTGAAACTTATTCAACAAAATATTACTTCACCACATGAGGTCTTTGCAACACAATGGCTCGATCTGGCGTTCCTATACGAACTCACTGGGTGTCGGAAGATGTGGTGAGTCACAGTGATTTATGCTTTTATGTGGCGTGTATGCTTACGTAATGTATATTGAATTATACTGGTTTTGAAATTATTCATGAATTTTTGAATAAATTGCGGTGAATGTAAACTGTTCCTCTTTGTACAGCAGTGGTGCTCAAACTTTGTAATAAATTTTGCATTTTTGAACTAAAGTATATAAATTTATTTGTCTTTCAATCTTCGGAACACGCTGTCTTATATTCCGTTATTGGGACGCAGCAAACGTTTTGTTCATCCAAAATTAATTTACGAAAAGTATTTTAAAAAAGCACGTAGCCTATATCCAAATAGAAGTGTAAAGACGATTACATTCTTTTATAGATATATAGCTTCGAGGCCGAAAGATCAAGCAACAAGTACCTCAGGCAAGTTTTCAGCATTTTGCTAACAAAGCATATTCTTCCATTCCAAGCGATAGTGAGAATCAAACAACTAAAATTAGTTATTGTAATTTATTAAAATTTGAATAAAAACAAAAGAATACAAAAGGAAGAGAAATGGGAAATAAAAATGCAAAAACATAGGAGTAAAGAATAAAGCGTGTAGATTAAAAATAAAATGTAGTTTCGAACTGCATAAACATAAAACTCGGTTCAAATAAAACGAATAACGGTTACAGATAAAATGCTTTTAAAAACTTGCAAAGTATTTGGTTTAACCAGAAATACTTGAAGCAGCTGACATAAGCAAATGTAGATAGAATAAATTGAAAAAAAAAAAATTATTTTCTAGTCATGTATGATCGTTGGTGGTCGATACAAATAACATCACCACGTCTTCAGTGTATGCTAAAAGATACATTTGTCGCGATTTGTCGTAATTAAAAGTAAGTTTTAAACTTTATTGAATTTTCATACAGTTTTATGAAAGAAAAATTGTATTTTTGATTATATTAAAAAGTGTATATGACCAGTATAAACATAATACTTAAAGTATTTATGGAATGATTTTTAGAGATTCGTACTTGTCATGTAAGATGTCGGTTTATTTATGAATGTGATTTTGGAAGTGTGTAAATGTAAATTTGGTTGTAAAAATTTGAAAAAAAAATAAAATTGCAGAAAATCAGGAGTTATTGTTGTTGTTTATTTTCGCCAATTTTTGTCTTGAAAATAATTGAAAATCTTCGATATCGGCTAATATTGAAGGATCGATTTCGTCTTTTCTTGTTGGTGATGTGGCTTCTTCTAAACTGCTAGCGCTTTTGTTACTGTTAGGATCTGTTGGATGGCGCACGCGTGACGATTTTTTGTCCGAAGATTCATCGTTTTCGGACGAAGTAGAAATGGATCTAAAATCATTGCTCAACGCTGTACTAACGTCGTGCTCGTCCATATCGGAACTTCGGTGAAATCCACTGTCGCCTTCATGAGCAGGTGCAGTATTGCCTTCGTTTATATCTACTCGTCCAACCCGTCTTTGTCGGGGCGTAGACGACGTTCTGGATTCCAAAGGCAGAGTTAGATGGTCGGGAAGAGAGTTTGACGACGTTGAGGAACAATCTGAAATAGTTGACATTTCGTCAATCGAAGTTAATCTTTCGTTACTTTCTTGTGATTGCGTCTGTTGAGCGAATGCTGTGCGTTTCTTTTGTGCTTGATGTCTATGTATTATATCTAAACTGTCCTGTTGCTCTAGAATGAGAAGCTGCAAGTCACGACGCTGCTGCATTTTTTCAATGACGTCCTGTTTCATTGCTTGTTTTTCTTGGATCTCTTTATCGACCATGGCTAAACGATCTTGCAATTCCTTCAATTTGTTTTCCATTTCGGCAAATTGTTGAGGATTTTCGCGTCGCTTTCTACCTGATTTTGGAGCCAGTTGTTTTGTGATTTGGTCAACTTTAAGCTGGGCTGAATTTCTTCTTTTGTTTAAATGGGTGAGGCATTTTAGCATTTTTAATTCCTCTTCTTCTTTTGCGCGACTATATTTCTCGTTCACCTGATCTTTTGAGAATCGAGTTGCGGAAGGAAGAATTGAGATTTGTGCGTTGACATTCTGAATAAAAGTTTAAATAATTTGAGAAAAAGTTTTTCATTTAGAATTTATTTCAACAAATAACAAAGCCTCTTGCGTCTCACAATTTTAATGAAATTAGTGAATACATTGCCTGTTTATGAGACATGATTATCATCACATATTTTCGAATTAAAATTATACTGAATTGGTGCATTCACGATTTGTGATCAAATGATCAAAGCATTCAATTCTAACCTATATACTGTTTATATATTAGTTTGGTTTTGTCTGCCATTTAGACTTAATCAAATATATAAAATTTAATGTATTTATACTAAATTACGGTTTGCAGTCGACTTAAATTAGTTTAATATGTGTAAACCTACCTTCTTCTGCAGAAGTTTCTCTTCTTCTATATAATTGTGTTGATGAGCAAGGACTTCTCTTAATAAATTCTCTTTTTGAGTTTCGAATGGCGCCTTGTTGGTAACGCTTTCAACCTGCAAAATAAAACACCAAGTTTAATAAAAATACTATATTTCAGATTTGACACAATTATTTTTTTTTTTATCAATTTCCACTTACTGTTTTAGGCTTGGTGTTTTCTTCTCCGGTTTGCTGGTTGCTATCTGGCCTTAAAAAGTTTGTGGTAGATCTTACACTGTTCACCAGCACCTCGTTGTCTCTGTAAATTATTAAAAAATTATAAATATAAATGAGGAAAATAGAAGTTGTTATAACGCAAATGTTATTGATTTATTTCTAATCATAGATCTGTTACACAAATATTTTGTATATTGTTCAAAATTACGGAAATACTTACGTTGAACCGATCTGTACATTGCTAGTTTCTTTTTCCAGCGTTCCAGCCCAAAGTAAAAAATCTCTGTGGTTGTCCGAACTGAAATGTAGAGTTGGCGACCCCTGTTGATAAAATATGAAATATATAACACAATATAATACGCAACAATTTGTTTTAAAACTTGCGTAAAACAATATTCAATGGCAGCTATGACCTTATCAACAACTATATGTATAATACGTATTTGAAACTTTTATGTCGAGCTTCCCAAATGCTGTTTTCATATAGTCATATTCATACGTATGAATTTTATGAATAAATGTTCAAGTTTTGATAAAAGCGCTATAGACATAAACATATCTAAAAAATCCAGAAATCAAAAAAACACAAACGTAATGTCATACAGAGGTAAAGTGAACAAATACAAAGATACACAGCAAAAGGAAATTTGCAGTTTCACCTGTTTGTTTGTTTTATTTATCATGACGCGCCGAATCTGCTAAATACTGAACGTACATGCGACAAATGATATATTTACATAAGTAATTATCGTATTAAGAGTTTTCATTTAATGAACAAAAGGGGGTGGATGTACTCAATCAGTCATATCCAATTCAGCGATATGCTCTTTCTAATTTTTTTGTCGCGTAATGTAATGTTTCCTCGATATCAAATGGAATGGAACAAATGAAAAACAACACAATAATCTCATGTTATCCTCTAGTGTAGGTTCACTAAAAGCATAAACATAATATTAACGATTAGAATACCATCATTTTGGGAAGTTAGGAAGAAAGGTTTACAAAATCACTACCATATTTTGCGTTCCAAATTGTACTGTACTAAACCTTATTTTCAAGAAGACTACTTACGTTTCGTTCAAGGCGAAATGGAAAACGTGTCCTATTCAAATTTGTTACGTCGGCGATGACGTCATAACCACGTAAAACGACGGCGTCTTCTGTATATTCTGATTGTGGAGAGTTGTAACAGTACAGACAAGAATCTTGAAGTACGCACCAAAATCTAAAGCCAAAATAAATAAAAAACAATATTGAATATACAGGTATGTCAAATATAACCAAGTGTTTTATTTTATATAAATAAGATGATTTCCTAATCAATGGAAAGAAATATCGGGGGGTTTTGTAATGTTTTCATTAATGCTCATCATATGGAACCATTATTCAGAGATGAAATCACAAACTTTATCCCCAAAATTCCGCAGACGTCTATTCAAACAAATTTTTCACCACACAAAGCAACATATGACCAAATAAAAACTGTAGTTATAATGCGCCGTAACAGAGCATCTATCTATTGCCCATACACGCTTTTATATAAAAATTTTAAAAGTCCCTCATCGTTCGCGTTTATCCTAAATAGTGATTAAGTCCCCTGTATCGCTTCTCAAGACAATCGCTGACCAGTAGGAAAACCAATTTGTCCTTTCAAGGGTCCTCGAATCGGCTTAAGGATGGAAATTACGCACAAAAAGTTAGATTAGGGGGATACACATGCGCAAAGCACTTGACTTTTTTTTTGTAAAGTCGGAGAATGAGTTTGATCTTTGACGTGAATAACAAAGCAAGGAAGTTGACCCGGTAGTTGATTGATTGTTTAAGAAAAAATACCAAATCAAATCGGTATTACATTACATACCTATCCCATTGCTTTTTCTTATTTCTTCTATCCAAATAACCTCTATGTGCTGCAGAAGTCAAGTTCGTCGCCGGAAGGCAAAAAACCGCTTTTCTGGAAGCTTGACCACTAGAGGATTTTGATGAAGCCGAAATCGTAGACGATTCTTTGTGAGTTTTACGCGCAAAATGTGGTGTGAGTGAAGCTATCCAGCTGTTTCTAGATGACTCTTTCGCAGAATGTCGTCCGTCACTGCCCTCTGAAAATTCAATAAGACAATGTAATTTGAATAAGTGTGCTTCCTTAATATAAGGCTTTTTTGTATGAATTCAATATGGTGAGGGTAAATAAAATTATAAAATTATAAATTATCATTATTATTATAAAAATTATAAAAAAAACTACTAACCCGATCCGGTACTTTTTGGTCTTCTGATGACTGTATGAATATTGTCCGATTTTGATTTGCTCAATTTTGCTTTCTGGATATCAGAACATGGCGTCGGTGGTTCAGATGTTGTAATAGAAGCTGAAATAACATGTACAATATTAATAATCATTCACAAAAACGCTCAAAGTAGGCAGCACCCAGGATGAAGCAAGATATCTCAGAAAATAATAGTTTCTATGTAGAAATTTGACAAAGGTTGTTACTCCTTATTTATTGCTATTTCCCAACAACCTACAGTGAAACCATAAATCTCCTTGGAGGAAATATACAAAGGATTAGTATTTAAAAGCTTCTAACAAAAAACTAGGGCAATAAATCAAACCTTGGTATGACGAGCTTTCGCCTGAACTACTTTCGCTTGAACTTGGTCGTCTTTTATCGGTGATATCTTCTAGGTACTTGTTCTAAAATGGAACAAAAATAAAAGTAATAAAGTGACGTTGAACGGTGCAACATAAAATAAACAATTAAATTGATCGTTGGGTGAAATAATCGTTCACCGAGATGTATTGAATGATACAGTCTAAACTGCTGCGTTGCCTTAGAATTCAACATTTAATCATTTGGTTTTGACATAATTAAGCCAGGTTTATTCCATAAGATAATTTCATCTTGTGAAAAATTCAAATTTTAGAGGATGAGCAGCAGCGTTCAACTGCACTGCTTATTTACTGAGTTTTTTCTATTTATATTACATACAGAAAAGTTCGTCTTCATTAGAAAAATGTTGTTTTGTCACCAATAAACCGTATTTTATAACTCCATTTCACTAGAACTTCAAATTAATATTTATATTGTGGCGTCGTACTGACTTGTTGGTAAACATAACATTCTAATTAACTTCTATAAATACGAGTGTGAGCTATTTTTCTTGTACTTGTTTGCACTCGCTAAGAAGGTTATTGGCAATCCATATAAAGTCAATGAAAGCAAAATGCGCCGAGAGAAACAAATTGGATTTCTCAATACCCAACGATTCACAAAGCTCATCCGTCATCGATTGGAAAGGTTTATAAAAGTCGAGAGTCGTATGAACCAGCGTGAGATTTCAACATTTATCACTCACCATATCCCGAATGATAGTTAACCAATTATGATCCGAAGATAGAATAGTTATATGTTCTACTTGGTGCATTATTACCAGCGTAAAAATAACAAAAAGCTATAACAAAGTTATGCTCTACCACAGCATAACTATTTTTGGATTCTTTATTGTAAAGTCATTAAACCGAGTCGCGCGACACAAGAGATATTGAGAAAATGACGATAAAATATCGTGATCTAATTATTTGAATTTACAGTGGTATTCCAAATATATAACAGTATTTGAAAAGCCCTAAACTATATGTAAATATATATTTGTAACGCAATAGTTGGCGTTCAATATTGGAATTTAGCGAAACAAATTTGAATAGCGGAAATGGCTTCATTCCTAATGATATTCTTCAACAATAAATGGGGAGTAATATCAATACACTATATCCCATAGTTGCAAATGTTTTCTATGAGTATCAATGATGTAATGCTACCCCGTGCATAGAAGCGAATCGGGCGTACACTCGTATTAATGATATAAAATACGCGTTAAATATAATTAATATGTTTTATGATATGAGGAGTTTCCCACGTACCACACATTAGATAGCTTGGAAATATACTTTATGCGTGATTATGAACCATGAGATATGCCGTCTCCCCGGTGGGCGGATGCACCGTGCAAATTGCAATTTGGACATTTTTAATGGTGATTATTGAGATGTAATAGAACTGATAAGCTGGAGTTGACAGGAATGATTTGTGTCGTTAACGAGGCATTTTGTAACTGCCATTACGTTGATTTATGAGAATCATAAAAACTGATTGCAAATTCAAAACCGCGGCCTTTCGCAGATGCATGTTGGGATTACTGCCTCATGTAAGCTAAATTGAACAGTCCAATCAAGTGAGAGTCTAACTGAGGCAAATGCACGCGTTCTCTAAGGGGGCCAACTTTAATCTTTTGGTAGCACAATTTAACCATCTGGTCTTGTTCATATAAGCCGTGGCCAGCCAAGGACTCACAGAGTACTAACAAAAGGATGCTCGTTATGTGCAATAAGCATTTGTTGTAATCTGCCATAATACCGAAACATTCTATGTTGTTAGTCTTATTTAAATTATAAATCTATGGATTACACAAAGTCAAGATGCTATTTGCTAGGGAATGAGTATTGTCAGATTAGCGAAGTTAATTAGCGGGAATACCAAATTGTAAATACCGTTTGCGATCAATTTGCTATACTTGGATGTGATAAAACCACGTGTGTTATCACTTAGGATTTCGCGTGAGTTAATCGAGTTTGCGCAAACAATTATAAAATGTTTAACCTTATTGTTTGTTAATTTATTTTTGTAAAATTAAAGTTAAAAATACGTTTTTTATCGTATCGAATGAAGTCCTAATTTTAGCCATTTTCCCACGAATAAGTGTACTATTATTTTTATAGAAAAAATCACGTTCCGACATGTCATATGTTTTTCTGGGAATTTTCAACATGTCAAAGATGTAAACTAAATTATTCATAATGCAAGCTTCAAAACAGTAAAACATTGTGCATATCACCGCAAATTTTATTATAGGAATATACGCTTAAATTCGGCGAACTTTATTTTTTCAGTACCATCAAACTAGATGTTTTATTTAATAACCAATTAAAAGGCGATGCATGTTCGCATCCTAGAAATTAAATAATAACCGCTTTATTGAATTCAACCTGCATGCGTTGCGATAAAAGTAACAAAAGGCGTAATACTTGAGTCGTCAAAGCATTCACGAACCTTCCCCCGATGTCACTTTGTGCCTTTCGCAACAGGTAGTAATTATAAAAATGAAGCTTATGAAAGATACCTAAACCACAACTTTCATTTTACATTGCGATAAGATTGGAATTCGATTTAACGTCTTACCTATACGATCCATATAAAATTTTCGTCAGTAGGTAAAAATGAACAGGGATTCTGTTTGTTTATGATTAAAAAACGGGAATTTTCTTTCTTTGACCCCAAATTATCTGATATAATCAGCATCGTGTACGACACGTCAAAATGTCATCAACACGGGAATGGTTATGAAGCTTCGTAAAAAAATTCTGACTGGCAATTATAGGAAACGTTTTTATTTATATTTCCATACGTACCTCGTCAACGTAAAGCGTGAATCCGGGAAGATCGTTCTTATTTATATCCTGAATTGTGGAATGTCGTTTTTGTTTCTTGCCGGTTACTTTTCCTAGAATAAAAATTTAAACCATGTGAAAAATTTCCTGTTTTCGGAAGAATGAACAAAAACTTTTTAGTGTTTTGTGGTATTTGCAGCTGGTCAAATTTCACCCTCAAAATTTTATGCATTTAGTATTTTATCAATAGGTACTCACCATTTCTTTTACTCGGCACAACTCCATATGTTTCCATAAATGTGTCTTGTGTAAGTTTGCGTACATTTTTGAAAGTCCTCATGTTTCGTCCGTCAACCTCTTCTTCGGCGTCCAATAGGTCGCTTTCCGAAAGACACCGAGTTAGTTGAGTAGTTTTGGGCGGTTTAAGTTCGTTCCTAAAAGCAGTGTTACGCCTTAGTTTTATCTCATGCGTCGGGGAATCTGTTTCTTCCGTATGCGATAAATCCAATATATTGTTGTCTTGGTTTATTTCGTTTTCAACGGCTGCGTTTAAATCCGGAGTACTATTACTCAGTGAAACTTTTGGTCCCAATTTTCTGAGTAATTTCTGCCGCAAACTCTTTTGCTTGTTGATACCAGAACGTGTTTTAAATTGTCTAATACTATGTCGTTCGTTTCTAGATAATAAGTCAGGCTGAATAAAAGTTGCAGTTTTGTTAGTCTCTTTTTTTGCTACCTTTTCGGGATTAACCTCGATTTTCAGTTCTAAAAATTCATCTGCACTTTCATTATCGGATAATCCTTTTGAATTTTCTCTGTTTTGATTTTGAATTTCGCACTGTTCGTCGACCGTATTGGTATGTTTGTTCTTCTCACTTGCTACCCCACTGCTAATGTTTTCTTTCCCGTCAAGTGACCAATATATACGGCCCCGTTAGAAGAAGTAAAATCGCCCTTCTTATCAGGCTGCATATATCCTATTGTTTGCTCTCCGACGTCCGAGACTTCACCGATAACATTATTTTTTCTTCCGCGTGAGTGTTTTTCGTTGACTGATTTCTTATCTCTCGTTTTATGTTCTATGTTTGCCGAACTTCTCTCGTTTTTCCGGTGAGCGTTGTGTTGATGTTGGCCTGCTTTGGATGTTTTGCTACCGTTATCTTGTAGATTGCTTATGCAAACGTTGCCTTGATTTTCGTTATTATTTGGCATTTTTGAATATTTACTTTTTGATTTAACTTTGTGATTCACTTCCTTTTGTATTTTATCACTATGAAATGGTGTATCCGAGGAAACATTCCCCTCAACGATTTCAGCCCGTCGCAGATCCAGTTTTTCAGTAATGGAACATCTTTTTAGCTCAATTTCCATATTTTCTTGAGCACTTCTAACTTTCCTGCGCCGTCTTCGAATATCTATACCTTTGTCTTCAAATTCATCAGTGTTTATTTGATTTCCCGTTTTTGATATATCTTCACATGCAGTGGTTACATTTGTACAATCTGAACTCCTTCGAATTCCGTGCGATGAATCACCTTCATCAGCGTCCTCATCTATAAATTTTATTTTATCCAAATCAAGGCTCGATTTTCTTGGAATAAAATCAACACCATTTTCATGATTTACATCCCTTTCGTGCTGCGAAGCCTGTTGATAACTCTCGCTTTTTACGACTGGCTTCTGCTGATGGGAACGAATTTCTTGTCTTACTTGTCCGTTCATGCTCCCCGCATCTAGTCCAGAAACAAGCCTGTTGTTGGTTATCCAATTACCAAGATCTATATTGGCCTCCTAGACGGAAATGCAAATAAAACGGATTAATATATAACCAGGTTACGTCATGGTGATACCTTTGTGTAGTCTGGACAGTAAATGAGTCAAATTTAGACAAGGGTCATTAGTGGAGAATTATGAAGTATTCCATTCACCACGTCCAATTATAACACTCATAAACAAGTCAAAATCAGCTTGAAATCTACCAGCTGAATATTATGGCGAGATGTATGGTAAACTTGAATTGAAATGCCATACAATGGCAATTCCAGTCTCAAATGAAGAGGAAATATTTGAGGTGTAGAGGACACAATATACTAATGATATAAATAAATGCAACGAATGTGTAAATTGTATTGCAGTAATTTGACTGTTTCTATTTGTCACCTATTTCGACGTCAAATGTACATTAAAATATAAATATGTTAATCATTGCAAAAATAAAATAAACATATTTTGTCATACAGCAAACAAAATTTGCAAGTTGCAACTGGTGGACCCGGCTGTCGACCTAACTGATTTTCAAACATTTACAATTTGCGATACTAAAAACGGTATTTAATATGTGAAGGACTATCATAGAGAGTTATACTTTTAAGGTGAAAAATTTCCCACAATCTCACGTTGTCCGTTTAATTTTTTTAAGGGCCTGTTGATACAAATGTGCACGAGTTGTTATGCATCTTTACATTTTCTCGGTATGTTATCCTAACTGTCTCAAATCGCAGCTATTGGCATTAAGCCTGCCCAATTATTTCCTTTGTTCAACCCAAACCAATCACCGCGTCCAAATAAGAATGCTCGTTTAAGCTGTATTGGGCAAGCGACGAAAAGACACAGAAATATATTTATAGTTGATAGTTTGAATAAGGTATTTTCAGCTATACGCTTAGCAAAAACTAAGTGTTCTCGACTGAAAAAATATGTACTGATTGGTGTGGTGCAATTAAAAATGTGAGCGATATGAAGGATCATTATCAAAAACATCAGAAAATTGATGCAAAACATATTTACATCGTATGCTAAACCTTAAATAACATGATTTGCCACAATTAGTAATATGCAGTATCTATAAACTAGTGCCATGCTCAAACTATCACCTAAAATATTTTGATCAGAACTTGAGTAAAATTAGGTTTGGCTAAAAAAGTCAGGAATTGTGGTTAAATATGTTCCAAAATACAGTACAAGTAATCACAGTAACTATACGGTACGTAATTACACAAAGCAGGAATTTAAGGCAGAACTCTTTCCCGAGAAATATTGAACATGACTTTGCAACTAAACTAGACACAATATTCACTATTGACTGATACTAACTTCTCTTTGTTTATAGACTTGATTTCAAGACTTATAACTCTTAAAACACGCAAATCGTTCCTTAGCCAATAGCATATTATTTTTACTGCAGTGGTTAGATTTCATCATAAGTCGTTGACTGCGATCCTAATGAAGCCTTTACATATTATAGAAGGACCGATGCGCTCGAATAAACACCTCTAACAATAGAGTTCCACCTGTTTCATGGGTTACGTTTCAACCCAGTCAGCCATTTCGCTCAGTCAGACAAGAGTTACGCACGTGACGTAACCAGTTGTCTGATGAGCCTACTCATAATTTTTCAAGTAGGCGTTGTATTACACACACGAACGTCATTTATGTAATACGTATAATATAATAATCCACTAATCAAACCTATTTAGGAGAACACCTAATCTGATTGAGAAATTCAAAACTACCTTTCGCTAAATAGTAACGTTAGCCACATGTGCGCATAAGATGATGCTTCGTAAAAGTAATAAACAACACAACGTTGCCATTTTACCGACGCCTTGGGCTATTGTTTGGAATCATAAGTTTATGATGATTTGGATAAAAAAGCTAAAACCAGAATTTACGCCACTGTCATAAGCGTTAATATTATTTCTTGTGCGGTTCTTGCGCAACTATTATGATGTTGCCGTGGCAATTTAAATCATATGAAACATGAACTGAAAATATAAATATATGAAAATACCTGATTTCTTCCTTGGTTTTGGGATTGAGGATTTGTGTTTTCTCCTTGCACACTTTTTGGCTTCAAAATCGGAGTTAAAATTCTTTGTTCCGTCTTTTTGCCAGTGCGTTCTTCGGTATTCAATTGGTAAAATGCTTTCACCCAGTACAGAAATTCATCATTGTTTTTACACATCAATTGAATAGGTTTTTGTTGCAATTTCCAATCTGCCGAAACAAACGCACAACCAAGTTAACGTGATACAAAACCCGTCGTCGGTATATTGCAATACTGGTTTTAAAATCCCTAACGTTTCTATTACCACGCGCCCGGAGTGTTTAATATTTAACAAAACCCACAAGATAAGTGGATGAATGTAACCTAACAATACAGCGCTATACGGCATCATTGGATAGAACTGGTCCTAAAAATCACGTGATATGACGCCGTTTGTCAGTACTGTGTTTGACAAGAACTTGAACATGGATTTATCTCGCATAACTGAAATATTGACTGAATGGAATTTTAAATCAGTCAGTTATTACTCCATTATGGCTAATAATGTTGTTTTGCTTTAACAAGCAATCGGTATCCCGCTCATGTATGATTTGATGAAAAATGAGAGCAACAAATGTGCAAAATATTATGAAATTACAAAATTCAATATTAAAAAAATATTTACGTGTATTATCGAAAAAGAATAAAATCACAACTACTTTTAGTCGCGTAGAAATGCATTTACTATACATTAGGCACAATTTACTACCACCTCAATAATTAGGAATTAAATAATAATAGGAATTAAATTAAACTGAAATGACATGTAAATAATTGTCAATTTTGACAGCGCATGGTTTCATTTTTGTGTTTGACTGCATAAAATTACACACATCTATCATATACTATTACAAAAATGCGTTCAAACCGCTAACAATCTACAGTAAATCACAGATGTCTCAATCCAAATAAATTGGAAGAAATGTATCAAAATATATTTTTACTAATAATGATGTCATCGTGACATATGTTTAAACAAACGTGGGATACTTGTTGACTTTTGGTCAAAACAGATACATTTGTCATTTCAGTAAAAAACGCTTCCATTTTTGAATGAATATCGATATTTTTACGTTTACACAAGGAAAACAACAAACGTATATTTTTAGAAGTCAGAACTCAGAGCTACAGAAAAGTCACGATTTGAAATAATTTTGTATAATTAAGTAAAAAATAAGGGGGAAATTTTTATGTATTCCATTCAAGAATGGATAAGGTCATTTTGAATTTATGAATAAGATGTAGGTTTCCCATGACATTAACATCATGTTTTGCAAAATACCAATCATGACACGAGTTGGAAACAAATACAGAAAAAGGCATTTCACATGTTATATCATCATGAATGAATAAACGAAAATTTCAAACCCCACCCAATCGTGCGATAAAAATAACTCGTGTGCAGCGTATTATTGGCTCCTTGTGACGATTGTCATTTTACACGGTGTCTTAGATTCACCTGGTGACACTGATACAGAATTAGGCTGGAATAGAATAACATAAATTAAGAGTGTTTATTATGAGTCCAAGCAGTTTTCGAATCAAAATCATTTGTACGTTAACGATACCAAAAATTGCTCTTTGCGTAACTTGAGTGGCGCAGCGTAAGATATTTTACGTGTCGCCTATCATTCTTTGTGTTACGTTAATTGTTTGGCCAGTAATGACAGTACGTTTGGTTAACAGATTTACCCAACTGGAAACACAGAAATAAAAGATTTGAGCCGATTTGTCGTATGAATTTTGTGGATATCTTTGAAATATATAGTTGATAATATTTGTTAATTATCGTTTGTGCTTTATCTTAAAATGGAAATTATATCAAATATTGAATAAACTTTTAAGCTTAAAAGTCTATAGGTCATATCAGAATGCTATAATTCATTGCCAAGCGATATAAGGCAGTGGACAAATGGTCTTGGTAGATAAACTGTTTTAATTGGAGTGAAGCGTTAATTGCGATTAAAAATCAGCAATCACAGATAGCACTAACCACAAGGCCCATTCAACGGTAAATAGTTACAGACGCTTTGGCGCTCATAGTTCAACGCCTATAATTAATACCTCTTCATTTGCAAGTTCACAATAAATGCTTGCGATAAAGGCCGCAGATGGTGGTTCAAAGATGATCATTTGACAGTTATGTCCGATTGCCGTTATCAATTTCATCGTCGCCAGATAGTCTTTAGAGTCTACGGCACAATTATATCGTCAGAAACACATCTAGATTCAATAATACCCCAATTTTGACTGCTTAGCGACTAAATTCGACTTTGATTTGCCGCTTAAGCTTATAGAGGACAATGTTAAAAATAGGAATAATCAAGGAAGCGAATTTAGGGGGCGCGACAAACTGGTGTGTTTCCCGCAGAGAATGTAAACTCAAACGGAAACAATGCAACTACTTTACATTTTATTTGTGACGTCAGGGCTTTGAAATGAATCGTAATATCGAAAAGTTTATGACATTAACCCATTTCTTCTATTCAAGATGATCACAAACATTGATTGATCAGGCAAAGGCCACAGTTGAATCAAACTAGATAAATATGTTATTTTCTTCTGCCACAGCCGTACAACCGGATGGCATTTGAATCGATCGGTATCGATACTGTGTTACAAAATCACCTTCAACTAGTTCATTGCATATTACCGAATACTTGAAAAGACCTTTTTCTCAGCAGAAGCGTGAAATACATCATGTAACATTTTTTCTATAGATAATTTTATGCTGTTACACAATTGCTGCATAATAATATTGTTCTTTTATGTAGATTTGTATCAAATACTAGCAACAATCGTCATTAATAATAATTAAATGCTTTATTTAGTCCGCTTACTTGCTGTGAATCCCAATTAGTTATATGATTTTATTCACAAAAGAATGGTCGATTTTTATTACTCGGCTTCTTCAAATGGGATAGCAAGGTCGTTAAAACGTATGGAAATCATAAATAAAGAAAAATACAAATACTAATTAAAATGGCTTTATTTTACGATCGAACCGCAATCATTCAAAGACAAGTGCTCTTAATTGGTAGTGATAGTTGCTATCACGAGCATTGGAATTTAAAATAGCAAAACAATTTTGACATGGATTAAAAAACGATGAAATATTTTAGGAATTTATGGCGTATGTAAGATTGTTTCAAATACAAAAATATTCCAGTGAAAATGGGAATTTTCACAAATTACGATCCTTTTTCGTACATGAAAAGCTGCAAGAGCCATTTTAAAGGCAACAACGTACAAAAACGAACTGCTCTTTCGTACAATATTCTATAGTTTGAAGACTGCAGGTAGTTTGAAGAGACACGGATCCTTAATCGGTCTTCCGTAATTTTAGAAAACATAAATATTTGCCTATTTGATGTTCATTTGAGTAGAAATATTCAAAAACATGTATATCTGATATAAAAATACTGCTGGCAAACTTTGGCTATAATTGCAGTATTTAGACGGTAAATCAATGCGCCGCTAATTTCAGAGCTACTGGGAAAGCGAAAAAAGATCATCAACTAAATAGCTATTTATTAATTGAATATTTCCGATCTTTGCGGTTATATTGTGCGCATTTATCGTATTTCCTTTCCAAAACATGAAATAAAGCGTTTGTAATTATGATTTGCACGGACGCATCAATAGTACTTTTAGCATTGCCCGACTATGGACGATCCGAGGCGAGCCTAAACCTATTTCCAGCAAAATATTACATTTTGTTTCATTGAATTCTGAGTTTGGTAAAAATGGAGACGGTTGCATTTGAAAATAAAAGCATGTACAGAATTGTGCAATGTACCCCTGCTTCATTTTTCACGCGATACTGTTAGATTTTAAATCATATTCATATATTAAAAGTATAAAAAAATGTTAAAATAATCTAAGGAGAAAATCTCGAAAGATATTTTCACAATTGAATCCTGAATAAGAAGTTTTTGTTTTAGCTAATCGATGAATATTTGATGTGAATTTGTTTCATATGAATTATGTATTTGTATTTCCTTAGACTATTTATAAAAAAAAGAAGGAAAACTTTATATATATATACTTGACATTCACCGCATTTCATCCATATGATATTGAGTTACTAGCATGTTAAATGAAGCAAATAACTCTATTCAAATATAATATTCGTGTAAATGATTATTCATAAAAAAAATATTACTATGATTTCAAAAATGTTTAATGTCAAGCCCTTTGACTACCAAATAAATAATATTCTTTATTACTTAATATATAACAAGTCAATTGTAAATAATGTTTGAAAAACTATTTAACGCCTTAAAATAAACCGTGTTTAAATTTTGCCCAAATTTAAATAATCATCATACCCAATAAAAATTTTTTTTATATTAAATGCAAAAATTTATTCATTTTTTATCGGGAAATTCAATCAAAATTTTCGATTGAACACTTTCTACTGATACAGAAAATATGATCAGTATACAAAGTTATGTGTTTGATATGAACTTTGTTATATGACCACTGTAGAAAGCTTTTTATAACGAGGAGGTAAATAAATCAATAACATTTCTATCTATCAACGACTGGCAACGATTCATCGCATGTTGCACGTACCGTATTTTTATTAAAAAATGGAAGAATTAGCAAGATAAGGTAGCGGACATTTGGTTTCCAAATTTCTTGGTACTGTCTACAAAAGTTTAACGCATTTTTAAATGAGAATTGCATGTTTGTTATCAGTCATTTGATCCAGGCATAGAAATAAAGTATTGCAGATATATGGGACAGATGACCTTAAGAACATGATGGAAAAACCACAAAAGTAAAGGTCAGACTGAACGATATGCCCCGATTTTCGGAACAATCAGATCACTGATCAATATATAGGTCAAGTTGACAAAGAAAAATGTTGCAATGTTATCGTTTAAACTTTCAAATATCAATTAATTTATAGTGTGAAAAATGTCATTGGCTTTGTACGTAATTGATAGGAATTTGATTTGAGTAAGAGACTTGGTACTATTTCTGCCCAAAAAATTTGTTACCCTCACAAGTGTAACAGTATCATGTCGTTCAATAATTTTTGTTTTGTGTTTTTTATGTGAGAAGGTTCACACTTTGAGCAAGGCTGTAAGCAAGTAGAAGGGCTCATATGTTTGTGGTGACAAGGTATGAAAATTAACGTGGAATCTCCATTCTGTAATACAAGCATAGTTTAGACCCGTGTGCGCCACACACCAAATAATCTGTCCAAGTATGTTTTACTTGTAATAGGAGGCTCACAATGCTGCAACATAGTTAAACTCCTCATATATTCTTGTGATAATTGTGTGTGTTTGTGGTCTTACGTGTTTTTATTACTTTATCATTGGGTTAATGCAAATAAAACCTTAACTCCTCACAAACATAGCACACTTTATAAGCCAGAATTTATGAAAATTTCCATATGGTATAACATACCCACTGGCACTGTAAATACGATTCCAAACAAAATGTCCGATCGTCTTCATGCAACTTCACGCCTTTACCTTTCGAATGCGATTAGTACTTAACATCATTATTGGATTTATTTGATCCTGCTTTTTTGTGTTTGAGTCGAGATTAAATCCGGATTAGGGTTCGGATCAAATCCGGATTTATTCGATTGATTGAAAACAAAGATTGCGGTGATAGCGTAGTTCACACGGAAATCAATTTGTTGATTTATTAAATGATTATCTGTTTTTGCATGTATTTAAAATAGGTGAGAAAACAAGCAAGATAACTACTTTTAATACAAACCGAAACAGCAGAATCCCGAAAACTATTACGGTTACGTGCGTCGGTGTTGAATTTTCAAATCCATTCCCTGAGAGAGGAAATCTGGCAAGAACCTTGTCTTGTTATCCAAACACGGTAAGAATATGTGAATAGCCAACTGGTTAATCGTTGCATGTAGATGGATAGATTTTGATAATGAAAAAAGTAAAAAACGACCGGTTGTTAGCTCAATCACATTGCCAAACTTTCGGATCTATTTTATATTTCTGCATCCGCGAACGACAAAAATATTAGAACAATGTAAAGTATTATAACGAGTGATCAAAATGTTTTCACCTATAAACGTTATCAAATTGGTTTCTCTGATACCCTACTGCAGTATCTGATAGCAAAATGTTGTTCCTCGTCGCTGAGCATGTGAAAAGTCAATATTCAGTCAGTACCACCATTACACTGGGTTGTTATACTACTATCCATTCACGGATGTACAGTACATGTAACTCACTATGTATGCCCTTTCTTTTTCCGGATCACGCATGATATATCAAAAATTTTATTAGTCAATAAATAAACTCTCCGTCGGAGGTGGACGAACTTACGTGTTGCTAACTCTATACAGTCATTGACTTTATTTAAATAGCTGATACTATTTATAAAATATCACGCGGAGCAAACACAGTTACGCTATATTAACGTAATGACGCAAATGATGTAAAATAATCATATTATAATTACGCTTCCTTGTAGCAAGTTTTATAACGAATGAGAAATGATCTCTCAGGCCCAGGGACATAGCAGGTATATTTAAGTAGCTGATATTTTATCGAAATTTCTTGAAAATAGTACATCAGCCACTTGTTGCTTAATCGACTTACTAGTAAAAATTAAATTTCCTGTACTCGATATTGTTCAAAAAAGTCGTAATATTAAAACTACTTATCATAAAGTGTTTTTTCGCACTATCGTTTAAACTGAAGCTACTGAGAAACAATCAGATATTCGCAATTCGCATGCTGAGCAGAACATTTTAGGTCCAATATTAGTACACCCTGAATGACTCATGGTTATTCACAAAATAAACTTGTACTATTTTCCGTCTTGTGATTTATGCAACGTTACCCACAACGTTCCGATTTACAAAATTAAAAATACTTGTAACACTATAAAGCTTGTACGGCGACAGTGGGAAGAAGTATTTTCGTCAGTAAAACTCGTGCTACATCATTCCCTTATTTGAAAGAATATATTTTGCTTAGTGGAAATACTGTTGTCCATATAGCTGGGATAAGTTAACCCACACAACATGTACAAAATTTGAAAATATTTACACTGTTACAACTTTACCATTAGTGCTCTTGAAATGTGTAAATAAATATTTCACGCCTTTGCTTACATAATTACGTATCGTAGAAGAACTTCACACTCACTATAATCTTACATGAACGCGAGTACAACATAGGAGAATATAAACTTTTATCCAATTATATTTGAATAGTGAATATCTTTCGATAAGGGGACAACTTCCGTCAACAAGTCAAGTCCTCGTTATCGTATGTATCATTGTGACAATAAATAACAGAAGAGTAATATGCCTGAATCAGTGTACCACTACCAGGCACATCATTTTTTAGAGAATGAGCTATAACAAGTTGAAAACATTAGAAAATCAGGCCCTTTTCTGGGTTGATTTGCAATTTGGCCCATAACCCGATTAACGATGCAATATACATTTATGTAAACTGATGATTACTTGATTTGGAAATATCATAACCATAACTTGTTGGTGCTCCCGAAGTATTCGTACCAAGATGGCGCACAACCTGAACATAGTATGTGTACCAGGTTAGGGTTGTTCAGTTTGTGCGTCATCTTGGTACGAATATTTCCGGAGCGCCAACTTGTTCAATATAGACTATTCATTCTAATATATCTTGATTGAAAAGTGGTATCAGTTTGCATATTCTTATTTTGATCTTTTGGTAGAAATCCCCCGCCATTAATGCAAATTTGTGAGATTCAAGAAAAAACGAACGTCCCATTAAAAAAAAAATTAGTGATTGTTCAGTTAGGATTAACGTTAATAATGACTTGAAAACTTTACATCGCAATCTGTATTCCTAACCCTAAGTGGATAATTACTAATTTTTTTTATTTCGAGTGATGGCGTGATGGTTTTTTTTTGACGAGGGCTTTCTACCTATTTTTATCAATAAATTAGATATAGCCATTTGCCAAACTCAAGGGCAAGACAGACGAGATTTACGGCCGACCCTTATTCACAAAAGAAGATTTTAAACTAATTATCACGCTAGATATTAGGCTATGCAAATTAAGCAATTGTTCTCAACAATAATTTACTTCAAATCATCATGTATTTTCTTGTTATAAATACATTTATAATCATATAGTATATTATTGGTTATTATGGTTTACCTACCGCATGTTATCGTAATGACCTTGAGTTTATTACAACCGAAGCAAAATAATTTTAATGTAGTAAACAAGCTGTCAACACAAAATTTCTTACCGATATCAACGGGGAGTGTTGATGTAACTCCTCGTTGAGAAAACGATTGATAGGAATGAGGTATGAGATTAAATGTTGTGCTTTTCTTTCCTGTAAATATTAAAGACCATTGTTATTTGTTTATTTGAATAATTATACAAGATGACCAATGGTAGCGACAACTATGGGCAATCGAGCCTTCATGAAATAAATGAGCCCTTGGGATTCAAAATAATTTTCCTAATAAGTATACAATTAAAATGTGGTATTTCCAATTTCTAATCTAAATTTTCTTGGTTTATAAAATTTTCAAGTAGAAGTAGCTCAATAAGAATATAAATATTTACATAGAATTAATTTTATTGGCATGTCGGACCAGAGAAATGTTTTACTACCTTGTTCGACGTCTTCTATTTCGCATCCTCCACTTAAATTTATAACAGATGCTATTCCACTCAACGGAGCGGGGGAATTGGCGTAAGAATAATTTCCAATTGTCCCAGTCTTGTCTTCCATGTCAAATTGGTTTTCTGTTGGCAACCCCCAACACTTTTTCGTAACTTCAAAATCTTTTTTCGATTTATACAAGGTTAAAATCCTGTCTTCTGTCAATACGCCCCAATTTTTAGTCCAACCCATTCGCCGTCGCCGTGAGATGTCGCCCTGCATCACTACATTCATGCTCGAACGAGGGATTGAAAATGATGAAACATCTGAGCCGTGGAACAAGCTTCCATCTTCAAAAAATGACCTAAAAATAAAAAGAAGCAAACAAATGGAAATTTGAATTCAGGTATTTGAAAATAACGTTTACAGTTTAGTTTAGTGAATAAACGGCACGTACTAGAAATCTGTACAAAGTTTCGAAATTATCAAAGGTATAGTCACTTAAACATGCGTGGAACACGTCGATCGATAGCAGAAAATGAGTGGAAAGTCTTCATGGCCGAATTATTGTCAGATATGTATTAAAATAAGTAATCACACAACATTTGCAATACTGCGGCTTTTTATGTGTATTAGTTATTCACGGCTGTAGTAACCAATGTCTTTTTTAAATTAAACAAATAGCTAAAAAAAATTTACAATAAAAAGTGAACCCAATGAATAACTCCATTTATAGCCAATTTATTTACCAGTGGTATATTTAAAAAATGTAAGACCCCAAACATTAAGCAATATTGATCATCAAATTTCACGCTACACTTACCCGTCAAAGGTATTTTGCCTCATAACACTATAATCGTTAGGGGACGACCCGACTCGATGAACCAAATTTTCGTTTAAGCTTCGCTGCTTTCTGATTAAATTTCTTGCAGGACTTGGAGATTCAGCATTCAATTCTTTCTGGTCTTTTTTGTGAACTTGAAACTCTTTCTTAGATTGCTTTCCAACTGCACTTTTAGCTCTTCTTAACATTTTGGATCCAAAACTACCAGAACGTTTTCTCGGTTCATCTACTGTAGCATTGACAGAGAATGACATCGATGGTCTGTTGAAATAATAACTCTATGATTTCAAAGTACCCACATTTATAAAGCCTAAAAGTATTGATACCATGATGGTTGCTTTGTAACGAATACGACAACTACGAATTGGCGCTGTTATTGGAGGTTTAATTTTCAAACTTCGAGTTTTCATATCTCATCTTTTTAATCGAATTTTTGAATCAGATTTGTGTGGTTTGAAAATATCGAAGACTGATTTTATTGATTACAATATTTTACAGAATTTTACAAATAGAACAATCGAATACAAAATGAGAATCTTTTCCGCATTTGCTTGTATCATCCCAGTAGAAGACAATTGAATATAAATTATGTAGCCTACATCCCATCCAAGATTCTAAGGTCATATTTGATTTGCGAGACCTTGCACCAATCTTAGCATCTAAGTTTTTTTCATGTTGGTAATTGGAAGGCTATAGTGATTTGGCATCGGAAAAGTTTTTTTTTTTGAAAAGTTTATCACATTTACTAACCTGTCTCTTATATCTTTTGTTTCTTCTGGACTGGATGTGACAACGGTTCCTCTTGTTGGTTTGAGAGGAGAAGTTGGTGGTAAAATCCGCTGTGATGCATTCAGTCTACTACGCATTCTCTTGAAAGCCGATTTCATATCTGCTGCTGAAAATTCAGAATAGAATAATTTATAACGCCAGACAATATTTAAAAGTTATCGAAGTGGGTTCAGTTAGCTAACGTTTTTCCGCAATCCATATAGACATATTGGGTACAAAAGAGCAATATTACCAATTAAAATATCTTGGTTTTGCAGCAAAATAAGCAATATTTAGAGTGTTTCCATCTGCTAAAGATTGCGTTATCCACAAGAAATATATTGTGAATTGTTAATTTGTAAACTATTAAAATTTATTAGTTGTATATAGGCTGCATAGTAATATGTAAGAGGAATGATGACGACAATAATAATAACGACATGATTCTGAAGGTTTGTAAAAAAAGGCAATCAATAGGTTAAAATATTAGTCAGTGCTTGTATGCTGTAATTGTGCTGTGATGATGTTGAAGCAAAAATGATATATCAATATTTTTATGCATTTCACTACAATGCTGGGTTTACATACAGAAATGCAAAAATAAATCGCAAATTTTAAATATGAATAGGATATTACAAATGTGAGTGAAGGACGGCCTTCATTTGTACAATTAAAAACTTGCAAAGAAAACCACGGCATCGATAAAACGTTCGTGTTATCCTTAACGTCGTTAAGCAACTAAAAAGGTTCAATAAGCACCTGATCCGCTTTGACTGTACTTCAAACTTTCTGGCGAAATTGCTCTCGGAATATCAGGATAAGAAACAGCTTGCTTGGCTTCAGGATCTTCTTTCAGAATTTGACTTGCAGTTGGAGACTTTGGTGACTCTGGTTCTGGTGGAGTCGTTTCGTCGGATTCCTCTCTAAATAAGTAATCACCGGTAGAATAATTATAATTCAATTGCAACTATTTCACATATACTATCGATTGGGTTTCTACAGGACTAACTACTTTTTCTTCCTCTAAGCTTTTGTTCCGGTGGATCAGTATGCATATAATGCAAGGATGATGTAGCAAGAGTGAAGATAACTATTCTAAGTGAATCAAGAGTTTTGTTTCCAAGTTGAATAATGTTTGTCTGAGGAAGTCTGACTTTGATCAGACGAAACGTTACAGAAATATATTTGGGATAGTATGCAGAAGCGCTTGAATCACTCAGGATATTTCATATTATCGTAATTTTCTCACCTAATATTTATTATCTAGAACTTAGAATCTTGGGGTGTTTACTCAATCAAAAGTATGATAAAAACGAATAATATATCAAGCGTACCTAACAGTTTCTTGTATAGTGGCTGATCGTAATAATTTCGGTGATGCTGAAAAATAAGAAAATATATTAAAAACTATAAAACATTGAATTTTATCAAATTTTTATCCTTACAATTATGGAACCAAAATTAAAATGAAGATTTCTGTTTACCTTTTATTTCGTTTTCTATTTCCCGTTCTGGTAAAGTCTGTGATCGAATTTTGCGATGGTTCTTTCTGTGACGTATTTGATCATCAAGACTTCCTATTGGTGCTATAGTTCTTTTGCGTGGGCTATAATATATAACAATTTTACCAAATAGGACTCAGTCTGAAGTATAAATTCCATAAATAAATAACTCCATAAGTATATAGTTTGTGACTACTATAATTTAGGTTTCGCTGTATTTTTATATAATAGATGGTAAATGAATAGCATTTTTACCCACACGACTCAAAATGTTCATTTATATAATTTTCGTATGCTTATTTCTAGATTATTTTCACTAATATCATTTTACACAACTATAAAAATTTGAATGTCAATCAAATGAAATAGCAGGATTAAAAACATATTGGATTGCAAACATGATATAGTAGAACAATAGCAAAAAAAGATTGGAAATCAGTTTGGTATTTGGCTACGTCGAATATACATGGAATAAAAATAATGTTTATATTTTCATTATTTTCCCATGGTACTAGATCCTGTTTAGAGCATTGCGACAATGGAAAATATTTTGCGGTTTCCATACAACCGAAGTTATGCAAAGTAATTTGTTTCTTATCATTATGCTATTTGCCACAGGAACGTGCGTAGTCTGAGAATTGTTTCTTTTCTCCGATTACTAGGAAGATTATTACTTCCTTTTGGCGGTCAAAGAATTTGGTGCGGTTAAGTGTATCTCTATACCATTTCATGTATGAATACAAGATTCATACCATCAGCATAATATCGCCCAAACAACATGAGGTTGCTATATAAGTACGCGAGTTTAAAGGGGAAATAGACCTTTTATACCAATATTCCCATTTTAACAAAGTTCCATCTGCATTGTTTTGTATCTTTGTCGTATTAAATATAAAAAAAAATTAGATTCCATTTTAAAGGCCTACTTTGACTTTGTTACGTTTAATTTATTTTCAATGAAATAATTATACTTTCAAAATTTTGTTTGTATCGGGGGGATCAAAAACGGCAAAAAAAATCGTGCATGATATTGCGGGATTTTAAGTCCTGAAAATGCGTCTTATACAAATTGATGAATATAAAAATAAACTAACAGTACCTTGCTACATCAATAGGTTGTTTCTCAGAATGAATTTGTTGATAGTGAACTGCCGCGATTGTATTTCGCTTAGACCCAAAAGATTCTGTTGTTATTCCAATACTCCTCGCATAACGAAGATCAGGTGATTCTTTTATTTCGCAATAGAAAAAAAAACAAGAATGTTAATGAGAATGACTTGAATGTCGATACCGTTCAAATTTAGTAAAATAGCAACCAATTTAAATGCGATCATGTTTTTTGTATGAATAGTTGCTACAGCCTCAATAGCGATAAAAAAGCGAATCTGTTCGCTTGCTCAATTTGATTCTTGTGGAGATAAAATTTGCATTAAGTAATCTTTCGAATATCTTTTTGCAAGATTTGTACTGAAGATATGAAATTTAGTGATATTACATGATTCGCGTTGTACGAACTGAGATGACAAACGGTTAATGTGATTTTAAACAGACTATAGACAGCATGCATGATCTGCAATGGAGATATAGTTTGACGTTTCTGCTATCTAAAATGTTGGCAACCTGACTGACTGTGTTGATACTGAATAGTATACGATCCATACATTTGGAACTGAACTAGACTTTACCTATAAATCGCACTGTTTGTTACCTAAAAGAAAAAGAAAACTAAAATGCCGAAGACGAATTTATACTATTACCACACACCTTTAAATAAATCCCGTGATTGAATAAAAACTAAAAACGCTACAAAAAATTATCGACTGCATCTGAACTTTATCAGCCCCTCGCAAATTAAGCACGCAACATTTTTATTTTATTTATGAACTCCTTCCATATAAAGTAAGCTTGCTAACTTGCTAAGTCAACAAAATCACAAGTGATTTTTGTATCAAAATTTCATCTGATTGCTTCAATCGCAACTAAATTGGTTTAAAAAATAATAGGCAAAATGACGTCAGCAAGCATGGGAAAATGCGCTTTGTACATTGCCTATTGACCAGTATATTTCCTGTATTGGAACGGAAGAATCGTGTCCCAAGTTAACATAAAAATATATAGAATGACGCTTGAATGAATAATAACGTCGCCTAAATATGAAAAATCGCAGAGAAATTTAAATCTTTTATTTACACTAATTGGGAGCTTTCTAAAATTACTCTAATTTCATGGTTAGCAAACTGAATGAGATTTTCGGACAGTTTAATAAAATTGCCACATGGTGGCAGCACTAATTATAGCAAGAGAGCAATGTGGACACGAAAGTCAAATAACAAAATTGCAGTCAAACGTTTGAAAAGTATACCGAAGTTTATATGAAGGAATGCCGGTGAATAAAATAATATCGAGTCCGTAGGAGTTAAAAAGAGAAACTGAAAAATAAATAAATAAAAGTAATAATAGTCTTGTAGTGACTTCTTTTGCCTTTAGATATACAAAATTTGAAGTTGATAGGTCCAATAGCGAAACAAAGCAATATTTTCGCAGCATCCAGAAATCCGGAAAGAAAACAATGCATATGTCCACTTCTTATCAATGGGCAAAAATTTAAAGGCAGTGGCGATCCCAGATATAATTTAACAAGAAAGAATTATAGAATACTAGGAGACGCTTTCATCATAGACTATGAAAAACTTCAAAACATTAGTTTCATTTTTCCCAACAACATAGCAATTTTATTGAACGATTCATAAATCACATATATTCATAAACCACACAATTCAATAATATTTTTCAATTTATCGCCTGTTGAGTTAAACTTGGAACGCACCACACTTGTTTTGCGTTCTGTGTGTATGAAACATCATTTATCGAAATAACTCACCTAGAGACTTGATATCGACATCCAAATTTTTGACTTCAGAATCTTTTCCGTCCAACCATACAGGACCAAACGCAAACTCTTTGTGGTCATCATTGACATTTTTTGCGAAAGACTTCCCACTTGAATGTCGTTTGCGTACGTGACCAAAACTCTTGGTAACGTTACCAACTGAACTTGTTCCAGCACCAAACATCGCAGACGATTGTCTCATGCTGATCAACTTTTTTCTCCGTTCTTTCACAATCTCAGCGTCACTCACCCTGGCCTGTGATTCTCTTTGGAACCTTCAAAAATACAAGATAGAGAATAGGGGGAAGTTGTCTTGAGAATCTAATTTCTCGCTGTATTGAAACTATAATTTTGACTTTTGAAACCTAAAATAAGCGAATGACAACGTCATCGGGAGAAAGCAATTTCCGTCCATTACCGATACAAAGATTTTTACCCATTTAGAGGCGGCATTACCGCGTTTTGTCCATTTCGTGTACGAATAAAAAGCACATTCGTATAATAAAGTCTTGAGACCAACTCTTACCTGTGACGTGAAAGATATGGAGAAGCAGGCTGGGAAGGTGATTTGTCACAAACGAGGGCTGAGACTGTCAGTGACGTCATTGATGGATCGGGCATTTGTTTTCCACTTGAATGATTGTCTGACTGAAAATTATATTGAAATGTGTTTAAGTTACTCATACATTTCAGTAAAAAATGTGTCGTTAAATACCGACGATGCCCTTTTATCTTTATAGTGCTGGTTTTAACAACAATCACTAATTCTATAGCGTTTACCTTATATACGATACAAATCAAAATAAATCAGAATTGAACTCGTTGCAACTGATATCAAAAATCCAGCTGTCTCATAATTTTAATTGTTTATTTTAGCAAAGTACACTATTTTAAGCCGACGTAGTGCGCGATATAAACGCCTCTTAATTTTGTAGCTTGTAATCTACACTAAGTGGAAATATGCACGTAATCATCATAAAACGTCACAAGACATTTTTCTTGATCGTTTTACTTTTGGTTGGTTGTATATGAGCCAGAGGAAAGTTAAGATTTACCTACCAATCCTAGTCCAGAACAGACGTAAGTTTCTGTAAATCGCGGTCCTTTACTAGTTGGGTGCTCACTATTTTTATTGTTACGTAAGCTTAAATGCAGACAGTTTAAATACCATGATAACTGTATGTGACAACATCCATTGCCTTGAATTTGACCCGATGTACAGCAAAAAAAATTTGATTTAAATGTTATAAATACACTTTAAGTCATTCTGTAACCCAACAGATACATTGTAACCAACACCCATGAATTCGAACTACACCACGAGCAAGAAATCGCGTGATAGTATTTTACGAATCAAACGACCGGACGAAATCATCATAAAAGTTTAATAAATTTTATGTATTGTTTGCGAAGTGTACTTACCGTTTTAGAGCGAAAGTTCTCTGAAGCATTATCCGTAAATCCAAACGAATAATCCCCATTGTTGACATTGTAACATTCTCCAGGCGTGTCTATTCCGAATGCTTGTCGATGAACATTGTGTGTTTGTTCATATATAGGTACTGAACTATTTTCATTAATTTCCGCTTCATCGCTTAGGCTTAGCCTGGGTGGTAAGGGTTCTCCTCTTCCAGTACTTTCTATTATATCTTCGCATAAATAATCATCGCGTTGCATTGCCCTAACTGTATATCTTGCCTGGTAAACCACCAAGAAAAATAATCTTCGTAGTTTATTGAATTTTAATTTCTATTCTATGAGATAGTTCAGATATGTGAGTTATACAGCAGGAGCAAATACAGAACAAAAAATATTTCTATTTCAATAATTCAACTTGCTAGTTTAGTTTAACAAACGTGCTGTTTGTTAATGAAATGCACTGAAATAAAATTATTGGAGATGTTTGCCCAGGTAAATGTACTATCTATATTTAGCATAAAATGCATGTATTGAAGAAGCAAAATAAAATTCCTATTTAATGAATAAATGGATGACTTTATGAATAAAACAGAAATACAAACAAATGTCAAGTGAATAAATACAACAATTTGGAATGTATACAATCAAGAGTAAGGAGAAATGGATCACAAATATTGGGTTAGTCATTTGTTGCCTATTTCATCCGAGAAAAACAAGATAATAATCCTGCAAAGAACCGGTGTATCAGATATCAAACAATGACGAAATTGTGACGTATGCTCATTGTTGTGTATTCCATCACTCGTCTTGAATTTCAGAGATTGGATAAACTTTGATTTCATACAAAAAAAAAAAAAAAACATCACAAGTGAGGTCGTAGTAAGGAACATTGGCATATTGCGCGTGCATCTAACCAATTATATTTAATATATATAATTTTACCTATAATAATAAGTATTAGTTTTACGACAAAGGGGTGCATTTTCAAACTTTGCCATGGACGGCATTTTACGTAGATACACCACTGTTTGTAAAATAGCGTATGTAAGCGCAGAATTGTAGTAAACACTAATGCTTTGTGCAGCCAAGGTGAAGTGCATATTTTTCATATTGCATTTACATCGCACAACTTATAAATATTTTATTTAAATACACCGAATCGAAAACCATTTTTAAATCAGGAGATAACAACTTGTTTGATATTCGACCACGTTGGGGGGTTGGAGTAAAGTTTGTATATATATATATATTTTTTTTTGTGTAAATATCTGACTCACCTGTCAAGATAGCTGCGACTATAGGCTTATTAAAATATTAAATCTTTAGTAAAAATATATAAAAAAAAAGATCGTTAACGAGTCAATCTAGAATTTTATTAACAAACAAATAATGAGGATAGTTACTTTCTATATCTCATGTAAATCCTCAAATAAATCTCTGGTGCAATATGAAGAAGAATCACCACACTATCAACTCACTATTATATTATTGCCCTACTAATTTGGGGGGAGATCTCAACGATGGAAGAAGAAACTTCTGTGAGTTAAATGACAAAAAATAATATTAATCTAGAATTGTGTTTTGACGGATTGCATGCTGCAGGTTGATTTATCCCATCCACGGAAAAATTTAAAACTTTCTCCAAAAGTACTCTCAGTGACACTGCAGAATAATATTCAAGATTCCTATCTTATAGTATTACTTAAACGACTTCCTAAAGCCTTATCTAACTTTGGGCTTTTCTTTACTCATCGACTACTACGTTACGAGGTAAATGGCAAACATTTTGGATTACATAGTCGAGGCGTATAGCGTGGTTTGGTCATTGAAAGGTGATACTTGAATAAACAGAGACCGTTGTGTGTCATCTTTCAAGAAGAAAGCCAGTCAAGTCATAAATTTTTATTTACTTTGTGAGTGTTGAACACATTTTCTGGTCGCTTAAATACGACGCTTAACGTACCTAAGTGTTTGGAAGCAATTCATCATGCTGATAAAAACTCATTTGTCGTGGAAAATTTTGTTTGCAATGGAATGGAATAATCCCTATATAAATGCATTGAAAAACAGGGCAGATCTCGTTTAAATCTCCACTATCTAGATCAGGGATTCTCAACCTGCGGCCCGTCGCATCTTTTGTGGTCAAAATGCGGCCCTTTTACCTGGGAAGTTGAGTAACCCTGATCTAGATTCTAGACTAGATCTTAGGAGAAATAAAAAGACTACGGTCATGCCAAAAATGTTAGATTTGTACATAATCAGTATCAGGTTGTTTGGCCAAAAACTCAAAATAAATGTTTAAATTACTGCATTTTTCCACAATCGTTAAATACTGAAATTTCTATGTGAAGACATATAATGTTAAATATCACACACATCGTTGTGATAGACTCAAACTTACTCTATAGACAATTTTTAACATCATATCACAAACACTTTAATTAGATTCGTGTTATTGTTTTCGCAATTTTACGAAATTAGAATATTAATCAATGTACACAATACGACATTACTACGCCTGTTAACTAACAGTACTCTGCTCGGTCTCAATACGAACGAAAACTCATATCTTACAATACAAAAAGGTTTGCGATTGACTGAAGATGTTATTTATTTAGCACTGAAACTGGTCAATCTATACCTCCCTCAGGAACGAATTTTCATAATATTCTTTGATTATTACTAAGAATCATACGCCTTAGTATACATACAAGAATTGAAAACATCTTTCTAATTTGCAACACAAATCAGAATACTTAGAAATTGTTTATTGGATTATAGACCATTATAGTACATCGATGACGTTGTGTTGTCGAACGAAACAATATTTGAAGTATTCTTCTCACCTATATGCTAAAATCAATTTTAAAAATAATAAATAATCATAAATTATCATAAAAATATACCGCAATGAACCAAAGTGAATAACTCATCTAAATATATATGCGCATTTAAATTTTTGACACTAATTACATCCTAAATCTAGAAATTCACGTAATCACTAACTAATAAAGTCGGTAAATGTCACAATGAACACATTGATTCCCATCGCAGAAAAGTGTTTTTGCATCGTATGATTTCTTGAACTTCCTTATACGTTTTCCTGATTGAGTTAAGTTGTTGAACTACACATTCAAAATAATTTTAAAACGGTTTACGGCTGTGAAGAACCTCGACAACGCTGCTAGCCGTCTTGAATACAAATTTTTTATTTTATTTGTAGTTCAATAACAATCCAATAATTTACTGTTTTCGGGCTTTTGTTACATTGATTGAAAATTGTAGTATAGCAGAACACCGCCGTATCCGTAAACTAAACGTGAATTTACTTTAGGCCACAAGCTTGCCATACAAATAAGACTTGGATACTGGTCATGTAAAGGAGGACATTTAAACATTAAAATTTCATTTGTTAATATTGTGTTAACGGGAAATCAACATTGAGAGAAAAAGGGACAATAAAAAATTTCTTAAATTGAAACCCAATGCGTTTCACTAAGACGTGTATCATTTCATCAGTTAGCTTGGTCTGGTAATAGGACGGGCACAGTATTGTCAATGGAATCGGATCTGATATGCCATAGCCCACTAGACTAAGCTATCATGAACAGCACGATTGCCAGTTATCTAACACAATCGAGGACCCATGCATCAGGTATAATACTATCATCTTACGGGTTTCAACTATTCTATATATTCAGGAATTCAATATAATCTTTGTGGTCGTAAATACAAATGCAACCATGCTGACTTCAAATGAAGACTGAATGCCCTCTTTACGAACAAATCTCTGCACAAAGAGGGTATGCACGTATGTTCATTTACCTCAAAATTTAACTGCATCTACGTAATATATAAACATTGTAGCAGACACAAGGTACATTTACAAGACCTTTCTGGCTCAAAACACAGTTGTGCGACATTTTTTCCTGTCGGGTAACTCATTTGGTGGGTGAGGAATCTCTAATTGAGAGATGGTCTTAATTACCAATACACCAACTTATCTGGGATCTCTAGAATGTTATGTCGTATACCTAATTAGGCCACTCAGTCAAAACTCTTCGACCCACAAGTCCCGTGCTGCTGCACTCAATATTTATGATTAGACAGCAAAAGTTTGGGAGGATTAGTTTTTTTTTCAGTGTGGAATTGACTATGTTACAGGCCAAGTCTTGTTAAGCATGGTTTACAAAGCAATTTGACAGAAATTTTAAAAGATGCGTCACTTTATAGTCGAACATGCCTAGTGACGCAGCATGACAAAGAATCTTGGCTGATTCAAATATCATTTTCCGTTTGCCCCAAATAAAACATGTTCATGGTTTGCTTGCTTCAAAAGATATTTAGTTTCTTTGTTATCAGGACTTGAGAGATATTTGACTCTAATATAAGATGCAAGCGTAGATTTATAAGGAATTTTGAAGAAAATTTGCAATTTTTCGTATAATGATATACCATTTAATGGTTTGTATCATTAAGCAACTCCAAATTAGGTATCTCGGTTATCTGAAGCTAGAAGTTATGAGAATCAAAAGATTTAGTACATTATAGCTAAATGTACTGAAAACAATTTCGCTAATTTATTTTTGGGGATCAAAGTAGTAAAAGGTATATATATGCGTAGCGCGATGCAAGATAATACTGATACTACATAACGTAAATTTCTATTTCAGGGTTCAGTTTTATATTTGCGATGCATAATTTTGTACCGCTTACCAAACTTACTTGCGTGACAATTTTGTTTCGCAGACTAAATATCGAGGGTTCGAACCACATTTATTAAGGTAATCAATATAAGTTTAGCATCAACCACTGTGTGCCTGGCTTTATGCAAAGAGGGACAGAGCGAGTGAGCCTATTTGGGAGAAATGCATTTAATAGCTTGAGCACCACAATCTTTTTCAGATAAAATGATTTAAAAACATAGTGCAAGAGGACTATGAATTAATAGACAATATTTTGCCTCGTCCAGCAAGTTAAATGAGTAATATAGGAGCGACGACGGACTATTCGTAGTCGAGATCATAATTTTGTAGAAGATATCATTTATATATTTAAGTCGAAAAAAGTATGGCGTTAGTTCATCCATATGCTTTCAGACTACCTTACTCAAATTTTGAATCATTGCTTTGTGATTTTAAAAACTTACAACCTGTATTTTGCAACAAATCAGAATATAGTCAAAGTCTATTGGCCGATAAATAACTCAAAAGCTAGTGATATATAAATTTGACACAAAAAATCATTTACGTACGAACTAAAGTATTACCAGTGGAAATTGGTTTGAACCAAAGTATTGATTGACTTTTGTTGTTAGTTTTTTTTAATATACATGGTCACTCTATCGCCACCGAGAAGGTTCAACGATCTCCGTATTCCATGTTTTTTCGATCTGCGCATACTTTTCATTGCCAGCGATTTTTGTCCATTGCTTTGGGATTTGGGGCCGATCAATTTTCAAAACTCGTTATCTATTAATTCTTGACTCTAAATAAATATAATTACCACTGTCACTGTGTTTTTGAAAAGTTTTTTATAATAAGAAAAGGTATGGCATTGTGCATAGAATCTATTATTGCTATGTTGTAGTTCAGAATTTGGTATAATATGCCACTCACTACAAAATTTAACAACATTGAACGTTTTACTGCGATGAATACACCGAGTCAAATCTTCATAACAAAAGAAGATTCTATTACAAACCTTTTATCATAATTTTAACTATATGGCACAATAAGTAATAAATGAACAATAGAATAATTTTAAAATCTTCACAAATTAAAAATATATTCATTAAGTTCTGAAGAAATAATTTAATAAATATAATTTGAAGGATGTTATATAAAACTTTATGCAGCATATGTTGATCCTGTGATGTTCCTTCATTTGGAATTGGCAATTTATGTTAGTGTCGTAACCAGCTTGATAAGACGATGGCTGCGAACAGGCGAATAAATATAGTGACAGCTGTTTTTCGTACCACTCGACCTAACGTCGGCGGCTAAACTCAGAAGACATTAGTGGCGCAAGAATGCCGTCTAGTTTCATTAAATTAACAAGAAATTGACGTCATCATACCAATACATTTCTCAATTAGCAGACACGTAAATTACTTACGCACGACAGGCTGCAAGGAAAAAATATCCATCCTTAGTTTGAGTATCGCACTTCGGAACGTTATCGCAGTTTGGAACATGAATTTTCACTCGCGCAGATAGAGTGCGAAATCGTTTGTACAAATGGTTACATTTTGAGAGTGTGGTACTGTGATTTAAGGTCGGTTTTTCAGTAATAGTCTTCATTCAGTTGTTTGCTTTTGTCTTTAGTGTAACATAGTTAGGTAAACAAAATGAAGCATCTTTGTGTGGCTTTCTTGCTACTGTCATTAACAGGTAAGCTAGCTTTGTTTATATTTGGTACTTGAGTTTGTATGTTCTATTTACTTTCTAAAATTTCTTTTTATAACGTACTCAAAACAAAAAAACAAGTTCCGACAGATTAAAACGTTTTAAAAACGATCTTCATCTTGTTATGGTTCCTAATATATCTGCAATAAATTTCAGCACACATATTTTATATTAAATACGATATTTATTATATATAATAATTGTAGATTTCAATTAATTTATTTGTTGTTTAAACCTTTGTCTCACAAGCTCAATTATGTCTGATAAATAGCCAAAGCAAAAAGCATCAATTCTTCTAAAATACTATTTTTATCAACTCGTGCATACTTTTCAGCTTTTTTCATAACATCATGCAAAGCTGAAATGGGTTTGGAGTTCCCGGAACATGATGGGACAGATAGAGTCATCAACCTAAAAAAGAAGAATTTCAACAAGTAAGTTCGGAGATCTATGTTTAAATTTTAGATTGTACATGGTATATGAGTGGTAAGTACAAAGTATATTTATGATTGTATTAGGCTAAATTTGCTTTAGAATCGTATTAGTTTATTGGGATGAAACATTTGTTTCACATTTCCAGATTTTTGAAAAACAACGACATATTGTTGGTGTACGTGACACAACTCGACAATTCAAGTGATCCTATTGAAATGGCAGAGTGGGATCGTATAGAAGAAATGCTGGAGGTTATATGTCAATTATTTCTTCTAATTATTATTTTTTTGTCTCCTTTTCTTCATATTTTTTTTTTTAACATTTCTTCTTTCTTAACTATCTTCTAAGATCTTACATGATCTCTAACTTTTAATATTTCTTTTCACAGCTCGTTGCTCAAGTAGTTGAAAGAGAATCGATCGCTATTGGTGTTGTAGATATGATTGATGACACAAAACTGGTAGAAAAATACAGTAAGTCAAATACATTTTCTTGTATATATATATATACGTTACAATTTTGAAAAACTGTCGAGAATTATAAAATAATATAGTTTACACACAAAGGCCAATATACAGAATACACATTAGATTCAAATGTGTATCATACTACCAAAATGCACGATTGTAAGAATACAATTACCCATACCATATACTGTACCAAATTTTATATAGCCGAGTGACTTCTCGTGTTTTATCAGTTGTCCACGGTGTAATACCTTACTGGTTCTCCAGTACAACTTAAGTTCATCTATAAATCGGTTAGTGTTATTGCTCAAATCTGAAGACATCGTGCAAACCATCAATTTTTTTTAATAATAAAAAAAAAATGAAAATATCTCTCATTATTAAAGCCCAGACATCTATTAGATTAATTACATCTGTGCACGTGACCTTATCAGGCATGAATGAACACGCCAATATATTGACGCCACATCATGCTTAGTGTTCAACAACTATAAATATTCATTTGTGCCGGTATTCCTCTGGGAATTGCTGATTTGCGATTCCCGTGACCCTGGTAAGAATTCATGTTTGATTGTTTACTCGGTCAAACGTGGTCTGTTGAATACAATCCTTCTTCTACCATGCGTGATGGAATCTTCGCAAATATATATCATTTTTAAATCGTATATTCCTTAATTGAAAACGCATATTTTGTTTACAGATTTCACTGAAGAAGGTTCCATATTTGCTTTCAAATTGGATCATATGATTGAGTTTGATGGACAAAGGTCGGCTGATGTCCTAGTAGAATTCCTACTAGAGGTAAGTTGAGGCTATGTTTCAAAAAATACTAGGAAACAGCCCTTGAATAAACAGCATGTTACATACTTTATTCAATTTTGGTCGTTCAAAGTTGTTGAAAATTCGGGTTAAATTATATGAGAACAATTACTTTATAGTTGGATGAGTACCCAGTTGAATACATCAACAGCCAATGCGAAATTGAAGGATTCAGAAGAAATACTCTTCCTAAAGTCATCGGATGGTTTGAAAGTAACGACACCGAAGGTATATCATTTTTAACATCCTATTTCCCTTTCGTTTTGTTTTTATCAGTCCTCATTGTACTATGATTAACATAAACATAACAGCAACAGAACACAAAAGTAGTTTTGAACAAGGTAAAAAGTTTTAGCATCGATTGAATTGATAAATATAAGAACCTTTATTTTTAGCTTACAGAGACTTCGTTGATGTGGCTCTTGATTATCAACCAATGACCAGCTTCTACGCTACATTCGACAAACATGTAAGTGTATAGTGTAATATCGGTAACACTCTGACCTTTTTGTGAGAAGAGCAAAAGTACATAACGTTTTTTTGCCTTGTGGTAGATGCCCATATCATCCCAACAATTTTTGTCCCTATTAAAAAATTGAACACCCGTTTTCGTTCAGAAATAAGTTCGTGTTCGGGTTTACAAAATTCCTACTGTTAACACCACATCAACTACCTGGTTTTCACATAAATTCTTGTATTTTATGTAAGTTCTATTTTATTTAGATGGCCAAGCATCTCGGCATATTCGAGTTGAATCAGATTGAATTTCACGAACCTTATATGAAGAAAGGATGCACCATCCCTGGCGAACTTCCCCACGATGAAGAAACAATAAAAGACTTCTTGGAATGTCACAAAAGATGGACATTAATGAAGTTGAGACCAATGGATATGTATCACACATGGGTAAGCTATATGGTATTCCAATATTCTTTTCCGTGCAAAACAAGAAAGCACTGTTTAAGTACGTGCACGGAAGTACAATAACAAAGCGCAGTACCGGTAGACTACGCAACTTAGGAAGAGCACCTAGTTCACAAAACGAGAAGAAAGAACATTCGTGACGCAACGGTCATGCTTGACGGATTGGAAACAGTGTTCCCATGAATTATACCAAAACAGCGAAATCATACGCGAAATATCGGATCATATAGGACACGGAGTAAATTTGAAAAATATATGTAGTCTGGCGACTACTTCTATCTTAGTGTAACGAAATTCAAAATCCATTTGTCTGATAGCCTTGAGAAAATCGATTTCTTCGACACCAAAAGATCGCTCAACATCAACAATTCATCAAAACAATTCATGTGGCCATTTCGTTTATAATAATGAAACTTCATCAAAGATTCAAGTAATACTATTGATACTTTTTAGGAAGATGATGAAGATGATACCCACATTGTCGTATTTGCTGATGAACATGATCCAGAAGGATATGCGTTTTTGAATACTGTGAAAGAAATCGCTTGTCATCATGATGATGATAGCAATCTCACCATGATTTGGATTGACCCAGACGATTTTCCACTGGTATTTATTTTTTGTTATCATCATGAAAACTTTAATTTGAACGAGAGCAACATTTCATTTGTTACAATTGAAAGGTAAATGGTTAGCACGTATTCTGACCACGATCTAACGCCGTTGAACTACAGGCTTTGAAAAAATAAAAATATAATTTGCAAATTAATTTTGAACTAAAAATAAGATATTTTTTTTTCATTTCTTTTTCTTTAATTCCAGCTTCATGCATACTGGGAACGAACATTTGGAGTCGACCTGAAAGACCCTTGTATTGGAGTTGTGAATGCAACTGATGTAAGTTTCTTGCACACTAGCGATCCACTCCGTCATCGTGGGGTCACTATATAAAAATAGTACGGTTTTTGTAACGCGCAACTAACTACTGTTCTTTTCCCTCTGTTTTTGTGTTGAGGATTTCTAAAAGTTCATATGACTGTAGCAGATTAGGACTAATGCTGTGTGGTATTGCATCGCCCTCCGGCAATTTCTTTTGTGGCATTTCGTTTGACCAACGCTAGAGACATTGTATATGTTTTCATATTACTATTCCATTAACATTATTTGTATATAACCTAGTATATTAGAACAAATTAAAAATAAGCAGCCCATTTATTTGAAAAAACAACTACATTTCATGGTAATTTTTTCTTATTTGTGATATTTCACTTTAATTGTAATCAATTGCATATTTAGGCCGACAGTATCTGGATGAATTTTTCAAATGGAGAGCTTCCAACAGAACACGAACTTGATCATTGGATTCATGATGTACTAGACGGCACAATTAACACAGAGGACGATGACGATGATTACGTCATGGATGAGCTAGCTAACGATGATGATGACGACAATGACGATGATGATGACGATGAAGATGATCGCAAATCGCAAAAAGAATTGTAAACAATCAGTTTCACGCAGTCAAGTTTTTTTGCATTTCACAACAGTCAATATTTTACCCGACATTTTTATAGTAGAGATAAATTTTCTTGCCAAGATTAACTAAGTGTAATATGATGATGAGAATTGGCGGTAAACAAATTCAAAGTAAATTGGTTGTATTTGTATGTATTAAATAAAAACTCTCCAAAAAATATTTTTTATATAATTTGTCCACTGGTCGAACAAATTTATAACTCGGTTTGATGAAAAAGTATAACTGGTAATGACATGTATATCTCCAAAATTAAATGGTTTTCTTATCCAAAATTTATGATTCACGGGAAAGTCTGTGGAAAACTGGTTGCCATCTTTGTATAAACCAAATTCTAATCTGTCTCTAGGTCCATATTTTTTCAATAGCCAATCTTGTGGTAGTTTGGGTATTTTTTTAACAAAAGCTGTTGTGTAGATTACGTTCAACAAAAAAGTATTTTTACGACAAATTTATGTCACGCAATAAAACTGTCTAGAGTATTTTAAGCCTACTACTGAAGTAATTGTAACCTATTTGTTTGTAAATAAATGAATAATATTCCCTTTATTTGTTTTCTCAAATAAAACGGAATTAGACGTATATATTATTTTATGCGTTGTTGTCTAATTAGGATTGAAACAGTGTAATCGTGCTATAAGCTTGGCGGGCAATGTTCTTTCTTTCTATATAAAAGTTTGGTCGAAGAATGGCCCATACCCATAAGTAAAAGTAAAAGGCGCTAATTAAAGAATCAAGTCGACAACAAGATTTTGTTCAGACTGAAGCTATAGCTATATAGTTTTGAACCAATCGTATAACCGCTTATACTTAGGCTCAGTGGTTAAGGCGTCAGGCTCAACTAAATGGTTACCAGTGCACGATTTTTTCACAAATTTGTGCATAAGCAAAATATAGGATTTTGATGTAGCCGGTACGGATCATTCACATTTCTTGAGTTTATAAAATAAATTGAAAGTTTCTTCGGTTTTCCGAAGCGTTTGGCAGATTATTGACTATTTTCATGGGTAAAAAAGTATATAAATAAAAAAACCATAATTGTTGTTGTCAAGTAATATTTGCACGCATGATTTGCAGCTCGATTAATGACTCTAATCAGGAGAATGATGAAAGTGCACGTGTACTGTCGCGTCAACTTCCTCGCCGGTTTCTTCCTTCCTTTGTTAAAGAAATACAAAAGCTTGTTTGTGAAGTTACTCATGAATCAAGATTATTGTATTCATGTAACAGCGGATCCAACCGTCTGCTCCCCGAAAAGATAAATCATTGTATACCTGCAAAATTGATACTACAGCGCGTTGGAGTCATGTCCGTAGCGGAATGACTATGCAATTAATTCTTAAAGAAACGTGTAGGTCTATTATCCTGATATCAAATTTTAGGCACAATAGCTGAAGGTAGAGTCGCTTGACTTCATTGAGTTTCCGTGTATATAAGGGGGTATGTGGTCTGGAGTTGTAATGAATTGCAAAGAAGAAAATTTTGCATGCAGTTATTTTTTCTATCAGCCGCGTATAACTTACGAGCTGACCAAATTCGTCCTCTTAGTCAATTTAATCTCAGATGGATGTTTAAGAGTATGAATTCACAAATCCTTATCAAATTTTAGTTCTAAAATTAAAACTTTATTAAAGACTAAATGGAATGACGCAAAAAGAATAAGCATCTTCAGATGTAGGTAATGAACAAGGTCTTGAAATCCCAAAGAAAAAAGAGATCATTAGATGTTGTCAATACCTTATCTATTTCTATGTTTTTTAGGGGTTTAGAAAAATTATTTGTTGAACCCCAAAAAAGATGTTTTCACTGAGATGGAGTCTTGGTCTATGGTTATTTCTACTAGGTACGATTTTATTTTATTTTTTGTGTATAATACTTTCCGAAAGTATAATAATTTGCGTGATAACACCTGGAACCCATTCGATTGTTCAAGTCGGGATTTTTAGCAAATTCTGTTATTTTGTTTCACACAACTGAACTGAAATATTTTGACATTTTGACAAGGCGGTAATATGTTGATGATGTATAATAAGTAAGAAATGATCAATCGCCAGTTTTCCTTTATGCTTATACAGTATATATTGTGAAAATATTATGAATAATGAGAATTTCTTTTGTTTCTTTTGAATTGCAAATGAAACAAAAAGGTTTATTCAATATAAAAGTGGTACAAGAAGTGGTTTCGCGACAAAAGGGCGAATGTTGGAATTCGAAAACATCATTATTTGAAAAAATTACAAAGAAATAGATGCTTTTTAAGCTGGTGTTTAATCATAGTTTGTAGCAATATTAATCAATTATTTTGATGAAAATTTAAAGAGTCTAGATTTCAAAGCATACGCGTTCCCCATTTTCTGGAAAACAGATTTTTCAAAATTTCCTTTGGGTTTAAACCCATCGAAGTCTAGTTTTACAAAACCCAAAACGCAATCCGAACTTACCTTGAAACTTTGATTATTTTTAGTATCAGGCGTGGCTGTTGCGATGTATGATGACGAGGATTATGTAGATGAAAACGACGACCTGTTACAAATGCTTCTAGACCACGTGGTATGTTTACTTTATGCTTTCTTTTTTCTCTATATTTTATTCATCCTCTCTATTGTGTAAATATATTATATTTGGTTTTAATTTTGTTCTTCTTATTGTCACAGATACTGCACCAAACGCTTCACACTCAAGTTACGATGGTTCATACAAAAACGGCTGAAGTTCCTAAGAAATGTTACAAATTTTGTGCAAAGAAAAAGGAAAATAAGGAAGAATACGCTTTTGATTGCATAGAAGAATCTCTCAAAATGAAGGAAGATAAGAAAAGTATGTTTAAATGCAAGTTCATAAAATTTAATTGACACAACCAATCTTGATAAAAATACAATGTTTGTGTCAATGCATAAAAAACAAGAGAGCTATGCTCAAATATATGGACACGTAGAGTCACATAATTTTGATGACGTCATAGCGAAAAAAAAAGTAATAGCCTTCTGGAGAAAATTTTTATCTTTAACCACTGAAAATTTCAAAGCAATTGGTCCAGTATTCGAAGAGAAAAGCGACTTTTTAAAAACGTGTCAAAGAACAAGAACAACAACAACAACATAATATTGAAACGATCGTTATGTCCACTACGTGTCCAATAAGATTAGTAACTAGTAACTACACTTGTAAAATCATAACACAAAAATACATCCACTCAAAATATATGTAAATAAAATTGAGTAAATCTACGAAAAAAGGAAAAATAGTCGGTGAAACATTCAGTAAATATTCTAGAAACTTGAAATTGAAATTAACACATTTTCAATATGAATCAACGTCACAAATCGTTCTTCCTACAACGTATAGCGAAAGATGCCAAAATATTTTTATGAATAATAGCCAAATTTGTATTGGCTTAAAGTAAAATTTGGATTTTTATGAATTTTACCCCATAGATAATATATAGAAACAGAGGAAACTGTTGTAGTAGCTGATACATGCTCAACAACTATTCAAGTATATATAATTGCCGTATTTTTTATATAAAGTATTAATGTCTATTGTCGTTAACCCGAGCTCGTTTTATGCGTGATAAGAAAATGGTTTCCCATTTCGTAAAATATAGCACAGGTGCAATCAGAAATTAAAGCACTGTATACACTGTAGTCAAAACAATGTAAGCAGTGCAAACGTGCATTGATCGGATTATCTGGGACTTGCAATGAGATCTTGCGGTATAAATTTCCAAAACTGCATTTCTTTCCGTCCTGTGTATCCAGATAAGGTGAAAAAATATATTCAGAACAATGAATTATTTAGTTATTCTAAACAAGCAAAACTGAGATATTTGAAATTTGAGCAGAGTCCTGAAACTGAAATGTGCACTGAAACGATGGAAGTCACCGATATTGTTGGTGCTATTCTACAATAGGGCAAGTAAAAGTAATCAAATATCATCCGAATTGTTAGCCCAATAATTGCAGTGAGTTGAAAGATGGCTGCTAGTAATACAGCTTGTCTTGACATTTCCAAGTTCATTGTCCATTCTTGACCCATATACCCCACAATTGGCAGTCAATTGTTGGTCACAGACTCGTGAAAACGTGAGCACATAGATTAGCTCGTCAGGACTACAGAGGAGGTGACGTAGCCTCAATCATATCAATTTTTCCTCTTTTGAATCTGAAGACGCGAGCATTCATACGACATGGGAACAAAAAAATTTATGTCTGGATCATGCCATTTCGATACCTTTGTAATTTAAAAAATTTTGATATAAAAATACAAGAACTTACTATATCATTTATAAATAATTTCCAACGTATTCAAATAATGCATTTGACTTCGTTGACTTCGGTTTTGGGTATCTTTGTTTATCTAACGCAAATGTCACCTGTACCTACCATAATTTCACCCAATGCAAAACTGTATACTCAGTCTGTATCTACATTGGCGATTCGCTGTTTTTATATATATTTTTGTAGATATGAATCCAACTCGATTTGTATGAGTGAGTGTTCTATTTGGGACTCGCTAAGTTGAACAAAATATCAGACATGATCACACATTAGTACCGTATATATGCTCCAAGTAGTATTATTGACTTCACAAACTTGTTTTGAAATAAGGTGGTCGACATTACATAAAATTTTTTTTTTTTTTCAGGAGAGAAAGTACGAGCATTTTGCTTCAAGTGCCGTCAAAAATGCATTAAAGCGAAGCTGTCCATCTACATTTAAGCATCGTATTTCAAGTAGACGTAAAAGTTGCATGAATTTTCAATAAAACAAAGAAAAGAATATATCCTAATCAAGTTGCCAATTTTGAGATTATACTCTTGATCCTATGAATATGGAATTTATGTGATTAAAAAATGTATATTAAAGTTTCGAAACATTGTGCTGTGCTTGCTTTTTACATCTATATGTAAACTTGCAGTAAATGGGGCAATAGGACGTAAATATTTGACTAGTACGTTCAACAAGTGAGAGGAAATATATAATTATATTAGATTCCTTTTAAGTATATTTCAATTTCATGGAAGGCAAAGAATTGTCAAACACGACGGAACCTACGAAAACTAAGTTGTGGGGCATTACAAATTAACAAAGATAAGTAAGATTCTCAAAAATGACAGGCAAATCATGAAAATTCGAAATAATATTTTGGATTGCGTTTTTTACTATCTGTTCTTGCTTTAAATCTGGCACAGACGCACGAAACAAGAAAAAAAAACGTGGTAGTGCCGGCAGAGTCCAATTATGTTTATTGGATAGAGAACGTTCCTACCACGCTAGGATGTGCAACACACAAAATAAATCAAAATATGCAAGTATCAGGATATTGTTTGCAAATATAGCGTGCAAAAAAGATAGGAAACGATACAACCCAGTTCATACTAGTACAAGCATTCAGCATCACTGTGGTCTACATACAAATACAATGATGTGTCACGCCGTCCCTCAAGAAGGCTTCACCCTACTAAAAACGATTCTTATACCAGTATTACTCAATGTCTGTTTTTCAAACAACTATCCTTTGAAAAAAAAAAGATACCCTTTCTAAAACATAAGAAAGTTATGTTCCTATGAGATAGCTATGTACCATTTATGGATATTATGCTTTTTCTAAACAGTGGTATGCTTTCAGGCCCTTTTTGGAAATTTGTATACCTAAAATTCAGAGGGAACCTACAGGCTATGTGTTGTTCGATTTCAAGATATTGTTATTTGTCAATTATTTATTGAAAAAAATGAGCGAAACATTGCGTAAGATTCGTACTCAATTTTTATGCATGATTTATAGTTTGAATCAAGTTACAAATTTTGAAAAATTGTCAAATTACACCCGTACGGCGGTAGATTCAACTTCCTCGACGGTTTCTTCCTTTCATTGTAAATTTATTACTCACAATCAATTTATGAAGTTACTCATGGAACGAGATCGCTTTATCCAACAGAAAGCGGATCCCTCCGTCAGCATTCTAAAAAGATAAACTATTGTATACAAGCAATATTGAGATTACGAGTTTAGGAGTCATGTCCACTGTAAAATGCTAGATTAACTAACTCACGAAAAAAGTACATAGTTACTTTTTTAATGCCTCATGTTGAGCATTATTTACAAATAGTGAATAGTAGAGTCCACTCTTGCATCGTCTGACAGCTTTGCTTTGCGTATTTGAAGTGTTTTACAGTGGTGAATTTCAGACTAATTTTTTATGCCACATTGTATTATTCTTTAGTTTATAGTGTATTTGTTGTCGTAGAGAGTTACTTTGCATACTACAAGGTAGAATCAAGTTGGAGGTTTTGTATCTATATATAGAGGGGGCTTCCGATTTTGTAACAATGAGAAAAGTTGGCAAATTGTGGTATTCTGCACGAGTTTAATTGTTTTTTTTCGCGAAACATCGGTTTTGACTTGAATTCCACTTCATGTAATAATTCTGATTCTAATCAAAAAGGGATATTGAGTGTATTTGTCATCCCACAATATGAGAACTTTTTGGGGGTTTTCTCTGCAAAAATACTTTTCCAAGGTTGCACGAAAAAACCTCGACTTATGAACTCCACATGGTTAGTTACTGAATCATGAGTACGTTTGCGAGTAGATTAGCGAGCGAGCTTGTGTACGGCCTTAATAAATAAGATTTTATGTACGGATAACAACTATTTTGACTCATTTGTAATTTGAAACGTTCAGAATCTCCGAATCGAATTGCCGGCTACTATGTATGCCGAACGTCTGCCTTGTTATGTATATTACCTCTCTATAAAATTTAAAATAGAGACTTGAACAACATCTACCGTCATCAAATGACGTCAATTTATATGAAAACTTATTACTGTGATAACATATATACCAGGTCTCAAACACGACATGATATGTCATAAGTAAATTAAAGAATTTATGATTACATAAAAGATATATATCTAAAAATACTGTGAATAACTTTCTATTTTAAAAATATTCAAAGTGACTTTGGGAAATTAGCTGCTGGAAACGAGAAGAATAATGCTGCCATCGAGACACGTTTTTGACTTGTTGCTTTTCGTGTTAGGTATGCACTACAATTTCTTTCAATATAATACGTTTTCGAAATGCAAATTTTCGTCTAATAGGTCCTATTGTTAGTTATATTGTTATACTAACAAAATACATTTATAAATATGATAAATAAAATTTCGACTGCCACCACATATGAAAAAGACCGAAAATCCTATGTGCCGAATACGTATTATTGTGTGTTAATCGCATGTGAAAACGTTTATTCACCCAACGTTGTAGCAATTTTATATTGCACAACTACTGCAATGTTACTGAACTCACAAAAACTCAAAACAATAAAATAATTAGTCAAATATGAGATATTAACTTGAAGCATTTTTGATTTTTAGTAATGGACATCTCTGTTGCAATACCTAGTCAAGAAGAATATGACTATGAAGACGACGGACTGTTACAAATGATATTGGATCATGTGGTGTGTCAATTTCTCATGATATATTTGTTTGAATATTTATATTTATCGTCCTTAATCATTTACTAAAATACTTCAAACAACTTAGGCCAGTGGAACCCAGCCGAATATCAGTAGTACTACAGTAAATACAAAGTAAAATCCCTCCCAAATAATGACAAAATTTTCACCAGCGGAAGAATTTCTTCTTGGCGGGTAAACATGGCTTTAAAGTTGAAACAATCTTGTTTTCGATAAAATATTATTTATGCCTATGCGCGTATAGCCTGCCACTCTTTTTACTATAATTGCTAGCCTATATCTTTATTGTGACTTGGCAGTTTACGAAATTGGAAACGTTGGAATATTGTTTGATACTCCCGTAGTATGTGAACTAAGATGCCGGACACCGAAACGTAGTATATGTACCAGGTTAGGGTTAGGCCATAATTTCAGGTACAAATACTACTGGAGTCACTTGGCTAGTCCTCGAACTTGTAATAGAACTAAAATTGGGAACATTCGAAATTATGGCCTAACCCTAACCTGGTACACATACTACGCCCCGGTGTCCGCCATATTGATTCACATACTACGGGAGTATGCATAACATGAATATACCCGGTGGCAATCAAGTGCTTTTCAAAAGATAGAAAGGGTAACCAACGCAAGAAAAGCCCCGTATACAATACTACGGACCTCCTGAAGTATGCGCACCAAGATGGCGCACAACCTGAACTCAGGTTGTGTACCTGGTTAGGGTTCAGGTTATGCGACATCTTGGTGCGCATACTTTAGGAGCACCCTACATAGGGTGTGTTTTGGACATCTCTCCGGGGATTGGTATTATGGCAGAAATGTTGGGTGTTTTAAGAGAACAGGAGGAGCTATTTGGAAACAGCATTTTTAAAATCAATTGAATATGTCTTCTCGATGAACAAAATTATCATTTTGCACATCAATTTTACACTAATAATAAATTTTCTTTTTTAAATCTTATCCAAAAGACCTGAATTTCATTCTGAATTTTAAAGCACCTGCTTGCACTTTATTAGGATATAAGTTTCAAAATTACTTTCACATTTTCATGAACCCGCTGAATTGGTTGAAACACCCATCTGCCTGGCGCTCAAGAAATAAAAATTTTAAATCCATCCATCCATCTCCATCTGGCGCTAAACCAAACAACGCTGCATCAAGACTTCCTCCTCGCTTCTTTTTATAATTTATCTCCTCTTTGTATGCAGGTTCTTCTTTCCATTTCTCTCTCGTAATTGATTAAAACACCCATCCGTCTGGCACTCAAGAAATAAAAAAAAATTAAATTGGGTAAAAGATTCAACCATCTGGCGCTAAAAGAAACAATCCCTTTAAGCCCGGCCTGCCTTTTGCCGCACCCGTTATTCCGTCTGTGGCTTTCCTTCTCTAAAACCTTTTCTTCTCTGTCTGTTCCGCTCTGTCTCCTTCCGGCCCGTCCTTTTCCTAGCCGCGTTTTAGCCTGATTCTTTTGTTCCCTATTATTCCAGCGGTCCGTCGGTGCCACTCCCGAGTCCGTTCGTCTCCCTCCCTCCTCATGCCTTTCTCAACTCCAGTCTGCGAATGCCTTGACCTCTAGCTAGCTCTCTGCACCTCAACTCTCTGGGATTTGAACCCAACCTTGCACCTGGCCTTATGCTCAACATACATACACGCTTCCATTGAGCCACCGGTACTGACGGGTGTTGGCGTGATTAAAATCTCACTTGATTAACAAGATTTTATCAACGACACACTTGGCTATCCCCGACGACGCCAATTGGCAGCTACATGCTGTGTGGGTTCGGAGCAGACGTTCATACGTTACTATTGTGTGTTCTATGCTTCACCCGGTCCCTAACTTTTCTCAATAAATTTCATCTTTGCCTATTTTGGAACTCTTTATTTCTTCCCCACTCTACATAAAAACTCTGATTCCGGTATTTGTTCAATCTTGTGTAGAATAGATTCGTAGCTGGTATTACGCTCTCCGATTGGGAACGTCGACCCAGGGAAATAAATAAATTGCAACAATCTGGTTTGCAACGATCCAACATCACTCCAAATATGCTGCACTGTATATTTGTAGTGAAAACCAAAATTTTAGATGCTTTTCCTCACTGGGAAAACAACATTTAATAGTTTTGTTAGAAGGAAAATCATTTACACAAAATTGTTTCAGTATTTCAGCGCATACAAATTGGATTGCAACGTCAATCTCTCGTTGCCATTACAGATTCTACATCAAATTCACCACACCACCGAAATACACATTGTTCAAACAAAAACAGTGAAAGTGCCGGAAAATTGCTACAAATTTTGTGCAAAGAAAAAGGAGGAACACAGTCAACACGTGTTAGATTGCGTGGGAGAATCCCAGAAAATACATCGAAGAAATAAAAGTATGGTATAGTTACTATAATACATTAGCGTAATCATCAACAAAAACCAAACGATAGTTAAAATATTACATATGAAAATAAACAAAATAATAAATGTTAAATCAAATTCAAACTTCAAGCATTATTTGTGTTGTATATAACTAATTGTTTTTCAGCTATTCTTCAATAACGAGCTTATTAAAGGTTCATCTTTATGAACTTTGTGTCATTTTGAGCTGCCACATTCTGCATAAATTCCCGACGAAGATAAACTATCGGCGACACAAATATATATTATGAACATGCCTATGGTCCGCTCTCACAAACACTATTAGTTGTAATAAATGTATTTAAAATTCTCTACGTATAAATTTGGTGTTTGTTTAGGAAAGAGACTCCGAAAGTTTTGCTTCATGTGCCGTCAAAAGTGTGATCATGCAAACCTGAACATTTACATTTGAGCGTCCTGTCTGTCCTGGAATTTTTGCACGATTGTTTGGGACTACTTTCTGTTGTGGGTAGTCTGAATCGTGGTTCAAAAAAAAAAAGAATTTTCATGGATTTTTCAAAACAACTAAATAAAGAACAGTTGATAATCTAGTTCTAGTATGATAATTACTCAAGATCTTTCTATATCATAATTTTAAAAGAAATTTCTGTGTATGAAAAAATGCTATTCGAGTTTGTGCTAATATGAAGTAGGCTACTGTTTTTAATAGACTTCGTAGAAAAATAGCATTTGTCTGAAACTTCAATACTGTTAAAAAGCGTCAGTCGTTAAATGTTTATATAGTATTTCGCCGTAACTTTAATACCGTTGGGAGCGTCAGTTGGTAAACGTATCGATCAATCATCATTTTTTCGTCAACACAATCAATATAAATATATATATCACGGAAATATGGTAAGATATGAAGTAAATAAAATAAATAGATAAATAGGTAAAAAAATGATAAAATAAAAAATAAAATAAGATATATATAAAATAAATAAAAAAGTACATGAGTCGCGAGGTGCCTCGAAAGGTCTTCGAGCAGCGACACCTACGATGCTGATTCAGCTTAATGAAAAAATTCAGTTAACGCCTATGCTTCTAATTATTATTATTTATAAAACATAAAAAACGAGTAACCAAAACAAATGAATAATATGTGTATATAACAAATCTGAGAAACATGAAAACCACCAAATAGCTATTACAAACTTTTCTGAAAGAAAACGTATATATATATAAAGAAATAAATATAAATAACATTTGTTCGTAATTTCAATAATGTTGATAATTGATTTCATCGAAGGTTTCAGTTTGGGTTACAACGTGAGACTAACTCTATTTGGTCTTGCTTTAATATGCTGACGGATGTGTAGGCGTATAATAATTCAAGACTGTTATAGCAGGGCTAAATTACACATTAGGCAAGATAGGCAGGTGCTTGGGGCACCAAGGAAAAGACGGCACCACCGAAATTTTCATAGCCGAGTTGAAATGAATTTTGCTTGTTTTCTTTCTCAGTTTATCATCTTAAACCTATCTATAAATGTTTATAGGCATGAGAAATATTTTTGTAAAATATCTTGTAAATTGATCATAATTTGGCCTTTAATCAGTGATTTTCTTTCCCAGGTAGGTATCACCTTAAACCTATCTTTAAATGTATATAGGCATGAGAAATATTTTCAAAAAATATCCTGTAAATTGATCATAATTTGGCCTTTAATCAGTGATGAATGCTAAAACTTACTTATTCAATTTGGATAACACGGAAGTTAAGTTACGTTCCTATTATTAATATTATTTAGGGAACCAAAGTCTTAAGTGCTTAGGGCCTCTAAAGTCCAAGAATCGGCCCTCGGCGCGCCGTACAATAAGGCGGCGAACTGTCAATAAATTGCTCATTCATTCATTTTTATTCATACATAGGGCGCATCGGGCCATTTGGTTTTTGAGAGCAAAAATAACAGAATTTACAATGAACCTTATGGATCATAAAATACGGTATATAAATGATAGATAAACAAATTCTTTCGTGTGTAACGTAATACGTAGTCTTACGTTCATTCCACTGTGTGGCGCTTATGCGTTGCGCATTTGTTGTGTTGCCACGTGTTTTTGATTACTTGTTCTTTTTAAGTCGTGTCTGTTGCATCGGGCAGACTGTTCTTTTCTGTTCTCTGACCTTGATGGCTGGGTATCGTATCCTAGCGTTGAATACAAAAGTGCACCGTGAATATTTCTTGACTGTTTATCGTGTGAACCTGTGGACTGGGGCAACAGAATAGCCGAGTATTTGCCTGTATTCAAAAGTCAATTAAGCTGTCGTTTAGCGAGGAAGTAGACTGTCTTTTCTACACAGTGTATCACCGTCGAACGCCATCGCCTAAAAACCCCGCTACGTTACAAATTGGTGGCAGCGTTGTAAGAGCGTGGATGACGACATTGACTATTTAAAGTTTGATTTGGAGTTTGCTCAATACAAGAAGGCGAGTACTACCAGAATACGGGACTCGGAAATCTTGAACTCTAATCAACCTTCAGTTCTCTGGTCTTGCACACACAACAGAAGATTGCGTCAACTCAACAACCAAAACACCGATTGCTATCAGAGTCGAGACAACTTCAAGTGAGTTGGACAATTCGCTTCATCAAATCAAATTCCGTTACTTGTTTGTAGAACACTTGAACGATTAGTGCAATTAAATTGGATTGATAAACGACGAACTGGACAGTGACAGACTTTTCTAATATTTGTTGTGGTTTATGGAATTGCGCAGCAGAAATCTCCAGAACATTCTCGAAACAACTACAAGTACTTATATTTCGAGTACTTCAAATAACTGTCATTCCACATCGACACAACAAAAAATCAATTCCACCTAAAATAATGAACCAATCAAAAGATGAAGATATTCCGTCAACTTCTGGCGCGACTTAAGAAGGAGAAATTATCGTATCAAGTATGTCTAACACTTTTGTTACTTTTTCTGGTTTTGCTACTGGCGTAACAACACCAAGTGTTAGGAGTAACCATACTACCATAGTGTTAGGAGTAACCATACTACCATAGTGTTAGGAGTAACCATACTACCATTGTTACCACCCTATCTAAACCCGTTAATTCAACGTCCTTGGCTGGCGTTGCTTATCCTAGTAGTCAACTACCAAATATGTTTTATGGGAATATTCCGTATCAAATGTATTGTCAGATTTATGCTCCATATTTCCCTAGTAACCCTCCTATGGTTTCTCCGCAATATCCATTTTACCAGGGGACCGAACAGCCCGCCCCCCAACAACTTCGGTTTAATGCTAGTCTATCTCATACCGAAGCTAGGGATGACCCTGCAAAAGCAATTTGCTTGTATGGGTTCATTGATGCTGATGTTCTTACCCGCTTGAAAACGGTTATTCCTGCCCAAGACAGTTTTAATTATGATGCTATTTTACAATATTTGGTAAAGTTTTCTGGTACCGCTGGTGAAACTAGTCCCCACCAGAAAATTAGAGATCTCATACAACAGGTTGGCGAAAGCTATAATGCGTATGCTCAGGATCTCGAACATTTGGGTTATTTGGCATATGGTAAAACACCAACTACAGAAGATATACTGTGCCAACAATTTAAGTATGGCCTTAGAAATAAAAGAGCTAAAGAATTTTTAGATATGGTTGGACCTATGAATACCTCTTTTCGTGTTTATGTTAAATGTCTAATGGAGTGGGCTGCTAATGCGAAAGAGTTTGCATATAATTATGTGGATCCTAATGATTCACAAAACTCGCAAATCAATGCGATGAGCTCAAAGCAAAGATATAGCGGTAGTGGCAATTCCAGACGCCAAAACTATGGCGGTAAACAAAATGACCGCCGAGGCCGTGGATCATGTAACAGAGGTCGGGTTGGCCGTGGAGGTTTCTCCGGCACACAAGAACCTCGAAATCGCGATGGTTGTAGTTATTGTTGAAAGACTAACCACATAGATGAGAATTGTTTTGCTTTACAGAAAGTGTTACGTAGATATAAGAATATAAAGATTAAGGATGATAAACAGTTCAAATCCGATGTTAACACAGTGTTAAACGCGGAAGGGTTGAGGAACGAGGCCAGTCACCAACCCGAGAAAGATTCCAAGGTAAATCCCGGATCAAATGAACGGCTTGTAATTTGTAAATGAAACTGAAAAGCCCTTGACAACTAAAGCATATGAAGAATATGCTAAGAAAGTCTCGAACACCCTTTCCAATGTTACTAACCAGCACAGGGAACTGTGTACTCCCGTTTACACCGACATTTTGATCGGAGATAATTTGCATGCAAATACTATCATAGATAGTGGTACTGGTGCCTCTTCCATTTCATCTACTCTGTGGAAAGAAGCTAGCAAAAATCAGGACATAGAATCCGTCACACAGATTTGAATGTTATAGGGGAGAACCTATTAATATTAAAGGTAGAACAAAAATACGTATTCGTATTGGAAGTATAGACGACTATCACATGTTTTTTGTAACAGGAGACATTAGGGGTAATGTCGATAAGATACTGTTAGGGTTAGGGTTAAGATTGGGCATAGCTGCGTTTTTTTTTTACATCTGAACCTACCCCATATCCAAGACGCACTTACAAAGTGTCGTCGATAGATGAAGTCGTAATCCGACCATCTGAAACTGTCGTCGTAATGAGAAGTCTGATGGGTGATGATTATAATGACACAGATATAAGCACCAATAATATTATCGAGACTAATTTGCAAATATTATCGAGACTAATTTGCAATCTGTGTCTTCTGATGAGTCAAGTGGTATTGTGCCGACCCGAATTTTTGGTTGATAGACTTCCCTTGCAGCAAAAAGAGTCGGCTCTTGTTTCAAACTTTGTTTCTTATTTTATTGATGCCCAAATACCGGTTCGTATTATGACCCCAGGACCGTTCTCATTGAAAGTAAATATAAATCAATTACTTGGTGATTTTACACCTGTAGTAGGTTCGGATGATGCTTTTAATGCTTCGCCCAATGACTGGATTCTTGTTGAACACGATGCGGGTCACTCTTGTTGCAATATTAACGTGACCGAGAGCACGAAAAAGAATCCCCCTGAGATAAGTAGTTTAAAAGAAAAGTTTTCAGATTTTCGTTCGAAAGTATCTTTCGATGATGTGAAATTAACTCCTGAGGAGAAGGAGGAACGGTATACTTTTCTTGAACATAATTTAGATATCATGTCTTCTAGTCCATGGGATCTGGGTAGAACAAATTTATGTGAACATGAAATTCCAACGGTCGGGCGACCGATTCGTTTACCTCCAAGGCATGAGCCACATGCTTTAAGAGGTGAAGAGGTGAAATTAAAAGGCAAATACAAGAATTGCTAGATAATGGTGTAATTCAAGAGTGTGAAAGTCCATTTTCTTGTTCTATTGTACCCGTTGATGAAAATATTAGAAAATTTCATCCTAGTATTCGAATTCATTTTAATAAGACTCAAACCCTTTTTTACTGGACGTGAATCTTTGGTTTGTCGTGGTGTACTCGATATTCCAAGTACTTCACAAATCAAACCCTATGTTTCAAAATTACCTACCAGATTTGATAATTTTGAATTGTATTAGTTTTATTTTATTGCAGTATTTTCATATTTTTATGAGTGTGAATTTATTGTAATTGTATTCTCACATTTAGTTCATATTATTACATTGCTGTTGTATTTTCAATGTAATCGTTATCTACTGTGTGAATTTTGTAATTATCGCATTTCATTGCTAATGTGTTTCAATATTTGATTTCAACTATTGCATTGTCCCAAGTTTCAAGTAATAACGCCCTCATCCTAATCAGATGATGTATAGATATATTTTAATTCCTTCACGTTGGATTTACTTGTACTCATATTTGGTGTGAAAGAAATTGACTACGTAAATTTCTTTTTTTTTTGTAAAGAAGGGAGGTGTAACGTAATACGTAGTCTTACGTTCATTCCACTGTGTGGCGCTTATGCGTTGCGCATTTGTTGTGTTGCCACGTGTTTTTGATTACTTGTTCTTTTTAAGTCGTGTCTGTTGCATCGGGCAGACTGTTCTTTTCTGTTCTCTGACCTTGATGGCTGGGTATCGTATCCTAGCATTGAATACAAAAGTGCACCGTGAATATTTCTTGACTGTTTATCGTGTGAACCTGTGGACTGGGGCAACAGAATAGCCGAGTATTTGCCTGTATTCAAAAATCAATTAGCTGTCGTTTAGCGAGGAAGTAGACGGTCTTTTCTACACAGTATATCACCGTCGAACGCCATCGCCTAAAAACCCCGCTACGTTACACGTGACAACGATACGACCTTTTGGGGTCATCAGAGTCAGTTGTACCCAATACAATAACATACGTAAAAAGAACAGGTTCATTGCCAATTTCATCAATATCTTTGATGTTTTTGGACACGTAGTGGACATAAAGATCGTTTCAATATTATGTTGTTGTTGTTGTTGTTCTTTGACACGTTTTTAAAAAGTCGCTTTTCTCTTCGAATACTGGACCAATTGCTTTGAAATTTTCAGTGGTTAAAGATAAAAATTTTCTCCAGAAGGCTATTACTTTTTTTTTCGCTATGACGTCATCAAAATTATGTGACTCTACGTGTCCATATATTTGAGCATAGCTCTCTTGTTTACTATATAATCATATATATGTCTTTAATATATTTTTTTAATTTGTGGTAATCAGAACTGCTGTAACTTAGTAAAGAACGCTATTATGAAAGCGTTCTTTCAACTAAGGAGATTTGACACATAATGAAATTGTGTTGCAAAAATGATGCAGAATATAGGAATGCTCGATTCAAATATAACAATTATTTGGATAACGTAATTTATTGCGTTTAGGTGAGGGAACATGTTTTGCTTTATCTTGTAGTTTAGGGAACAAAATTTGGTAGATTTTTAGGGGGTTAAAGGTCAAATAAACATTCCTAGTGGACCGTTGGAGGGAAATTGATACCAGGTGTTTGATAGAAAAGATACCGGTACGGTAGGTCTTGTTTATGATATTCCAGCCGTTTCAGCTGTTCGAAATGCAATAACGGTAAACTGTAATAATGCAATAGCGGCAATGACGTTTGTTTTGAATGAGAGTTAGCACTGGATGTGGTTCTGGTGAAGTAAACGCCGTACCGGTACCGGTACCCCAATGGAATTCATTTGAATATTTATTTTAATTTGGATATACCGGTACTTAGCAGAACTCAGCTGCTGTTACTGCAGTACTGTGTTGAACTAGCAGCAAATTCCGGTTCGCGTGTAGTTTCGTACCTAACGTACTTCTAGTAGGCGTAGCATAATAATTTTTTGATATGTCAATCTTAACCCCCATCTGACTAGGCCATCCAAAAATTACGTCACTGCGACATCACAATCGCGTCATAGAGCTTGCCAAATATACGTACAATCGCCCGAAATGCCATCATTGCCGACGCTGAAGAACTGACAAACGTCATCGATCTCTATCCTATTGGCAATTGGGATCGTAGCTACTGAGCTATGAGAAAACGAGAGAAATAGCTGTTTGATTTCGGGTGCAGTGTCTGCGCGTCTTGGATGACAGTTTGTATAGTTTGAAGGGCTCTATTACATCACTGTGACGTCGTAGTGACATAATTTTTGGATGGCGTAGTCAGGTCTGCAGGTGGGGGTTAGGATTGACACGTAAAAAATTGTTATGCTACGCCCACTAGAAGTATGTTAGGTAAGAAACTACATTCCCGCAATTCTAGTTTTCTAGAAATATCTTAGCCTCAACATTTTGAAAAGTGTTATGGTGAAATTAACACCTTTTTTTGTCACAATCAGAATTTTTAAAATAAATGTTATTAATGATATATTAGGAAAATATAATAATATATTACATGATGTCAGATGAAAAGGGAGATGGTGAGAATCAATATGGAGGCTGTGAAGGACCTGATGCCTTGTATGTTCGTCTTGTGTCATCAGATGGTCACAAATTCATTGTGAAGCGTGATCATGCATTAACGTCGGGGACTATCAAAGCGATGCTCAGTGGACCTGGTCAATTTGCAGAAAATGAGACTAACGAAGTTTGCTTTCGAGAAATTCCATCCCATGTTCTAGCTAAAGTTTGTCAGTACTTTGCATACAAAGTTCGTTACACCAACAGTTCTACAGAAATACCAGAGTTTCCCATCGCTCCTGAAATTGCACTAGAGCTGCTGATGGCTGCAAATTTTCTGGATTGTTAATGAATTCAATAGTATTGGTTCCACAATATTCTGTGAACCTCATTTTCGCTACTGTATTGTATAATCAGTTTGTACTTATCTATTTGTTTAGTAGTATGATGACAATCCCTTCACATTTGATAACCAACTTGGGTATTTTCTATATGCTTTACAACAGAGCACTAATATTTTAGAATGGTTTGCAGTATCTTCAATTGAGGCTTTTTTATTTAGTGCGATTTGGTTTGAAAATTCCATCTATTTGTTTACATATTTTCTTCAGTAAATTTGTAAATAATACAAACTGTCAAAGAATAATTTGGAACTGTTTCTCTGCTAAAGATAGTTAGATGCTAGGCCTGAATTTTTAATATTTATTCTTCTACTTGTCGACAAACCTTTCAGTGATTTGGTAAAGTAAAACCAATTTGCTTTTCATTCATCAATCCCCTATACGTTTATGAAATTCTATCAAACATGCGCAGTGTTTCTTAATATTTTCCACTTGGGGGTGCCTTTGTAAATACTAAAAGTTGGGGAAAATAATGATTTCAATTTTAAGAATATCGTCAGAATTTGAATATTGTAAAAATTTTGTTATAAGCGTCATGAATGTTAATTCTTGAAACTTGAATATATAATAATAGAGTCAGTGGTTGATTAATGTCTCTTTTTATCAATATCTGCAATTTTGGGAGTATTGAAGTCTCAATTTTAATTTTGGCTATATTAATATGAGAAAGTATGATATCAAAATATCTGTGATTAACACTATTTCATCTTCAACACTTCCATTGATCCATGATCCATCCAGTTCCATTGATTTTTGTTTACCACAAATATTTATATGAAAATTAAGTCTGGATATTGTTATTTGGATATTCAAAATACTGTATTACAATATGTCTTAGTAGCTTGTTATGATGGCAAGTTTCATGATGTATGTATGGCGCATGCTTTGTTATAACACCCATTACCATTGTTTTCTTCCAAATAATAGATAAACTGACTGATTTAATATAAATTTGTCTTGAAACCTCGGTTATTCAGTACTCATCATATTACTATTGTGTAGTATTTTGTTGTCCGAATGTTTTTGATATAACAAATCTGGTTTGTCTTATTTATAATAATAGGTGTTTATAAATAAGTGCATGTCTGCTCTGAAAAAATTTGTTCGAAATAAAAATTTTCATATGTGACATAGATCTAAATATGAAGGATATTGATGATATTGCAGCAAATGCTGTCACTAAGATCCAGGTACTATATCTTATGAATTTGATTTTTTGAACTCTTTATTTGGTGCTTAAAGAATATAATGAGATTTCCATATTTATTCATGTGGAGAGAAAATTGAATATAGTTTCTTAACCATATAAGCTATCATACACCAATAATTACATCAGTACTGGAATAATATAGTATTCAACATGCTTTGACATGGAGAAACCATGATAGCAATTGTGAAAAGTCCAGCCATCTACTCACACATGACCCTGGCCATGTGCAGGAGGATCATAGATAGTTAGATAGGTATGAGTCACTATTTGTTTGTTTGGATAGTGAACAATAAATGTACCCGATGAAAAAAAGTGTAAGGTGAATACCGAATGCCAATAAATATATACATAATAAAAGCTCAACATTAATCCACTATTAATATCTGAAACGAGTAAAATATTTTATATCTCCCCACATAGGAACAGAACTAAATTATTGGCTTCAACAAACTTATACCGTATTTATCACAGGCATGCTGGAGAGGATATCAGTGCAGGAAGAAGCTTCAAGAAATATATGATTGGTATAAAAGTGTTGTTTTAGAAATAGATGGCGTTGAAACTGAATATCAGCAAGTAAGGAATAACAAATTGAACATTTTAAAAAGGCCATCTGCCGTTTCAAAGTCTGTAGATCAAAATGAAGAAAACAAAACCAATAGTACAAGGTCTTCAATACCTGAGATTTTGGAAGTTGATGTAACATCAGGTTTGAATTTTTTGTTACTTTGTGAGCTATTTCTGTGTGAAGACTTTCACTCTTGTAATGTCTCAAAAATAAAAAAATAAAGAAAAGCTAGTTGACCGTATTGATGTGTGATATAGATATAATATGATGAATACTGGCTGAAATGTATTTCATAATGTACCATAATTCAAAGTTTGTTAAAGCTACTTCTGTTATTCAAAATTCGGTAAAACGTATTGAAAAAGAATCGTGGAAATTTGAAAGGTGAACTTAAGTTATGGTAATTCCACCTCTATTCCCAGAACTAATGATATTGAAAATTGTTCGATATGGGCTTGATGCATGCCTGAAGATTGTCATCGCCTAAAATTGTGCTCACTAATTATACTCAGATAATTATAAAAATTATGTTTTGATTATTTTGAATGGTATTGATGTATGTTTGTCAAGTATGTTTGCTATGATTTGTGATGAGGACTGTAATATTTTCTCTAATCAGTGTTTGGCAATTTGTAGGGAGTAGGGACATCATAGCAAGCATCTGAGTCTCTATAACGTCTGTTTCTGTACATTCGCAGGATGATTTGTCAATGTTTTTCTCTACCATTTTGTAATTGTCATTAATTGTCCAATATATATTGTACTTTTTTCAGATACTTACTCAACAAAGTGTAAATCTCCTAATGAAATTGATCAGCAACACTTATCGGACAGGAAGCGAGATATTGTGATGGAATTATTTTGGGTTCAACAGGCAATTGACAGCAGAAGAAATTATCTACTCCTAAAGAATAAGATAGATTCATGATATACATTTAAATTAGAAGATACCCTCTTATCGGATTCGAAGTTGAACTTAAATTTCACTAACATATAGTTGAATTGTTTACTATGACACGAAAGATCGATGTTGACAGCAAATGCAAGATAGTTCACAAATTCATATTCATTCCTCTGAGAATGCATGTAGTCATTAGGCCAATGCATATAGAGGATTTTGAATCGTTGTAAAGATGCATTATTATGTATTAGGTGAATTTTGAATTTTTCACAAATTTTTGCCAAAAGTCAAAAATTTTCATGGAGATTATGGTTTTATTGATGGGCACTTTTTTTGACATTCTCATTACCCATTATTCGAATTCACCTTTTGCCAAAGCAACCAATAATCCGGAATTGCGATTATTCAAATTGTATGTCATATCTTGCAATACCCTCCTTTGTAGTATTCTATATACGGTATATTTGATTGTTTCCTCATTTTAAAATTATGCGACATATCTTTTCCATTGACATATACCCAAATTGTCAAATAGTTTTTTAATGTTATTGACTCGAAGAATTTAATTTCTTTACTAGCTGAGATGCAATTATTATTTTTATATTAAATGACTCTGTTTCTGTTTGAAAATACTAGTTTATGGATGAGATGAATAGTGGTATTTGTTATTCGTAACATTTCTGATATGAAGAGTTTATATTTTTACAGTTTTTGATGATAACTAGACTGAATCTATGTGATTTGTATGGTTTGAAACTATGTTTCGATTGTTGACTCGAGCTGTGTCAAAAACAAGATATGGAATTTTATGTCAAAATTCAACAAAAAAGTGCATTCCTGCATCATTTTTGAAGGTTGGTTTCATACAGTGAATCTCACATTTTTTTGTTTTGTGTATTAGAAGCTACAGTTTATGTTATCGAGTTTTCGATGAGTTTTTGTTTTCTTAAAAATTGTTACACCATAAACTTCAATATACCTAAGTCGAATCAAGAAAATAAGGAGAATGAATAAAATGGAATTTGCAATGTTTTGTGTGATACCATTGCATGACGAGAAGGAAAATTCTCAACTTTATACTGTGAAGTTGAAACGATCTCTCAGTCAGCAAGCCTTGTATCTAAACAACCTAGCGAAGTTGTAGATATTAGTAGTGAAGGCTTTCATTTGTTTTGCTTTTAGAACTCTTATAGCATTGAAGCTACTGATGATAAACCACAATATCCTGGATATAAAACAGAATATGTTCATAAACTCGAGTTTTTGGAACCAAATACTGAAGATGGAATTCCTGTTTATCGAGTGATGTCAAGGGAAGGAGCGATTATAGACGAGACTCAAGACCCAAAGGTACGTAGGAAAATGACAATTAAAAACAGGGGTGGCCAAAACCGAATTTGAAATAAGTTCGGTCATGTTCAACAGAGAAATTTGCAGAAATAAATATAATTTGATAAGATGCAGACTGCGAAGTAGTTGAATTAAATTTGATTTTCTATTTTTGCAATGCCAGAAGATAATGCAGTCTATTGTCTGTCTGAATCTGAACTTTTAGATTGAAATAATCTTAATTGTTCCTAAAATTAAGAATTTACTGTTTGGAATATAACCAATTTCTCTGGAAGATTATGATGTTAATCATTTTATATAAAACCTAAGTATTGAATGATGGTGAAATTCATTGTTAACCACCCTTTGAATGCGCTTTTTTACAGCAACATAGTGTACATGTTCTCAATATTCACTTATACAATTCAAAATTAAAATTATTCACTAATCTCTTTTGTAGTTAGACAATGAAACTTTGGTCAAAATGTACAAAAGCATGTCAATGCTTAATTCAATGGACAGAATCATGTATGAATCTCAAAGACAAGGAAGAATCAGTTTTTATATGACGAACTATGGGGAAGAAGGCACACATGTAGGAAGTGCTGCCGCTCTAGAAGATAGAGACCTAGTTTTTGGACAATATAGGGAAGCAGGTAAGGAAGAAAGTTTGGGAAGCGTCAACACTTGCAATAAATTGTATATCACAGTTCCAGTTGCTTAAAAATGAGGATCATTGTCTTATGATGTTGGTAGATGAGATTATTTTATTATGTATTAGGGTTATTTTTCATTTTTCTATGGTTCCCATATCGCATACCAAAGTTCTAGCTAACTATTCAACACACTGATCATTGAATTGAAATGGTCTTATTTACTAAACAAACTTTGGATGCTATTGGCTAACTTCATTCCAACTGTAAGAGTGCTATGATGTTTTTGACTTGATATTCATTTTATTGATCAAACATTTTGATGATGTGGAAGGTAGAATATTGCAAATTAATCAGTAAAACAAGAATATCGTTGTTTTGTGATAATAGGATTTTTATTTTTTTCACAGGTGTACTTATGTGGAGAGGTTTCTCATTGGGTGAATTCATGGACCAATGTTATGCAAATATAAATGATCCGGCACAAGGAAGACAAATGCCTGTTCACTACGGATCAAAAAAACTTAATTTTTACACAATTAGTTCTCCACTTGCAACACAAATGCCACAGGTATACACTAGACTTTGTATTCAATTTAAATATAGTCATAGTTATGGAAGTCCGGAGTACAATATTTTATTCTGATCTGAAGATTTATTTGATGAAGTGCCTTTTGGAATAAAATCAATGTTATGTTGAATTTTGTATAAATTTTTATATATTTGTAAGTGAAATTTGTGTATATCCTGATATTGCTGTTAAATAGATAAAAATATTCAAAATTAGTTGCAAATTGTTCCTTATTGATATGGACATCTTCAGTCAAATTTTGGATTCTAGTTGCTGCTAGGCTTGCAATGAATTGGACAGTGTGATTATAAGTAACGGTGTGGAAAAAGTAAATTAGATGATAGGGTGCTCCCGAAGTATGTGAACCGTTCGCAACAAGCTGTTCCGGTGACCGCCATCTTGGTTCACATACTACGGGATCACTGATGATAGATACTAAAGTTTGTTGTGATTTCCTATCGGTTGCTCAAGTCAAATTACAAAAGCCTAGGGCTTCTATACCATTGTTACCAGCATAAAATACTCTGCATTAGGATAAGGAACCAATCCATCACTACTACGGATGATTTGTTACAAAATACCTAAAAATGATTTTGACGAACATTCCAATAATTTTTATACGGCAGGCTGCTGGTGCTGCATATGCTGTTAAACTAAGCGAAGAACCTGACAGATGTGTTATTTGTTACTTTGGGGAAGGAGCTGCTTCAGAAGGTGATGCTCATGCTGCTCTTAATTTTGCAGCAACATTAGATGCACCTTGTATATTTTTTTGGTAAGATTTTTCATATTTATTATCATAATTATCCTTATAGAATTGCATGCAATCATCTTACCCCAATATTCTTGTCTTTGTTTGTTGGATATATTCGTCTTATCGTGCTGGTGGGTAAAGGGGCTTAGCCAGAATTTTTAAAAGGGGAGGAGGGGGGGTTAAAATCTTTCATGTGACTGCTTCTAAAACAGTCACCACGTTTACGCTTGACACTAAAATAGTCTTTTTCTGTGGATAACAGTTATTGTTGCGCAAAATATTTAATTCATGGCCAATACGAGCATTCAAAATGTCTTGTCATATTATTTAATTGTGTTTATTGTAACCTGCGGTTACGACAAAATAAATCATTGCAAATGTGACAATCTGTGGACATGATTCGTTATGTTTATTGCAGTAGAAACAATGGTTATGCTATTTCTACTCCCACATCTGACCAATACAGAGGAGATGGTATAGGAGGCAGGGGTCCTGGATATGGTATCATAACAATCCGAGTTGATGGTAATGACTTACTTGCTGTGTATAATGCGACTAAAAGAGCAAGAAAAATTGCTGTGGAGGAAAGCAGACCAGTTCTAATTGAAGCAATGACATACAGGTAAGTGCTACAAGATTCAGATCTTGACCTGCAACTTTGGTCATGGCCTACTAAACACTTCATTTAAAACATTAAAAAAAAACTTAAATTTCTGATTGGACTGTAACAGCTAGCGGGTTCAGGCTGGAAAACGTGCTATGTATGATATAGAAAAAAGCTAGGGCTTCAGACTCCAAACCCCCCTCTCTGGTCAGGTCGTCCATTATAAACCCTTCCTATTCTACTATACTTTTTAGAGTTGGACACCACAGTACCAGTGATGACAGTAGTGCATATCGATCTGTTGATGAAGTTAATTATTGGGATAAAAAGGATCATCCAATCAACAGGTTTAGGTTATACATAACTAAGAGGGGTGCGTGGGATGATGACAAGGATAAAGAATGGAAAAAGCTAAGCAGAAAACAGGTATGTTGATACTGGAATCACACCTAATATGCTATTTGTGGAGAAGTTGATAAGTTAATTGACATTAACTTTTATCAAATGACTACCCTCAACACATGCACTATTTTGGGCGCTCCAGAAGATGTTTAGGGGCTCAGTCTTGTTTTGTAAAGAATTTTTTATTTCTCATAGATAATGGAAGCATTTGCCGCATCTGAGAAACGATTGAAACCTTCGCCGAAACATTTATTCACGGACGTGTATCATGACGTTCCAGCTCATTTACAAAAACAAATGAATGAAATGAGGGAACATGTCAAAAAATATAAGGAACACTACCCTTTAAATAATCATGAACCCATGTAATTTTAAAACTTATTGATTTAAAACCGCTGATTTGTAAGTCTGCTTGCCATTGTAAGAAAGAAAAAACGGATATAAATTGGACGATAGTAAAACTCGCACTATGTGCCTAAATAACCAAACGTACTCGTGATGATCATGTATTTATTTTTGTCTTATTCTATATTGCAATTTTGATGAGAGAATACACAAGATATTTTAATGTAAATGTTGATTAATTAGAAGCAGTCCGGTGTAGGTATGACCGATGAAATATAATTGAATTTGCAGTCATCGGACAGTGAACCCAGCCTTTAAAGGATCTTTATCTTCTGATGTAAACGAATTTTTGCCGATGTAATAGGCATTGCCAGACACTTCTGCTATAACGGCATTAAAGTTTCCACATTTGGCTTCTTTGACAATCTTCCCAGTGAACCTTAAAAATTTGAACAGATATGAAATCTTTAGTTGTCCGGTACGTATGACAGCTGGGAAAGCATCAAAAATATAGTCTTAGTCTGGTAAATGCATCAACATGAAAACTAGTGGTTGTAAAACTAAAGGGGGACTTGCCAACTTTTTACACATCTGAAACTGAGTACTACTTACTTTGAGTCATTGACTATACTCTGGAATGTTTTTTCACAATTTAGATCTAGTAGACGTTTAGCGTATAGCAGAGCAATGTGAGCTGCTGTTCCTGATCCAGTCGGGCTTCGATCCAACTTGAAAATTAAATCACAAATTCCAATGTTACTACTAAATAAAAGAGACCAAACAATAGTTGTTGATAGTAATATAAATTCAAGGTTTAATTTCACCTACCTCACGATCCGCGAACACTGTCATTTGTCGAACCAAATCATTTGATTTCAATTCTGTTCTATCATATATTATAGTGCCATATAAGAATCCAAGATCTTCACTTTCTGGGTGTTCCACTTTAACCTATGATGTTCGTGCATATATTAATAAGCAGTTCTACAAAAATAATAACTTTTATGTATTGGTGATTCCACTTTTACGTTGTTTCCTAAATACCGGTTTACAGGCTTTTTTGTTGAATATGATTTTAATTTGAGGTAATACCTTCATATCTAAGTTTGACAAATTATAAATGCTTCTGAACAATAGTCTTACAATCTTTTTAGTGGCATTAGTTACAGCTTGTCCAATTTCCACGGCTTTCAATGCATCACCAGCCTTAACTTTCAAACCAAGTGCATCAGTAGAAACAAAGGCATAAAATGCTCCTCCATAAGATATGTCTACATTGACCATACCAATGTTTGGTACATTTACATTGACATCTGAAATTAACAATGTTGTTGTTCAATAGGTATGCACAAAAACTGCTTTATATTGAGATTTCCATTTATATATATTACATATTCTAACATCTAGGTATGTGTACATTGTGTTCATCTAGTTTTTAGGATTGGGATATCAGTTTGGATAAGGAATTTATCCTTATGTCATCACTGGTTTTAAATATATATTCTACCTTTGCACCTACAGACAATACAGCAACATAATAACAAAATTAATTCCCATATGCCTTTTTCTCACCCATTTTCAAAACGAAGGATGGAACACTTTGAAACCTCACTCTCCCAGATAGACCATCACTATACGAAACATAGGTTGGAATAAGCCCGCATGGACATTGAATATTGACCAAGGTTTCTGGCTCTTTTGCTTCAACTATATTGGTATCCACACAGTATCTGAAAATTTTTGTTATAATCTAAACAAACGCATAAGCCAAATAAAAAAACATACTTCGTCATGAAACACAAGCGAGAGCCAGTGATACATCAATACCCAAGAAAAAATAGCCAGATGTGAAAATGAACACAAACATGAAAACAAGCATATGTGCATATTTTAAAAATAAATACATTTACCTTCCCAAGGCAATGATGGCATGTCCGCACATTGTACTATACCCTTCATTGTGCATAAATATAAATGCTGCATCTGCATTTGGTAAATCTGGTTTAACTCTCAATGTTCCATACATATCATGATGCCCACGAGGCTCATGCATCAAAAACCTTAAATAAATTCCAGAATTATGACAATTTTCTGCATTAAGTTCACTATAACTTTAAATTTCACCAAAGCCAAATATACTAACCACAATCTGACAGTACTAGCCTAAATGTTGATGAATAATAAAAACTGCATGATTTTCTACAGAAGGGAATTTTCCACACATGAAAAGTAATCAATTAATTTTGTGGACTAGTAGTTTAACCATGTGAGCAAATGTTATATGACTAACTCTGCAATTTTAGAAATACATACTTCCTTATATGATCGCAATTTTCTCGTATGTAAGCGATCTTTTCCAAGATTGTTTCCCCCGAGATATTTGGAAATCCATTTTCAATGATTCTCAACGGCTCGCCGCATGTGTGCATTTCGCAGGTAGTAATATGCATGGTCTGATTCTAACAAGTATCACTTGTTAATTTTCAACTATTTCAGCACGCAGAACCAACTAAAACCGACTTGAAAATCACAAATTTTGTTTCCAAACTTTGCAGATCGTGGCAGCCCTGAGTGCAAACACTTAACTAGGGAAATCCCCTCAAATTTGTTCATTTCATACTAACCAGTTTTAACCTTTGAACCTGAGTTCTGTAATTGTGATTCCGTGTGGTATTTCTGTGTTTTGTTTTTCGCGAAAAAAGTGTTACGGTAAAAGCATCTGCACGAATTTAATAGGAACTGCCAAAAAATCCTATCGAAAAATATAAATGGTCATGATTTATTGTGTTTTTTTGTGTCACAAGACAACAGCAAAATTTGGATGTCATTTTCATGTAGAAAATTGAATTCTTTCTGAGGCAGCATGTAGCAAGCCCTTAAACCGTAAATATATACTGATTGAACGCTCTGTCATTTTTTTGTATTTGACATTTTAACATAATGTATTTCTTCGTTTATAATACGCACCCGTAGATAATACGCACCCAGGTTTTAGTACATTTTCAACGAGAATTTCATGCATAATACGCATATCAAAATTCCGCTCTCTCTTGCTATGTAGATGTTTTTTCCGGCGTTTCAGGCATTCTGTCTGCTTGCCTTCTGTTAACCATATATATCTGGTAATATGTTTTATGTATTTGGCTGTGAAACATCTGCAAATAATGATTTGATGGTATTTGGCATTAAATTACCTTGTAAAGTTATTTGTTCTTCCCTCTTTAAAAGCTGACAAGGCCCGATATCAGAATGTGTTTTCAGACGCTGCATTTCAAAGTAGATCACTCATATGGTGATTTATTACGGTAAAGTTTTGCCGATTCGGCGAAACGAGAGAAACAGACCAGACATGACAGAAGTTAACGAATGTACAGGGTGTTTTTATACCTTTTATTTCACCATATTTTCTGCGCCTTTATCATTACTAAATTGCTGTTAAACTGGGTATGCTTCTAGCGAATCAAGCATGATCTGATTTTTCAACAGACTTTGCCACATAAAATTAAGAACTTAAGATTAATAAATGCGACAATTATTATTTTTTGATATTTTCTAGACTAGACCAATGTATAATACGTACCCCCATATTTGTATTATACGTGGAGAAATACGGTATTTGCCTATTTATGTTCGATACAAAAAACTTGAATAATGTTAAACATTACATAGCATGTATAATTCTTAATGTAATGTTTGATTGTAAATATATATTTTGGTAAAATTTTTTGAAATAAATTAATACTAATTACTATATGTAAAGAAAGCATTTAACAAAATTTTTGTTTTGGCACTTTGTTCTCAATTTGGATAACAAATCATCTCACGTCACGTGGTGATAATTTATATATATATATACATATCGAATATTATACAGTACTGCCAACAAATTTGGTATAATTCAAACTCAAAAGCTATGGCTTGATCATTTAAACTAGTAATATTTTAAAGAAGGTTACAATGAGAACCCAAACAGATGGTTTGATATTTCTTGTTTTTTTTTACTCAACACAAGGTTCGATTGCATAACCTGTACAAAGTAATGTAGCGGTAAAAATTCAGTCAAGTCATGAGCAAATTTGCTTCAGATGATATCTTCACACCAAGTAGTTTTAAGAATAAGACATAAAACAGAATCGCGACTTGATAATGATCATTTTAAAACGCTACTTAAGAAGTTAATCTATGTTCGAAATTCTATCTGGAGAGTTTGTCATTTAGTATGGCTATGTGGGATTTCGAAGTATGATAGCTAATGTAATAACATAGACTTATTACAATATTTAACGCATGAAACAACTATTTATATAAAAGAAATGAGCTATAATGAGCACATTTTATCTTTTCTAGATATATACGCACTGTATCATTGACAGTTTCTTCACAAGTCAACTGTAGGCAGTACTATAATAGTCTTTTAAAACTGTCTGGTAGACTTATTCACAATAGCCTATGATAATATATGTGAGATGGCTCCCTTTGTTTTCATTTTTTGTGAAAAAATTTTGCTGGCCAGTGGATGAGATTCTTGTGCTCAAATGAATTTTGTGTGCAGCTATGAATAGATTTTAATAAAATCAATTCACGTCACACAGTTCAAATAAATTGTCCGAACGACTAAATTCCCAGTTATCTTCAATCAGAGGGTCTGATCTAACACCCGGTATTGGCTAGACAAGGCTTGGCTTTTGTAATGCGCTTTTATTTCTAGCATCATTTTAATTTATATATAAGTATATGCGTAAATTTTCATTAAAATTGTTTTATTCTATTTCATGACGTCTCGGAATGAAAGCGATTTTTGCTTTTTATATGTTTCGAAAGAAAATTTCAAGGTATGATAAAGAACTCTGCTGTCGGATCGTGAACAGGGCTGGGCATTTTCGATTATCTTGTGATTTCAGAATCGAATCGAATAATTTTTTCTAATCGAATCTTGAAAATATATAATTGTAAGCGACTTTATTATAGTAATTGGTCCTCTCAACAAATGAATTACTGAAGACATAGAATAAATCACTCAGATAGATTACTGAGCGTTCACACAGAATAACAAACACGTTTTATCAATAACTCACTACAGAAAATAGTCATATGTTTGAATTTCGTTGAAAAAATATGACTCCAATGAAAAAAAAAATGGGGAATTCACCTCGACCATTAGCGGAAAGATAAAAACAAGATGGCGGCGATTCGAAATTTAGCTCTGAACCGATTCGAATAATTTACTATTCGATTCGAATATTCGATTCGAAATGCCCAGCCCTAATCGTGAACAGCCCCCTACGCCAATTCGAGGATACAAAAAGTAGCAACTAAGCAGTAACTTTGATGATAGAATACACAAGATATTTTCATGTATATTGAAATGTAAATTTTAGCAGCTGTAATGAGAAGCAGCAATTTTCTTCGTGAGAGATATATATGTGAGGTGCAGAACCCTTGTCTGACGGATACATTTTTTCACTTTTGCTGAAGGTAATATTGCAACTGATCATCGGACGGTGAAACCAGCCTTTAAGGGGTCTTTATCCTCTGATGTAAACAAGTTTTTGCCTGTGTAATAGGCATTCCCAGACACTTCTGCTATGACAGCTTTGAAGTTTCCGCATTCATCTTCTTTGACAACCTTTCCAGTAAACCTTGGAAAAATTTAAACGTATATGAGCTAGTGATTGTAAGAGTTATTGAGAACCAATTGGACACTCAATAACTTTTTAGACATCAGAGTACTTACTTTGAATCATTGACGATACTCTGAAATGTTTTTGGACAATTACCATCCAGTAGACCTTTTGCGTGCATCAGAGCAATATGAGCTGCTGTTCCTGAACCACATGGGCTTCTATCCAACTTAAAAAAAAAATCACCAATTTCAATGTAACTACTAAATAAAAGAGACCAGACAATAGTTGTTGATAGTAATATATATTCAAGGTGTAATTTCACCTACCTCACGATCCGCAAACACTATCATTTGTCGAATCAAATCATTTGATTTTAATTCTGTTCTATCATATATTATAGTGCCATATAAGAATCCAAGATCTTCATTTTCCGGGTGTTCAACCTTAACCTATGATGTTTGTGCATTATTAGCAGTTTTACAAAACTAAGATGTGAAATAATGTACGAAGATGGGGGAAACTTTTTTGTATTGATAATTATACTGTTACCCTGTTCCGTAAAACTTGTCCTTCCTAAATGCCGATTTACAGGCTTTTTTGTGAATATGAGTTTAATTTGAGGTAATACCTTCATATCTAAGTTTGGTAATTTTTAAATGCTTCAAAACAGTTACGGGTATGTCTTACAATCTTTTTCGTGGCATTCATTACAGCTTGCCCAATTTCCACGGCCTTCAATGCATCACCAGCCTTGACTGTCAAACCGAGTGCGTCAGTAGAAACAAAGGCATAGAATACTCCCCCATAAGATATGTCTACAGTGATCATACCAATGTTTGGTACATTCACATTGACATCTGAAAATGACAATGTTGTTGTTCAAATAGGTATGTACAAAAACTGCTTTATATTGAGATTTCCATTTATATATATTACATATTCTAATATCTAGGTATGTGTACAATGTAATGTGTTGTATAGCATTGTGTTCGTCCTTGCTATGTACAGACGAGCGTTTAAGAGACTTGAGCTGAGACTCTATGGTCTACCCAACCTTGTATACAGTAACATATTGAATAACAAAAAAAATTACCACCTGCATTTTTTTCTTACCCATTTTCAAAACAAATGATGGGACACTTTGAAACCTCACTCTCCTAGATAGACCATTACTATACGAAACATAGGTTGGAATAAGCCCGCATGGACATTGAATATTGACCAAGGTTTCTGGCTCTTTTGCTTCAACTATATTGTTATCAACGCAGTATCTGAAAATTTTTTGGTTATTATCTCAGCAAACACAGAAAAGTTGAAAAACCCACCTCATAAGTCAATTCCAAAAATACTAATTTATTTTGTCACACACGCAAGCTGAACTATTATTTCCACCAAAAAGGAAGCCATGGTACGATAATACCCAGGACAAAATTATCAGGTGTGGAAATGGACAAAAATATACATGAAACAAGCATATGCGCGTATTTTAAAAATATACAAAACTGTTAATCATAACATTCTACCTTCCCAAGGCGATGATGGCATGTCCACACATTGTACCATATCCTTCATTGTGCATAAATATAAATGCTGCATCTGCATTTGGTAAATCTGGTTCAACTCTCAATGTTCCAAACATATCATGATGTCCACGAGGCTCATGCATCAAAAACCTTAAATAAATTCCAGAAATATGACAGTTTTTGCATTAAGTTTAACTACAACTTCAAACTCCACCAGAGCCAAATATACCAACTACAATCTGGTAGTACTAAATGTTTATTTAGTATAAAACAAGATGGGACCTCCTGAAGTATGCGCACCAAGATGACACACAACCCGAATTCAGATTGTGTACCACGTTAGGGTTCAGGTTATGCGACATCTTGGTGCGCATACTTCAGGAGTACCACAAGATGATATTCTATACAAGGGAAGGGAGACATGATTATTTGACTATGGGATTCTAGCCTCATTGTGATGTTTTTATGTTTCTCTGGTAGTTTAACATTGAGGGCAAAAGTTATATGGCAAACTTTGCAATTTCAGAAATACATACTTCCTTATATCATCGCAATTTTCTCGTATGTAAGCGATCTTTTCCAAGATTGTTTTCCCCGAGATATTTGGAAATCCAGTTTCAATGATTCTCAACGGCTCGCCGCATGTGTGCATTTCGCAGGTAGTAATATGCATGGTCTGATTGTAATAAGTATCACTTGTTAAATTTCTACTATTTCAGCACACAGAACCAACCTAAAACGACCTGAAAATCAGAAAGTTTTGTTTTCAAACTTTGCAGATTGCGGCAGCCCTGGGTGCAAACACTTAACTTGGGAAATCCCTCTTGTGAAAATTTTTTCATATTCACTAGTTTCTAACCTTTGAACTTGAGTTCTGTAATTCTGATTTCGTGTGGTATTTCTCTGTTTTTATTTTCTGCAATTATTTTAAGATAGCTTCTTTACTGGGCAACATAAAACCACTATTGTTTTTACCGAATTGAATAAGAACTGCCAATAAATCAATCGAAAAATATAGATGGTCATGATTTACTGTGTTTTTTGTAGAAAATTAAATTCTATCTGAGGCAGCCTTACCGACCGGATCCGACCGATGGGCCATGCGTTGGTTACACTTGCAGTCAATAAGTGCTTTCGAATTTATTAATTAAAGCTCTGTCATTTTTTTTGTTACTGACATTTTAACATATTTGCCTATTTAGGATCGATACACAAAACTTGAATAATGTTAAACATTACATAGCATGTATATAATAAATTCAGTCAAGTCATGAGCAAATTTGCTTCAGATGATATCTTCACACCAAGTGGTTTTAATAGTAACACATAAAACAGGATTGCGACTTGATATTGATCATTTTAAAACGCTACTCAAGACATCTATGTTCGAAATTCGATCGGGAGAGTTTGCTATTTAGTATGGCTATGTGAGATTCCGAAATATTATAGGTACTGTAATAGCATAGAATTATTTACTACAATATTCAACGCATGAAACAACTATTTATATAAAAGAAATGAGCTATAATTTTTGCTAGCCAATAAATGAGAATTGCAAGCTCGAATGGATTAGATATGCAGCCCTGAATAGTTTTTGTTAAAATTAATCCCCGTCACACAGAAAAATAAATTGTGTGAACGACTAAATTAGCAGTTATCTTCAAATCAGGGTCTGGTCTACTTTAGTACTAATGCTGTTGCTGCAGGCATGCAGCTTTCTCTTTTGTTTGTTCCATATTGTGTTCCAATTCAATGCAGTTAATACTCGAAACTTTTAATAATTAAAAGAAACCCAATATGCAGGAAATAACAATCATAAACCTGTACACAGGACGAGTCCATAAAATTAATAAAAACATAACGATAGGTATTGTCTTCCAATTAAAGTGACAATCATACTTTCGAAACTGCGGTAACTGAATTGCTGAATTGAAATCAGTGCTTCTTTGCCAGATTATTATATTAATACAGAAAAAGAACCGTTTAAATAGAAATCACAACTAAATTTTCATCGAAACAATATACAACTAAGCTCAATACCAGTACATATCCTAACTTTATAATTCTACATATTAATTCAAAACAGCGAATTAGGCATTAAAATAATCTTAATCAAGCCAAGCCTAAAATATGCACAGGAACAACACTAACGCCCTAAACTCGTGCCCTAAGCAGTCAACAGGAAATGGCATGTATTCGTGAACCTCCTATCAAAACAATTCTAACTATTACGTCATATAATTACGGCTATCAATACTTAAATATACTGCTGCAAACCGCTGCATTAACAAATGTCCTATTCTAACATCGGGGATCAGGTAAACAAGGATTGCCAGAACTATTCGTATTTTCGCTTTTTTAACGCACTTTCATTTTTAGTACCTTTTTAATAAAATGCGTAAGTTTTCATTAAAATTGTTTTGTTACATCTCCTGACATCTCAGAATAAGAGTGATTTTTGTTTTCTATATGTCGCAAAAGAACATTTCAAGGTATGATTAAGAACTCCTTTTTCGAATTTTGAACTGCCCCCTCCCCCAAATCTAATGGTACAGAAAGTCGCCTCAAACAACAAATTCCGTATCAGCAGCTATAACGGAAAAAATATATAATACAGATAAAACATTGTTGCTGCGTATCGTGTCTCATAGCCTGGGTCCGATTTAGGCGTTGACAGGCTCGTTCTGTTTATATGAATCAGTATAGTGATATATCGATATTTTCCTCTTATTTAAAAAAATAAAAACATTATTACAGTATCAACTGATCAATCAGTTTAAACTAGCATATTTTGTTCCCAAGGTTTGATGGGCAGAGTACTTTGACAAATTCGTTTATTCGACCGTATTTATATATAATATAATATTTGGAACAAGAAATCTCAATCTAATTGAAAAATTATCATTTTTCCGAAAATTTTAATTTTGATTTATTCTGAAACAAGCCTTTATAATTAAAAAACAATTAAACATGAATAGTTAAATTGAATTTCGAGGCAACTAGGCTTTAGCATACCATGACAAATGGTAAATTCAGCCCAGCTCATAACCGACGAAAAGAAACTTATCGAAAAGATTTTTTATGTTTTTGATCACCAAATAAAGAAAACTTAAGCTGATGGAATAAATGTGAGATATTCTATAATAAACTGCGGTCGGATAGTACGGATATAAGATAGGCCATCATATACATAGCGAAATATAATACGAGGTTAATATCATGAGATTTACTCAAATTATCAAGCTTCAATTTTACTAGATTTTCACATTTCCTGAAAAATTAATGTTCCGGTACAGAGGAGTTTAGCTTCCTGTGAGTGGAATAGTATCATAAAATCGGATACGCACATTTCAGGAAACATTTCATACCAAACGCACAAACGAAGCATATCTGAAACTTTATCAGTGGGATATGCTTGATCAATATGACATTAAAACAAGCGCATGATATGTTATTTCCTAAACGTTTGTCGAGTTTCTTTGCGGAAAACAAATAACTTTCCAAGAGGCAAATGTACGTCTCGTACGTTTCTCGTACATACCAGTTAGTCAAGGTTTTCATTATTTTCCTTGCACCCGATTCAGCGTCAGTCAAAAATACACCGTGTTATTTTGTTGTTCGCTTTTCAAACTTATTGAAACGAGATTTTGTATTGTTATCAAATACGCAATTATCATAGCCTTGTTAATCGTTGGCTAGAATAGATTTTTTTAGAATTTACTGCTGTAAGAAGCGGCGAATAGAATTTGCTTTCTTATTAGTTCCATTGAAAATTGTTTCTCTAAGCAGAAGTTGAATTAGAAACTCAAGGACGATATCAACATTGATTAGTAGCGTGAATGTGCAGTTCTCCCTATCAGCCAAGTCAAAGCTAAGCTAAGAACGATAGATGAAATCGTTTGCAGCACACTTAAATTACAACTTTTGGTTCGAACTTTTTAGAAAAATTGAGTTGGATGATTCAAATAAGTCCACGAATCAAATATTTCGTAATATTCCATCCCGAAATATTCAAAACTTCAAGAATTTTCTTCTGCAATTCTCAAAAAAATTATAAGTGAAAGAACTCGTTATTAAGATGCATTGTCAGATATTAAAGAGAGTACTTCGTTCATTGTTAATTCCATTTTCCATTATTTTAATCCTCTGCACATCGCATGTTCTTTTAGATACAGAGTTTCAAATTTGCACGGCTCATCATCGAGCTTAGGTACATTTTGCACATGTCGTTTGTCTAGATTTTTTATTCTTATCTAATAAACAATTTGTGAAATTAGTACATAAATTCTGCAACTATTCTCCTTATAAGTCACCTTGAATATCAAAATTACCAATAATAAAAGGCCGGAATAAACAACGAAGGAAGTGCAAGTGATAAAAGGTATAACGGGCATATTGAAAGAGATGGTTTTTTATACGTCTTATTAAGGCATTTAAAGGTACTATTAGAGATTTTAAAATTCTCAAACGAAAGTTGCCCAAAACCAGCCGTGTTAAACGACTAAAATTAAAAAATTTTAACCACAAGATAATTTTGCATCTGAGAAGAAATGCTATCCTCAAAGAACTGTATGTTTCTTGACTTCGTAAACTGCGTTGTTTCGCGAAATCATTTTTGAACGTTTTGTTTTACCCACTCCCCACCCTCACACAAATTTTTGTGATTATTGTAATATTATAAGGTCTGATGTAACGCCAATGCATTGCTGATGCAACGGTAGTTTTCGACTTTGAATGTTCTTTGAAAATAGAATATATTTTCTATTGTTCTCAGATAGAAGAGATGGAATACAAAGTTTATCCAATTCGTTGGGTGTTTCTAGCAGTTTTATCAATTTGCATGGCGATCATTCTCTGTGAAATTTATTCGTACAGTTTTGTAAATGACGTCGTCGCGAATTACTTCAACGTCACCCCATTTCAAATAGATATTTTGACGCTGTTGAACTTCTTGGTGGCTGGAGTATGTACGGTGTTGATACCAATTTTCAAAAATAAAATTGGGTTACGATTTCAAGCAACAATAATGGCGCTGTCGGCAGGTATCGGAATAGGCGTAGGAACTTTTGCATTTAAAAACAGGCAAGTTATGTAATTCTTGTATAGTTTTATTTTTCATGTACCAAATAACCTGCCCCACGGTTGATGTTTTTCACAATAATTAAATGTACAGTGTACGTATGACACACTTTAACCGCATATGCTTCCTATTCTTTTGCAGAAAACTGTATCCAATGATTCTATCTGCAGTACTATTTACTGGATTATCCAACGGAATCAATTTTATATTACCGGTTACGCTTGCTGCTAGCTGGTTTCCTGCACAGGAAACGGCGACCGCCATCGGCGTAACATGGTCCGCTGTGAGTTTGGGAGAGGCGACAGCAGCATTAGTCTACCCTATGTGTCTTCCTTACAGAAACGCTACTCAAATAGAGAACAATTCCCATGATATTAGGCTTATTTTCATGAGCACAAAAGGAACTTCTGCTCTCATTCTTACGATATCAGCATTGTTTTTCGTTTTTATGTTGAAAAATCAACCACCAACACCGCCGGGAGCAGCGCAGGCTAACATACTTACTTTGTTAAAAGCGGATAAAAACGAGAGGGCTTCCCATGAAGTAGACACATCTTTCTTGAAATTAGTTTTGAATTTGTTGGTAAATCGTCAATTTCTACTTCTTGCTAGTGCTAACTCACTTGGATTGTCAGCCTTGATATTAGCAAAAGTGCTTGCTCCTTCGTTGATCTCAATGACATTTCCCGAAGTAACATACCGTGAAATTGGGTGGATTAGAATAGCTGGTACTCTTGCATCGATAATTGCTGGTCTTGCTGTTGGATACTATTTGGACAGATTAAAGAAATTCAAAGAATTCGCTATGGCAAGTAAGTCATCTAGGTGTTAGTATATAAGTTATTCTTTTATCACTTGAATTACTCTATTCACAGTTAATATTGCACAATTTGTTTATCTACGATCCAGACATCTTCTAATACATATCATATGCTATTTTCTTGCATACCGCACATGCAAACTTTGCATTACCCTGTAACCAGACAAAAATACATACTTTCTGAAACATTATATATAGGCCTACATATGTACAGGTGTGTATTTTTCGCAAACTTACCTGTAGACTTGGAAATTTATTGCAAATACTGTAATTCATGTAGAAAACGTTAATTCAGTATTTTGTGACTAGCTCAAAAATTATTATTTTTCAGTCGTTGTCAGAATGTTGCTGGTAACTGGAGGAATATATTTTGGGCATTTATGTAAATATTTTCCAGTGTTAATCGTTCTCTATCCCGCGCTTGCGGCCTTGCGCATATGCTCCAACGTCATTTTTACGGAATTTCTCACTGAAGTCATCTACCCGTTCGACAATACGATTCTTATGTCAATATATTATTTTCCTTCCGAGGTGGCAGCGTTCATTTTTGGTGCTGTGATTAGAAAAATTATGGACATGCATGGGGCAACCATGGCTATCATAGTTCCTTTGATTGCATGTTTTATGCAGTGGTGCCTTGTTGCCCTTGTTAAACCAGACTATAGACGACTCTCTGCAGAGATGGTTCATGAAACAGACACTCCGAGTCAACGAAGGAGCATCATTGATGAAAGCAAACCATTGTTGTTAAAATCTGGGTAAAAAGGTTACAAAAAATAGTTTAGAACGAATCTAACTAAATTTAGTTATAACAGCAATTTGTGGCTCATTCATCGTATTCAATTCTTCCAACTGTTTTCAGAATTAGATATTTGACTTACTATACAATGACTATCATCTGTGTTCTTTAACGACAAATATATAAATTTTGATTTTTTTCTGCAAAGATATTAGGTCAGACCTGAACCGTGTCTAAAAAGCTTGTATATATATGTACCTTGTTGATTACACATGCATATACCTTGTTAATGATTGCTTTCTCAAAAAATACAAAAATACATTATGCATGTTACCTTTTAACATTTTAACAACAAAAAACAGATTCGATAAGAATTAGACCGCATGCTTTGGAGAAGTCCAGGCGACGGCGAAATAGACGCCAGATCATTTGCACGCTGACTTTGTAGTATTAGCAAAGAATGGTACCTGCAATTGAATGTCAGAAATCCTGACCAGGATGTTTTTATGTCACTATTATTAACAGTAGTAATTACTACTATGATAGAAGTAGCGGACAATTTTTAACCCGATTAAGGCCTGCAGGAGTACGATGGTTCCTACGAGTAATTTCTGTCAAACAGCTTCAATTGTTGTAATGACAATTACCAACAAATGCTGGTACTCGCAATTAAACATCAGGTCGGGTTGCTGTCACGCTAATGTTACAATAGTTATCAGAACCTGTTCTGTTTATATCCAGGCAAAAATCCGAGCAGACGTGGCCACTGGTTGTGGTGGTTTTTCTGTGACAACACGTTGGGCACTTGAGCTTTTGATATTGGTAGTTTCTGCAACAATATATTTATATTTCTATCAAGCTGAACTAACAACATAACGATCGATAGGTCCACTTCGTTTCCAATAAAAATGTTAACCATAGCAGCAAATTCCCTCAGCCAAACGGCGGACATTCGCAACGGCGGCGGTAACTTTTGACAGAAGAAAAAATATCACAATGAATTGAAATAAAACAGCAAAATTTGGGAATTAATATCGGGTGCCGTAATACCCAGAGTTGATTTGAAAATAAAATAGCCTTTTGTCACTTCTTTCTTAAGCACTGAAAATTCTAAACTTGGTTGTGGAGAAATGCGATTATCCCCTTCAACAAAAGGTCGTTTCAATATCAAGACTAACAACGACGACGACTTTGCAATATGATGCTTATGAACTTTTCATACCCAATAGAGTCGTTTACAAAAGTAAAAGTAACATCAAATGGGGCCCTACAACTGGTCCGAGCCAAATATCGATGTAAGTGTTTCAATTCAAATTTGCGCTTTTCTCGAAATATCGCGGCATAGCACCAGACGTCTCCCCGCCAATTTCACGATAACAAACATTTGGTGTAGCAAGTTTTTTCAAGCCGATTTACAAAAGCTTTTTACTGGAAGCGAGAATTCAACATGAGCACGGTTTTGCTGGCACAGATATGACACCTGGTCTGGCAGAAATATTTACCGAACTTTGAAAAGGGAGCAATAGTTCAAACGATGGGATATTGATGGTTGTGTGTTATTAATATATTTGCCTTATAGAATGTTACAATTTGAAATTGACCATGACGTTTTGTGAACATTTTAACACCACAGTATGTCTTGCATTTGGAGGTTAAGAATAAATTGTTAGTGTAAGTAATGTCTCGCCCTACATTGTTTGATGCAAGTGAGAAGTTTTTTTCTGTACAGAAATATTGATAATTAATTTCTAAAGCAAGGTTTCTCAAACTAGGCTGCCCCTGGTGGTCCGCGATGACTGCGCGGGGGATCCTCATCAATAGGAAAATAATCTGATCAATCTTTAATAATTGATTTCAATCAAATCAAAAAGCGATTTCATCTTTGTGTTTGAGCGTCATGGAGGAATATCCATTGCTGTCAGAAAAGGCAATTAAGATTTTATTGCCTTTGGCAACGACCCACACGTGTGAGGCAGCATTTTCAGCTTTTATCAATATTTATACTATGATAAAATAAAGGGTAAACTTGACGTAGCGTCGGGTCAATGTGTTTGCTTATCACGTTTGATCTGAAAATTGATGTGAAATGAAAAACAACCTCATCCATTACATTAATGTCTTTCGTGTTGTAATTAAAACATTATCTTTCTTCGTTGGTTAGTCACAAAAATTGATGCGTCCTGAGATGGAGGTCCGTCAAAACTGAAATTCACAAATAGATGTCCGCGACCCAAAAAGTTTGGAAAATCCTGTTTTAAAGAATTAAAAGCGGTATAGTAATTATGTTTAGTTTCTGTAGTCCGGCATTGAATGTTAATGTGAGTTGGATTTGGGTAAAATATCCTTCAGCAAAACAAGCTTTTGTTTTTACTTTGTGGCACTGTGTGGACACTGTGTGGACAAATGTTAGTTGACAAGGATATAATTCAAGAAAATAGTTAGTCTTATCATTTTTTGGAATCTACTCTCTAGAAATTAAATACTTTGACGAAAGAGATAGTTCTACGGAATAGTGATCAAACATGGCATAGCTAGGGTACAACCAATTTTCAATAATCTTAAATTTTATAGAAAAACCTAAAACTAGTTTATTCTTATACAATGCAGATAGATGGGTACTGGTTTTCTTGACTCATCATCATCATACCACTAGAAGAAAATTTTTTGCTTCTTAGCCTCTTTAGTCGCTGATGTTGAGCATTTTTTTAACAATTCATCCGATTAAAATACATTTTTAAATTACTGTTCAATAACACCATTGTCACAGACATATTAGATCAAGGAGCAAAACGTCATTAAAACCAGTACGTGTATCATCTTTCTGTATTGTAGAATAATAATAAACTTATAAAGCTTTATGATCAATAAAAAAAAACAATTCTTTTGTCGAAATATATATATATATATGTATATATATATATATAAAATCAATTCCAAAACACGATAAGACTATTTTTATGAAATGTATCCTTGTCAACTGAAATTTGTCCACACAGAATTACTATTCGTTGCGCTGATAGTAAAATGCTTATCAGTTACACATGGGCGTACAATTGAAGACGCATTAAGAGTTCTGTTCTTAACTAGTAAGCACTTGAAATTTATCCAGATAACATACATTTGGTGTAGCAAGTTTTCCCAAGTAGATTAACATAGGCTCTTTACTGGAAGCGAGAGTTCAACATGAGCACGGTTTTGCTGCCACAGATATGACGCCTCGTCTGGCAGAAATATTTATCAAACATTTCAAATAGGAACAATGAGTTGAACAATGGGATATTGATGGTTGTGTGTGATCAATATATTTGCCTTATATATTGTTACGATTTGAAATTGACCACAACGTTTTGTAGACATTTTAACACTACAGTATGGTTGCACTTGGACGATAAGAAGAAATTGTTAGTGTAAGTAGAGTCTCACCATACTTGGTTTGATGTAAGTGAGAAGATTTCTTCTGTACAGAAATATTGGTAATTAATTTCTAAAGCACGGTTTCCCAAACTAGGTTGCCCCTGGTGGTCTGTAATGACTGCTCGGGGTATCCTCATCAATATGAAAATATTCTGATCGATCTTTATTGTTTGATTTCAATCAAATCAAAAAGCCATTTCATCTTTTTGTTTGAGCGCTATGGATGAATATACATTTCTGTCAGAAGAGGCAATTACAATTTAATTGCCTTTGGCAACGACCCACACGTGTGAGGCAGCATTTTTAGCTTTTATCAATACGATGATAAAAGAAGGTCTAAACTTGACGTAGCGCCCGGTCAATGTGTTTGCTGATCACGTTTGGTCTGAAAATTGATAAGTGAAAAACAACCTCATTCATCACATTAACGTCTTTCGTGTTGTAATAACCCTTTTACAGCGGCTAAGCTCATATGAGAGAATATTTACGCTTAACTTTGTGCTCGTTGAACTACTGTTAATATCGCTCTTAGCTCTTTGTTGACGTTATCGCCTGATATGAGAGAAGCGATAGAACATTTCAGCCGTGACGCAAAGTGCGAATGCTATAAATAGCGTGGATTTCAAAATCGCCTGTCAGAAGTCTAAAAATGTCAACTCAGCTCAGACAGGAAATACTCCTTTATAATGACTTATTGTTGGTTTAGCACAGGCCTGGGCAAGCTCCGGCCCGCGGGCCTCATCCGGCCCGCGGCAACGTTTCATCCGGCCCGCGAGCAGATTTCTAAATTAAGACACTTACATTTTTTATTTACATATAAAATATACTTTGAGGGCAAATTTCATTAATGTAATAGAATTAAGCGTTTTGGTAGCTTTGTGTATTTTAGATTAGACCATGGCATAGTACCAACTGCTATCTGTAGTCATCTTTGTCGCAACGATCAGCGCTTGTTTTTGCACGTGATTACTGAACAGCAGAGTAATCGAAGCGTGAATTTTGCGCGCGTAATTTCGATGAGTCGCGTTTTGATTCGTGTCCCAATTAAGAAGGATACAGTTAGGCTAGTCAGCTCTGCGCTACTCAGCGTTTCAAATATTGTAGAAGTAGTGGTATGTAGATAAATTGTTGAATTGCGCCCAGCTTTATTTTATTCTTTGTTTTTCCTTTTATTAATGTAACTTGAACTGTAGCGTCAATTCTAAACCTGTGCTAGATCTACAAAGTTGGAAAATGTCAACCGAAAACAAGAAAAGAAAAGTTGACACAGAATGCAGAATTTTTAACAAAAGTTGGACAGCGAAGTATTTATTCACAGAAGTCGATGGGATAGCTGTTTGTCTGGTTTGCAAGAAGAAGGTCGCGGTTATTAAGGTTTTTAATTTAAAAAGGCATTTTGAGACAAAACATGCAAAAAAATACAAAAATGTAAGTAATAATGAAATGGCGCAAACAGCGGAGAGTATGGTAGCAAAGCTCGAAAAACAGCAAAGTTTTTTCACACGACTCCATGCATCTAATGATGCAGCTGTCATGGCCAGTTTCGTAATAGCTCACAAAATCGCCCAAAACAGCAAACCATTTTCTGAAGGGGAGTTCGTCAAAGAATGTTTAGTAGAGACGGCAGCAATTGTTTGTCCTGATAAAACAGATGCTTTTAAACAAGTTCCGCTATCGAGAAGAACTGTCACCAGAAGGGTTGAGTGTATCGCAGGAGATTTAAGAGATCAGTTGCTACATTATGTCAAACAATTTGACTTCTTCACTTTAGCGTTAGACGAGAGTTGTGATGTACGCGACACTGCTCAGTTGCTTATTTTCGTTCGTGGAATTACTTGTGATTTCAAAATTACTGAAGAAATAGCTGCTATAAGACCAATGAAGGGAACAACAACAGGTGCAGATATTTTTAGCGAGGTAGATGCATCCATGGATAAGTTGGGAATTAAATGGGAAAAATTGGCGGGAGTGACGACAGAGGGGTGCCCAAATCTTACAGGAAAAAATGTGGGATTGTTGAAGCGCATGAAAGACAGAGTTAATGAAATTGACCCAAAGCAGCAGTTAGTGTTTTTACATTGTATCATACATCAACAGGTATTGTGCAAGTCAGTGCTAAAAATAAGCCATGTCACTGATGTTGTTACAAAACTAGTTAACTTCATCAGGTCTCGAGCACTAAATCACAGACAGTTTATTTCCCTGTTGGAAGAGCAAGAAAATGAGCACACTGACATAGGATATCATACAACTGTGAGATGGCTCAGTTTAGGCAAAATACTGAAGCGAGTTTGGGACTTGCAGCAGGAGATTCGAGAATTCTGTCAAACAAAGAACAAGGATATTCCGCAGCTTTCAGATAAGAAATGGTTATCTGATTTTGCTTTTGTTGTTGATGTCACTGCTCTATTGAATGAGTTGAATTGCAAACTCCAAAGTAAAAAACTGTTTGTGCATAATATGCACAGCTTGGTAAAATCGTTCATAACGAAATTGCAGTTTCTTTCACGCCAATTACAGAACAATAATCTCGCTCATTTTCCCACACTCAACACAGCTACCACATCTGCAAATGATTTTCAAAAGTACTCTACAATGCTAGATGCACTGCATGCTGAATTTTTAAGACAATTTGAAGATTTCAGATTAATTGAAAATAAAATGAGTATGGTCTTTTCTCCTTTCACCAGTAACGTGGAAAACATACCATCTGATGCACAACTCGAGCTTATTGATTTGCAGTGTGACACTTTACTTCAGGAAAAATTTAAATCATCTGAAATTCTGGATTTTTATTCCTCTCTAAATAAAAAAAGTTTTCCCAACATAAGGAGACATGCTCAAAAGATGCTAGTTCTTTTCGGATCCACTTATATTTGCGAGCAAACCTTCTCAGTAATGAATTTTACCAAATCGAAATTTCGGTCGTCTCTCACCGATGAAATCTTTCTGATTTGCTGAGAATATCTACGTCTGCCATTGAACCCGACATTCAAGGACTTGTTAAGGCGCAGCAGAGCATACACACGTCTCATTAAAAATAACAATTGTATTAGATTTTGTTTCATTCAATTGTGTAATAAATTACAATAAAAAACGCAATGTGGGTTGACTCAAATTAGTCCGGCCCGCCACTGCATTTTGATTTGCAATGTGGCCCTCGAGCAAAAATAATTGCCCAGCCCTGGTTTAGCATGTATTTTCAGTCATATATACTATCCCTGACCATCCCTGGCGCTGTGTTGTTTTGATAAATATGATTTCGACTGCTCCATAGTTGGCAGAAGTATGGAGATTTTTTGTAGTTAAAAAAAACGTAAAATTAATGGTAATTTTAACGCGTAAATGCGCGTATGGGATTGTTTACGCCGTTCTACGCGCATTTCCGTCGAAAAAATTTAATTTTTTTGCGTTGGGGGTGGTCTATGCAGTAATAATAAGAGCTGTGACGTCATCAAAATCAGTAATTTTAGCCTTGAACTTGATACATCTGTAAATACAATTGTGAATTTCAGAGTAATAACCATTTATGCTACAATAGGCGTTTCGGTGATGTTGTATTAGGAAAAACTTGACGAAAACGTTGAAAAAAAATTAATTAATTAGGAATTAATTATTAACCCTCTACTGTACACAGAATTTCTCAAAGTCAAATTTATTTTTAGAAATTTTTGAGATATTTTTGCAAAAAATTTTTTTTTTCGGAGTGTAATTTAAAGATATATTGCTGAATAGAACTCTAGCACACGCTTTTAAAAATCCATAAGAGAAGCTTTAGGGCTTAGTGGTTGACAAAAAAAATAACTTTAAAAAGACCATGTCAAATAAATTGGGTCATATATTAAATCAATTCCAAAACACGATAAGACTATTTTTATGAAATGTATCCTTGTCAACTGAAATTTGTCCACACAGAATTACTATTCGTTGCGCTGATAGTAAAATGCTTATCAGTTACACATGGGCGTACAATCGAAGACGCATTAAGAGTTTTAATTGTTCTTAACTAGTAAGCACTTGAAATTTATCCAGATAACATACATTTGGTGTAGCAAGTTTTCCCAAGTAGATTAACATAGGCTCTTTACTGGAAGCGAGAGTTCAACATGAGCACGGTTTTGCTGCCACAGATATGACGCCTCGTCTGGCAGAAATATTTATCAAACATTTCAAATAGGAACAATGAGTTGAACAATGGGATATTGATGGTTGTGTGTGATCAATATATTTGCCTTATATATTGTTACGATTTGAAATTGACCACAACGTTTTGTAGACATTTTAACACTACAGTGTGGTTGCACTTGGACGATAAGAAGAAATTGTTAGTGTAAGTAGCGTCTCACCATACTTGGTTTGATGTAAGTGAGAAGATTTCTTCTGTACAGAAATATTGGTAATTAATTTCTAAAGCACGGTTTCCCAAACTAGGTTGCCCCTGGTGGTCTGTAATGACTGCGCGGGGTATCCTCGTCAATATGAAAATAATCTGATCGATCTTTATTGTTTGATTTCAATCAAATCAAAAAGCCATTTCATCTTTTTGTTTGAGCGCTATGGATGAATATACATTTCTGTCAGAAGAGGCAATTACAATTTAATTGCCTTTGGCAACGACCCACACGTGTGAGGCAGCATTTTCAGCTTTTATCAATACGATGATAAAAGAAGGTCTAAACTTGACGTAGCGTCCGGTCAATGTGTTTGCTGATCACGTTTGGTCTGAAAATTGATAAGTGAAAAACAACCTCATTCATCACATTAACGTCTTTCGTGTTGTAATTAAAACATTATCTTTCTCGTTGGTTAGTCACAAAAATTGATGCGTCCTGAGATGGAGGTCCGTCAAAACTGAAATTCACAAATAGATGTCCGCGACCAAAAAAGTTTGGAAAATCCTGTTTTAAAGGATCAAAAGTGGTATAGTAATCATGTTAAGTTTCTGTAGTCCGGCATTGAATGTTTATGTCATATACCCGAATTCATAAAAGTTGGATTTGGATAAAAATATCCTTCATCAAAACAAGCTTTTGTTTTTACTTTGTGGAACTGAAGTTTATATTGTTCATATTGTTTAAAATTTTACTAATAAAGTCATTTTATAAAATCGAAAACAAGTAATATTTTTAGAAATGGAACATGGAGTATGGAGATGTTTTTCTTGTTACGGAATCTGATGAACGTGAATATCAAATTGAACAATCTTGTTGCTTTTATAACTATATATTTTCCATATATATATGGTATTTTTGTATGGGGTATGTTTTAGAAGAGATTCACATATCACATGAAAAGAAAGATATTTATTTTATTTCAGATACATATATCATAGAATATATTTTCCGGTTCAAATAAAAAATATACTAAATACATAGAAAATGTCTTCTGGTAATAGTATTATTGAACATCATTTTGAAAATGTATTTCAATCGGAAGAATTGTTGAAAAAATGCTCAACATCAGCGATCGAAGAGGCCAAAAAGCAAAATTTTTTCTTCCAGTGGTATGACGATGATGAGTCAAGAAAACCAGTACGTATCTATCTGCATTGTAGAAGAATAAACTAGTTTTAGGTTTTTTCTATAAAATTTAAAATTATTGAAAATTGGTTGTACCCTCGCTATGTCATGTTTGAAAATAAAAAACTATCTTTTCCGTCAAAATATTCAATTTCTAGAAAGTAAATTCCAAAAAATAAGACCAACTATTTTCATGAACTATATACTTGTCAACTGAAATTCGTCCACACAGAATGACATTCAAGCAAAATTCGTTGCGCTGATAGTAAAATGCTTATCAGTTACACACGGACGTATACGATTGAAGTCGTTTCCACTTTTTAGACTTTTGTTCTTTTCTAATAAGCACTTGCAATTTATCCAGATACCAAGCGTTAAAAATATTGGATCTAAGCGAATGAAATTTACTAATGGTTGGTTTTGCAGTATGACAAGATGGCTCCATTTTGTTTGTTTCCTTCGAGAATTCCCGTTGATGTTATGCGCAGAGTAAACCAGGTTTGCCCAGATTTTCACAAACTTCATCATAATGTCAGTTTTGATTTCGATTTTGTAAAGAAAGGATTGGACAGGTAAATCCTACTCTGTTTGCGTATGTAGCAATCATAATTATAGAACAACTTATTCAGCAAACTTATATCTAGTCTGTGATCACATAAATAGGAACTAAGTACAGGCAAATATATTAGTCTTTAGAAAGTTTTGTAAGTCTCACATACCGTTTCTTGCTTGATTAGTCTGTGATCTTTAGGGAAGCGAAAAAAAAAGATTTCCGCCAACAAGACTTCCGTCTCAAGTTCTTCCTAATACGCCCCCTGTATACGTTTATATATATGAATATAGAGTTATATATTTACTTTTAGTGTTACGAAAACTGACTCGTTTGTTGAAAAACTGTTTGGCATTTACGAAAGAGCGTCTAAAGCAGTCAATCGTGAGGTAAGTTAACTAGTTAATTCTTGTTCGAGATGTAAGTGTCGAATGTCGATTGCAGGTGCGTGTAGAATTCTTGTCAACAAATTTTTAAACAGATAAACCAAGACCACCTCGTGTGGCTCATGACTAAATGGGTAGGAAGTAATGCATTGCAATGGGAAATCAAAAATATTTCTAGTTATAACGCCCTTCATGCTGTGAAAAATCAGCCATACATGTGAATGTGATGTTGTTGACAATTTCATGAATTCATATTAATTTATCGTGTTATTAAACGACTCATCGTGATAAATTTATCATTAAAATCACATGGTAATTGATTTGATACGTTCCAGGACCGGTATGAGCTATCCATAACAAGAGCTGATTACATGGTGACTAAAACTGCTGAAGGAATTCAACTTCCTAAACTTTTGGAATGGAGTGTTTCAGGATGGGGATTTGGTGTAGCAAGTTTTCTAGAGCAAATTTACAAACGCTCTTTACAGGAAGCGAAAATTCGATTTGAGCAAGGTTTTGGTGGCACAGATATGACGCTTCGTCTGGCAAAAATGTTTATCAAAACTTTGAAATTGCACAACAATTCAAACGCTGGGATATTAATCGTTGTTTGCGAGCAATATTTTGGTCTCATTGAATGTTACGATTTAAAAGACAAAATATTTAAAATTTACCATGACGTTTTTGTAGACATTTTAACACTGCAGGAAGTGAGCAAGAATGTTACACTTGGAGGTCAGAAGGAATTGTTAGTGTAAGTAATGTATCAACATACATGGTTTTATGTCGAGAGAAATGGTTTTTCTGTACCGAAATATTGATAATATATAAAGGTTTAAATTCGATATAGTAATCATGTTTAGCTTCTTGGGTCTAGCTTTGCATGTATATTTCATATAACCTAATGCATAAGAATTGTATTTTAATAATTCAGAAAAACGTTGTTTCTAGTTTAATGGCATTTAAAGAAATGTGGTCTAAAATGTTTACAATAAAGTCATTTTATATAAGCTAACAAGGTAATATTTTCAGCAATGGAAGAGAGTATGGAGTTGTTTTTCTTCTCACTGGTTTTGAAGAACATGAATATCAAACTGAACAGGTATGTTGCTTTTATAATTGTACATTTACCGTCGATGGTATTTTTGTTATTTATCGTTATATAAATTATTTAGAATTATGCAACGCACAGTTTCTCGAACGGCTTCGGAACATCATGTTGAATTATTTCTATGATTTCAAACGACAAATTGTTAGGTGGATATTTAATATTACCCCTAGTGCGTCTAACAAAGCAAGTTTAAAGAATGTTTGCAAGGGTTCATTTCACTGTTTTTTTTTCAAATTTGAATCATCTGTTTCTTTAAACTTAGGATTGGTTCGCCCGTGAACTGATGGAATATAGCACTGCTATTTTGTGTCCAAATATTTTTCATTCGATTGTCGAACTGAATAAGATTATGGAAGTTATGTCCAGACCCAAACATATGGAAAAGTACGTTGACGATGCGGAGGCACGTCTTATCAGGAATGCCCTGGTCAAATATCGAACTCTAGAACAGGTAAATAAATGTTCATAAAATATGACGAGGTGCAGATATCGGAGTAATATTTAGGTGCTACTCTTTGTATTTGTACTAATTTCAACAACAAAGTTATATTTTATGAAAAACGAAGCAACTTAGTGCATGCTGCATCGCAACGTTTCATCGTTCATGTAATCTCGCATATGATTGCTTTTAATTTTCAGGGCAATGCGGGTGACATGAATGCAAAATTAGGAATCACGAATCCCCACGAATACGTGTTGAAAGATCAGAGAGAGGGTGGAGGTGGAGTGTGTTTGTTTGAAATTGAATTTAAAAATAAATTTTAAAAATTGTAAATAAAAAACAACAAATTTCTTTTCACACAATTTATTGATGTTATTAATAAAATTCTGTGAAGCAGTGCTATTTCTATATATATGAAAAAAACTTAATTAAAAGATAAACATATGCTTGTGTATTTTCATAAAAAATTTAGGTGATAAAATAGGGTATTACGAAAAAAAAAACATTCAAAAATTCATTCAATTAATCTTATTTTTAGTGAAATACTTTCGCGAAGACGTTAAGGAAATTTTGGAAAATTTGCAAGGCACACATGAAAGGTATCCTCAGCCAATCTGATTCTATTCTTGAGTATTTTTACAAATGTCTCTTTTATGACCCTGCTATAAAAATGCCATTATAATGAGTCCTTAACTCGCCCGGTATCGGAAACACATCGATCATAAATAAAATCATTTATACAATGACATTTAATAGATAAATGTCTGAAGATATTATTGTGTGTGTATCCGAACCACATACGTAATATCTTAAAATAATTGATGCTTTACATTATATTTGAGGGGCCAATATATTCTCGTGGATTATATCAAACCAGTTGTTGGGAAAAACGTTATGATTTTTTCGGATGAAAATCCAGATCTTACTGTTGTGAATACCGTCACAGAAATTGCAACATTCGGAGCATTCCTTACGTGAGTTACATCATATATCGTTTTTGAGATTTGAATTCTTAATTTGTATTAAACTACTGAGCTTAGTGAAATTGAAATATGACAGAATATTTAGGTTTGAATGATCTCATGATATTTGATATGAATAAATCTGTACAGAAATCTGTAAAATTGCTTGAGCTACGTGGAAGAGCGATTATATGTCGCATACTTCGAAATTTATACATCTCCCAATCATGTATTGAAATCCCTTTCTTTTTTTTATTTCATTGTAGATCATAGATTAGTTATGGGGTTCACTATTTTGTATTTGATTTTGCTTTTGCAGTAAAGGAAGAAATATCTTAGCAAACGAATGCTTTGGAAACATTTCCAGAACGAAGAACTATGGAGTTGACGCAATCAGTACATCTAAAGGCAATTTTGCCTTAGATCTCATATTGACGACATGAAATCCGCGTATCAGTTTATCTTGGAAGTCAATGACTACCGATTGACGTTGGCAGCTGCATAATACATTATATTGCTATTATTAATTATCATTAGAATATATAGGATACAATATTTCAGTGGTTCCCAATCTTTCTACCCCCACGGTAGATTTGTCCTTACAGACCGACTAATGAATGAAACATGACATAATCACCTGTGTTTGAGTAACTGTAGTTGAGTAACAATATTTTGGCACATACTACAACAAAATATAATAGAACAACAAACGATCAATTAAACGCAAATATACACTTTTGTTTTAACGCAAAAAATCTTTCACGCATTACCGCAACACACGAAGTGAATAATTCATTCTTTTCTTTCTAGGCTTTGTAGGAGCTGTCATCGCTTTTTTAAATTTGTGTCGTTCCGCGTTATTTACCCATTAACTTGTAAAGTATTCTTATTATACATTTACATGACATTTTCCACGTATTTTGGTGTGAGAAGAACCATCATGCGATACAGTTTATTGCGACCAAACACAAATCTGGGTTGAACATTTAATCTTAAATAATTTGACAGTATTTTCCGATGTAAATTTTAAGCAATATTCATTGGAAGTATAAATTTTGAAGCGAGTAACATTCTGTTTATTTTATTATCGAAATACATATATAATACTCTGTGACATTGTTTACTTAAATGTGGGACAATGTAAACTAATTAACAAAGTGATTTCGTTACAGATTGAACTTGAAAATTGTGATTTCTCGTCGGCAAACACAACGCCGAGCAATCAATATGTTGCTTGTCGAACATCAATTTTAACGGCGGACGGCAAATCGTAAACCTATGTTACTCCATCTGTTTTGCATTCAATCGGTTACACTGACAGAAAGATAAAACAAACAACAAAATTTTTCAATTTAGTCGAACGGTCAGGAACCACTGCCATAGATGAATAATACTTGCTTTTCCCATTATATTAATCAAGAATCAACATTTTTACCTAAGTCATTATATCAGAAAGTAAACTCGATAAAGTTGTTAGAATTTAAATTAGAATTTTTATAAATCATTTTTCATTATTAGTAACTATCAGGAGAATTTTATTTTCAATTTTGTTATATATATATATCCTACTAAGGCTAGTTTCAGTGTCGATTTATGCATTTGTAAATATTTACCATGTGTAACTAATAAATGTATAATCAAGTCAGAATGATGTTTTTCCCTTTCTATATTAATTCTTGTATTTGCAAATCAACTAAACAAAGAAGCAATGCTCAAATACATATAGGCAGGAAAGTCAAATCACTACGCCAAAGATACTAACTCAGAATGAAATCACCTTGTTTTCAACGCCGTTCTCAGTAATGTCCTTGTTCCACAGAGACAAATATTATGTTTGTTTCATATTTATGAAAGTCTTGTTGTAGGAAAAAGTTATAATGCTGTGTGGCATTTATCTTAACCATGCAACATCAAATTTACTTAGTGAGACATTTATTATGTACCTAACCATTTTTTGTTCTTGCTAAAGAAATTGAAATAAGTACAATCTGCCATATTTCAGTCAAGAAATACTGACTTCCACAACAAGTTAGGAAGCGTCTGAAATGATTCGATGTGACGGTAATATGAGACGAAATTGCTTACTGCCTTCCTTTTTCGTTGTCAAATTCCTGTTTCCTCAATATGCATGTAAATTTTATAAATTTTGACAAATGATGTTAACGGACACGCTTTCCCGCAAGCACATCGGTACAGGTAGCACTGATTTTACCAAGCGAAGCGGCGGGTCTCGTTTGACCGAAAATGATAAAGTTAAAGTGAAAATTATCGGGCCCATAGCTGATTTGAAAAAAAAAAGTAGAACCCGTTTGGCGACTCCTCCCATATAATGAGTAATGAAAATTGATTGGTGCATTAGTTGTAGTGAAACGCGTACCTCCTCCTCATCACAAACTGTAACGATAGTCAGATCAAATCATTTCTTCATACTAAACAACGACAAAAACGTGTAATGAGAATGGCAATCAAGAAATTCAGATTTTTTTTGTGTCAATCTAGTGGCTTGTACGGCAAATTGACGGGAAATTTTCAAAGAAGCCGAACGTAAATGTTGCCAACACAGTTTCAGGTTTTGTTAATGAACAAGTACACATATTCGGATTCCAAGCACTCAGATTACTCAGCTTATTGTTATTCATGTTTTGATATACCGTTATTTTTGGGGTAAAAATTATAGAATGGGGTCGGTATAATGATTCACCTACGAATGTCGATAATGATTACTGATATTGGAAGCGGGGCAACTGTCATTGTTGCACGCGCACACTGGTAAGGGAAAACAGCCAATCAATGCTGTTTTATGATGTTTTTTATGTTGATGATTTTCACGACTCAACACCGAATGCTAAAGAAGCGATAGATCACGTCAAAAATGTAATTTATATTCCGACTCTGCAGCGCTGTTCCATGTCTATATATGACTGTTTTAAAAGTGTCAAAATTTGGCAAATGATTGACTTCACAAAAATCTTTCCGAATTTATAAAAACTGTTGATGTATACGAAATTCTCGCCTAAAGTAATTTAAAAAGTAGGTATACTTCATCCATGGTGTAATGTGTATTTGAGGTTGTATAATTATTATGCAGTCACGACGTCAATCGGTAGGTCTTGAATTCCGAGATAAATCGATCATGTAGTTAATATGAGATCCAAAGCAAAATTGCCTTTAGATGTGCTGATTGCGTCAACTCCATATTGCTTCGTCCTGGAAATGTTCCCAAAGCATTCGTTTATTATGATATTTCTTTCTTTACTGCAAAAGAAAAAAATCAAGTACAAATTAGTGAGCTCCACGACCTATCTATGCTCTATATACTGAAAAAAAGTCCTATTTATGACCATAACACGATCGGAAAATTTATATATTTCGATGTATGCCGCATATTTTCCATAGCTAAAGCTTTTTCACACGTGGACATAACATATCATGGGAACATTAAAAGTTTTTTTTCTAAATATTAAAAACGATATATGATGTAACTTACGTGAGGAAGGCTCCGAATGAAGAAATTTCTGTGACGGTATTTACAACAGTAAGATCTGGATTTTCATCCGAAAAAATCATAACGTTTTTTCCAATAACTGGTTTGATATGATCCACGAGAATATATTGGCCCCTCAAATAAAACACAATCTTTTTGTTATTTTACTAAGTGCTGCTGATATACATTATAATCTGTTAAATGTTATTGTCAAATACAGAGTTTTCCCAAACTTATTAGGCTACGGGGACCCCAATAATAAGCCGTATCAATTTCTGTGCCAAACCAACGAGGAAGGATAATATTTCATTTACAACACAAACGACATTGTGACAAGCAAACTCGTAGGTCCGAGTCCACGGCAAGTCTCGACCTGTATTTTGTCATCATATGGGTAAAGCTGAAATGCTTCTTCACATATGTAGATCGTTGCAAAAAGTCAATAAAATTGTAAATGCCTTTTCGGACAACAATGGATATTAGTCCGCAACACTCAACCAATAAGATGCAATGGCCTTTTGATTAATATCAATCATTAGGGATTGATCAGAGCTTTTGCATTTCGTTGCGGACCCCCTGTGCAGTCATCGTGGACCCCCAAAGAGACATTCTGGTAAAATAGTCAAGACAAGAGTAATGTTCAAATCTAGTTATACTAAAAATACCTTTGTTGCGTGCCTTGCAATTTCTTCAGCATATTCTTAACGTCTTCACGAAAGTATTTTACTGAAAACAAGATTAAAGAACTAAATTCATGAATGCAATTTGCTTTGTAATAACTTATTATATCACCCACATTGTCAACAGGCACGTGTTGTCCTTTCGTCGTATATGAAAATAACTAGACTTCACAGAATTTTAGGTTCTATAAATAATTGAGCCAATGGAGGATTCACGTTCTTTTTGTAATGCTTCACTTCAATGAGCAGTCAAAGGCTTATACAAATTTTTTTTTAATTCACTTGCATTATTTCAAATAAAAATATTCCACCTCCGCCCTCTCTCTGATCTTTTAACACGTATTCGTGGGGATTCGTGATTCCCAGTTTTGCATTCATGTCGCCTACATTGCCCTGAAAATATAACGCAATCAAATAAAAGATATTATGAACGATGCAACGTTTCAACTAGAATTCGGTTGGAAACCGAAGACTTATTGATCGGAGGTTAGGGGATGCCCCAAAACAGTGGTCTTACTCCATAGTGACACCGTGTGTCCCATCACTAATTAATAATTGCTAATTAACTTGCTAATTATACGACATAATCCATCCAAAATCGATAGGCTTCTGTTCCGAACAATGATGAATGCACATGCAAAATTAGGAGCAGAATCAACCTCGTTTTCTTGAGATATTGCGTTTATCTAACAGACAAACAAACAAACAAACAAACAAACAAACAAACAAACAGACAAATACCTCTTAAGATCGATAAGTAATAACTGCGTGGTTGCAATTTGCCTTTTTGAATGAGCAACAGTTCAAACAGAATAAATTGAATATCAATGTATCACATGAAAATTACTCCATCTGCGTTTTGTCACATATTTTGAACATTAAGATATTTACCTGTTCTAGAGTTCGATATTCAACCAGAGTATTCCTGATGAGACCAGCCTCCGAATCGTCAACGTATTTTTCCATATGTTTGGGTCTTGACATAATTTCCATAACTTTATTTAGCTCCACGATCGAATGGCAAATATTTGGACACAAAATAGCAGTGCTATATTCCATCAGCTCACGGGCGATCCAATCCTGAGTTGAAAAAAAAAAGTTGAAAAAATTCATAAATATGTGAAATAGACGCTTGCAAACATTCTTTCAACTTTATATAGCTTTATTACCAACATGCATTTCTGAGCAAAAATCGTACATAAAAAATACCATCGATGGTGAATGTATAGTTATAAAAGCAACATACCTGTTCAGTTTGATATTCAAATTCTTCAAATCCCGTGAGAAGAAAAACAACTCCATACTCTGTTCCATTTCTAAAAATGTCGCCTCTTTTAGACTATATAAAATCACTTTATTGATAACATTTATAGACTATATTCAAATGAGCATACAGTATTTGCAATGTACCACAAATTATAGACAAAGTCGGTTTTTGTAATTGTGTTTTTTATTAAAATGCGACTTAGGTTGATAGCATTAATTTTTTATATGACATATAAATTCAAAGCCCATTACAGACTCCTGAAACTAAAGATGATCACTATATCGCTATTAATTAATCCTTCATAAATTACCAATATTTTTGTACAGAAGAAGCATTTCTCAGCCTAATAACATGTATGTTGATACATTACTTACACTAACAACTCTTTCTGACCTCCAAGTGTAAGATTCTTGCTCACTTCCTGTAGTGTTAAAATGTCTACAAAAATATCATGGTCAATTTCTAATATTTTTTCTTTCAATTTGTGACATTCCATGAGGCAAAAATATTCTTCGCTGACAACAATCAATATTCCGGTGTTTGACTTGTTGTATATTTTCCAACTTTTGATAAACGTTTCAGCCAATCCAAGCGTCATATTCCTGCCAGTAAAAACCTTGTTCAAATTGAATTCTCGCTTCCAGTAAGGAGCGTTTGTAAATTTGCTTGAGAAAACTTGCTACACCAAATCCCCATCCTGAAACACCCCATTCCAGAAGTTTGGGAAGTTGGATTCCTTCAGCAGTCTTTGTCACCATGTAATCTGCTCTCGTTATTGATAGCTCATACCGTTCCTGGAATGTAAATTATTTACCATATGTATTAAATAACAGATTAATCATAATGAGTTGCTCAATTACACGATAAATATGTAGGAATTGTTAACAACAACACATGCGCATGTTTATTTAAATCATCACATCGTAAAAAGTGCTATAACTAAATTCTTTTTTGGGTACAGAAGTTGAAAAAATACCATTGCAACGCATCACTTTTTACACATAAAGGGATGAATCACAAACAAACTTGTCATGATAGATACTTGCTGTCAGTAGAACTACCCGCACCTGATACGGACATTCGACACTTACCGTACATCTTGGAGGACCAGAATAACCATTTGACTTACCTCACGGTTGACTGATTTAGACACTCTTTCGTATATGCCGAACATTTTTTCAACGAACCAGTCCGCTTTCGTAACACTAAAAGTAAATATTTAACTCTATAATAATATATATGTAATTTATAACTAAACATAACTTTATCATATTACCGTGATTTATACAAACGCAAACAGAGTAGAATTTACCTGTCCAATCCTTTCTTTACGAAATCGAAATCAAAACTGACATTATGATGAAGTTTATGAAATTCTGGGCAAACTTGGTTTATTCTTCGAATAACATTTCTGGGTATTCGCGATGGAAACAAACAAAATGGAGCCATCTTATTGTGCTGTGAAGAGAACCAGCAGCAAACATTATTCATGTATTGACCTGCCTGATGCTGAATATGGGTGTCTCAATAAAATGCTACTGTATAAAAGATGGTGCTTACCAGGAAATTTTATAAAGGTTTAAAATAATGTTATCTGGTACAATTAGGATGCAGCAAATTTCCAAGTAATTAAATTGTTACCTAATTTTATTCTAAAACATTAACTTATTTTACTGTGCTAAGCACACGCCAAATACTTACAGGTTTTCCTGACTTGTCATACCACTGAAAGAAAAAGCTCTGCTTCTTGGCTACTTCGATGGATGAGTTTGCGCATTTTTTCAACAATTCTTCCGATTTGAATATTTTTTCAAATTCTTGTTCGATAAAACCGTTATCAGCAGACATTTCCTTAATATATATGTTATTTCTATTTATTTATTTGCACCATAAAATATATATTTATATACATGAATCCAAAATGTAATGACTTAAATTAATTTCATTTCACCCACCAAATTTGCGTATTCAATGTTGTATTAAACCTTACTTCCTTCTTTAACAACTCAGTGCTGGAAATGTAATGTTGCACTACTTCCAATTACCGACTTTTTAAAAAACGTACAATTGAATCGCTGCTTGTTTGAGAGATGAATATTCTTCAACCTTTTTGTATATATAATAAACACATCAATCTGAGCGAGTGTTTTCAGTTTTAACCTGCAAGTATCCTAAATAATCAGTACACGTTAACGAGTTGCGATTTCTCAATTTACATATATTTTTTTGACATCTTTTCCTTCTGCTGTAATTGATCTTCCCGTGTTTATTTCCTGTCGTGATGTCGAAATAGCAAACAGACGACGCTTCGATAAATCATTTCCTGCTATTCACTCGTGTCTTCACACAGATTATCAAGATTTGTACTATTCTAATGTCAATTATTTTGTTGTTAGACTAATGAATATGATTTAACAAATATTAAAAATCCATTTGTTAAATTTTCCAATTGTTCTATTTATCCCCCCCCCCCCAAAAAAAAAATATTGTATTTCGTCTGTTTAGCCAACGACTCAAGTTCTTTGAACATACATGCTGGGAAATGCATCTGCTTCAGAGAGCATTTTCGGGATAGGCTGTTATCCATATTCAGCTCAAAGGACATAATACTATTTTGCTGTTTGATATGCAAACGACTTCCGCCCTATTAACGGTTATGATGTTCCAATAGCAAGTCTATCCAAATTTACTTCTTTTTATTTTTTTTTAATAAAAGTTGACATTTTCTCGATCGTCGAACACAGAAGTGAATTGGTAGTACATAAGTTACTTGTCCACCAAATCAGGTATAAAAAAGGTCTTGATGCCATATTCCCAATGCCAATTGTAAAATATAATTTGAAGGTAAAATCTGAACTCGAATAATTTTCTACTTTGTTACTATTCATATTTGTCATACTGATACTATTTTTAACGCTCTTTGAGATAATAAAAAGAATTTGAAGTGCCATTACTCTGGTGGAAATGAACAGTTTTGCTTGCCCACTTTGTGCTACAAACGAGTTTATAATTTGGCATCGCAGGTTGACCAAGTCCATCGTATAGGCAATAGAGAATCGGAAACACTACCATCTTTTAGAGATATTGACCCTTTAAATTATAAATAGCTGCTTGTCCACTAAGCAATTTTAGAAGAATGCACAGAAAAATCAAGACGCATCTAATCAACCACAACCTAAAACAGCGTCCGCTCTCTTTTTTAAATCAAACACTCCAATAGGTTTATTTTGAGTGAACAAAAGAGATGATAACCTTACGCTGATTATATATCAAAGGCCGTATTGATTGCTGTTCATGGCTTCGTATTATTTATGGTTTGTTATATTTATATACCAAGTTTTAAATGGACCAGTCGCGATAGCGTTCTCCTGTTTTGCTTGTAATTGTAGTTCGACTGGATAAAAAAAACTTCTTCTATAAACACCACTAATATGTATAGTATATTATGTCGATGTAGACTATTGCAAAATAATTGAAATCAAATTCACAGATAGAAACCATACAGTGGAGTGAGTGTGAAGTACCCGTTTGATATCACCACTCAGGTTCTTTCTTGGACACTGAAGTTGCAATAGATGTCGATCACAAATAACTAGGCATTTGTGCAAAAAGAATTGTTTTTGAACAATTGTTTTAAATCAAGTTTTGTTGCCTGATTTATTTTTAAAAGGCTGTATTATTTGATTTTTTTTAATAAATAATTAGAATAAATTAGAACAAGAAAAATCGATGAAAGAACCTGACAATTGCTTCTTATTCGCAATGAACCCTTCGAAAGGCCACAAATATTGACGACTTTTCCATGCACGCCTTCTCAAGCTGTAGCGCAATGTGTCTGCAAACGTGGTTGACGCAACCGATATGCCACGTGAGCCACCATGTAGCGGCGAGGATTCCAGCAATCCTCTTGCACAACGTCACATAACTCTTGGAATTCGAACCAGGATCGGATATACCATAAGAAAAGGTAGGATACAGCCTAGGATCTTCAAACTTGGGCCTTGACAATCAATTTTGAACTATTATTAATTTTAAATATTTTTTAAATTGTAAAAAAGGCTTTATAGATAAGGCGGAATTATTGAATTTGTTTGATTAACCTTGCAAAACTTTATCTATCCAACCTCAAAAACAAAGTGTGATAATTTAAATTAATTAGACAATTTTCACTGTAACAAAGTCTTTATTTTAGAAAAAAAAATGTCGATATACTAATTAATCTAAGCAACATAGAATGTGTGGATTATTATATATAATTTTTACTATGTCAGATCTCACTAAAAACGACTATTATGATGTCGGATTTTCTGATGGCATTTTGTACGTATGTATCTTGCCTGTAGCTAAAGTTTTATTATTCATGCAATTAATAACAGTACTTATGATGCCATAACACATAAACTCGAAATCCCTATTATGACGTTTTAACTGATTAGCTGTGACGCCATTGTTACAGAGGGGCCTTGCGATTAGTAAAGCCTGGGGTGTTTCATCGTCTAATCCGGCCATGATTCGAACCTACGTGTGTTGCCGCCGATATAAGTATATTCTTCATTATTGTATTAGGTCACTTGTTTTTGCGAATTTAGGAGGTGGGCGCACCACCGATCCAACTGCTTTTGGATAGGCCCACTTGTTTTGCCGAATTTAGGCGATGGGCGCACCCCTGATCCAACTGCTTTTGGATAGGCCCACTTGTTTTGCCGAATTTAGGCGATGGGCGCACCCCTGATCCAACTGCTTTTGGATAGGCCAACTTGTTTTGCCGAATTTAGGCAATGGGCGCACCCCTGATCCAACTGCTTTTGGATAGGCCCACTTGTTTTGCCGAATTTAGGCGATGGGCGCACCCCTGATCCAACTGCTTTTGGATAGGCCCACTTGTTTTGCCGAATTTAGGCGATGGGCGCACCTCTGATCCAACTGCTTTTGGATAGGCCCATTTGTTTTGCCGAATTTAGGCGATGGGCGCACCCCTGATCCAACTGCTTTTGGATAGGCCCACTTGTTTTACCGAATTTAGGCGATGGGCGCACCCCTGATCCAACTGCTTTTGGATAGGCCCACTTGTTTTGCCGAATTTAGGCGATGGGCGCACCCCTGATCCAACTGCTTTTGAATAGTCCCACTTGTTTTGCCGAATTTAGGCGATGGGTGCACCCCTGATCCAACTGCTTTTGGATAGGCCCACTTGTTTTGCCGAATTTAGGCGATGGGCGCACCCCTGATCCAACTGCTTTTGGATAGGCCCACTTGTTTTACCGAATTTAGGCGATGGGCGCACCCCTGATCCAACTGCTTTCGGATAGGCCCACTTGTTTTGACGAATTTAGGCGATGGGCGCACCCCTGATCCAACTGCTTTTGAATAGTCCCACTTGTTTTGCCGAATTTAGGCGATGGGTGCACCCCTGATCCAACTGCTTTTGGATAGGCCCACTTGTTTTGCCGAATTTAGGCGATGGGCGCACCCCTGATCCAACTGCTTTTGGATAGGCCCACTTGTTTTACCGAATTTAGGCGATGGGCGCACCCCTGATCCAACTGCTTTCGGATAGGCCCACTTGTTTTGACGAATTTAGGCGATGGGCGCACCTCTGATCCAACTGCTTTTGGATAGGCCCATTTGTTTTGCCGAATTTAGGCGATGGGCGCACCCCTGATCCAACTGCTTTTGGATAGGCCCACTTGTTTTACCGAATTTAGGCGATGGGCGCACCCCTGATCCAACTGCTTTTGGATAGGCCCACTTGTTTTGCCGAATTTAGGCGATGGGCGCACCCCTGATCCAACTGCTTTTGAATAGTCCCACTTGTTTTGCCGAATTTAGGCGATGGGTGCACCCCTGATCCAACTGCTTTTGGATAGGCCCACTTGTTTTGCCGAATTTAGGCGATGGGCGCACCCCTGATCCAACTGCTTTTGGATAGGCCCACTTGTTTTACCGAATTTAGGCGATGGGCGCACCCCTGATCCAACTGCTTTCGGATAGGCCCACTTGTTTTGACGAATTTAGGCGATGGGCGCACCCCTGATCCAACTGCTTTTGAATAGTCCCACTTGTTTTGCCGAATTTAGGCGATGGGTGCACCCCTGATCCAACTGCTTTTGGATAGGCCCACTTGTTTTGCCGAATTTAGGCGATGGGCGCACCCCTGATCCAACTGCTTTTGGATAGGCCCACTTGTTTTACCGAATTTAGGCGATGGGCGCACCCCTGATCCAACTGCTTTCGGATAGGCCCACTTGTTTTGACGAATTTAGGCGATGGGCGCACCCCTGATCCAACTGCTTTCGGATAGGCCCACTTGTTTTGCCGAATTTAGGCGGTGGGCGCCCCCCTGGTCCAAAAGCTTTTGTATAGGCCCGTGGACTACGTTTCATGATTTTTCTTGCATTTTTCACTCAAAACGTCTCCCTGATATCCCGGATAAACATTGCTGTTGAAATCTCATGACATTAGCGTATATGTACTAACTTGGCGATGAAGTTAATTAAGCGATGAAAGTGAAAGTCAAAGCAAAAATTTTCATTACATTTTTAAAATTATTATTCCGGCAGCGTGTGCAGCTGCCAAAACGCAACATTCCGGCGTAGTTTTTCGGCGATGTGAGGAGTATTTCAAAAAAATACAAAAGTTACAGAAAAAATTTGATTTGAAACAGGTCCTTGTTTAAAAAAGCAGGCTGATTTTGGAATTGATAAAAAACCCTACAAATAACCTTCTTCCGGTTCCGATTGCAACAGAGTACCTATCTTAAATCAACCATATTATTATACACCTGCAAGAGCTTTATACAACCAAACACTCTAATGAAAATACAATAAACTATGATAAATACCAAATTAGATCCGAAAATCACACAGGAAACTAACTGTGAACGTAGACTAGTTACAGAAATGTTAAATACAACATAACTGGTGAATAGATCTATGCCACACTGGGGAAACAATATACCTGTAGTACTATTATCATTTTACAAGAATAACTTAGGTTTACGGCAACAAAACACTAAAATAATGACATAATACACAAGGAAATTCCACACTGCCGGCAGTATGACCAGAACCTGTGGTATGACAAACCATCTAACACGGAAGTTGCTCAATAACAACTCAAGTGGTATGAATGAATAGGGCGCACATAAATAAATCACACTTATAGAACGAGTTTCAAAATGAAATTAGTCAATAAAATCAAGACCTTTGAAAATCCAACAAAACGGCCAAAAGTGCACTTGTTCAAATATGTAACTAAGTATATAATTCAGAATATTTACTTCTAGACTTCTAACTGAGAATAAAATGAGGCAATTTCTATATTGCACTGCTTATTTTTATCACGTTTTTGTCCATAACTTCCCCAAAGTTAGGAAATTCCGATAAATCCTGTTTTTAGCGCATCGTCTTGTTCCATTGTCATTACTTGTTTTCCAATATAATGCCCCTTTCCTGATATTTCAACAGTGAAGGCTCGGTGTTTTCCACATTTTGTTTTTTCAATTACTTTAGCAGTGAATCTAATAACAAGAGAGCTATGCTCAAATATATGGGCACGTCACAAGGTGTCGCTGTTCTATTTTATTCTGACACATAAAAAACGAATCTCTTGAAGTCCACAGAAATTTTTGGAATAGGTAAAAATAATATCCTTCTGGCAAAAAAATCAATCTTTAACCACTGAAAATTCGAAGAGAAAAGAGATTTTATCAGGATAAAGGAGAACAAAAACAAGAACAACAACATAATATTGAAACGATCGTTATGTACACTAACGTGTCCAATAAAGAATATGCTATAAACCGACCTTCTACCCCAATTCCCATCTACTTAGATTCCGTTAGTTTGTTTTTATAGAGTGCAAAATGGTAAAACACTTCAGAATATTTAGAATTTTTTTTAAAGCTCACCCAACGCCACTCATGGCACTCTTGAACACTGCGGATTCTCCTAATGCCAATTTTCCTTTTGCCAGAAGCGTGACGATATGTGCTGACGTACCTGATCCACACGGCCCTCTTCCCTGTATTAAATTATAAAATAAGCTCTCCATTACTCTCCTCATTGGCACAAATTATTAGTATTATGGGAGTACTTGTTGAAATCGGGAAAGAAGTGAATTTGGATTATAGAAAAGGGGTTGGTGAAATACCCAGAATATTTAAACGTGTTGTTTTTGGCCACCAAAACAACACAACATAACTTCTCGAGCCAAATGTATGTTGTTACAGCTAACATAAGTGCATTTAACTTTATAATAGTCGAAATAACTCCAAGGGCAAAAATACCTTTTTAGGTGAAAGAAATAACTGTTTTTTCAAGTATTGTTATAAATAGATTCACCTCACTGTCTCTGAATACGGCCATTTGTTTTACCACACGATCCGTTGACAAATCCGAAGTATCAACAACCAGAGTTCCGTTAAAAACAGCCAAGTCATCATTGTCTGGGTGACTCAGCTTTACCTACAGATGAAATGTGTAAAATTATATGCGGGAAAAAAAACATTTGAATTTAAATCATCTTTACAGTACAAGCATAGTATGGAAACTACCTTTTTCGCAATAGCTTCATTGATCATATGCCCGATCCTAGACGCCAATTTCAACGATTTTATATCACCGAAATTCACCCCAATATCCTCTGCTGATACAATGGTATAGAAGCCTCCTCCGAAAGCGACATCTACATTTATAACTCCAATGTCGTCCAAATGTATTTCAATATCTCAAAATTAATGAGTTCTCAGTTACTTCGCGTATGATGTAAACTCGCATTTATTAGTTGGTGCTCCTTTTGCAACAGTAAATTTCTAATACAATCACTATTACGGTTGTTCTTTTTAACTCTTCAACACGCAAGCTTTTTTTTAAAGGATGCATTGTGACATAAATGTAAAACAAAGGGGTGTATATTATCCAGACATGGATTTAATATTGCGTTTTCACTCAGCTTGCACCACACCGTACTTCCGCAGTCATAAAGGAATCAAACGTATGCTCTGCCACAACTGAAAATATGTCCAGTGGTCATTAGAAACTAACCTGTTTCGAATACAAACGATGGAACGCTTCGCAAGCTTGTATTCCCTGATATTCCGTTTTTGTATTTGACAGATATTGGTACCAAGCCACATGGGCATTGTATCGCGATAGAGGTCTCTGGTTCTGTTGCTTTCACAAGGCCATTATCAAGACAGTACCTGAATTTTTGTACACATTAATTGATGTAAAAAAGAATAGCTTTCAAAGGCATAACCGAACAGACGTACGTACATACATTTCGTTTAATTCTAATTTGATTGATTGTATTCAATACTAGTTTAAATAGAGTTGACAAAGAACGAATAACATATTTGAACCTCCCAAAAGCCAGAGTTGCTTCGCCACACATGGTTAAGCATCCTTCTTTTTCATAAAATAAAATTGCTAGGTCCGCTTTTGGATTGTCAGGTTTTACCCGCAAAACAGAAACAGCGTGATGTCCACGAGGCTCATATGACATAAACCTATAAAACAAAAGATTACGTATCATATATCACCACAAGTGGTAGCCGGTTGTTTATTTGTGGTTACAATTGAACACTTTTGGGCTAGAGGAGGGTTATTTCCTTGAGGAAAATCGGCATCATACACAAATTGACCCGAGACATCCTCTCTTTTACTTTAAGTCAAAACTTCAGGTCTATTGACATCACGCCTGTGAAGTCAGTTCTATGAAAATTGATACTTAAAAACGCCGGAATGATGATTTACAATATAAATAGGCCAATAAGTTGGCGCACGAGGAAATAGATCTCTTGTCAAACGCGAAATTTGAGTAGTCTATTGCTACTGAATTTTTCTCATATATAATCAGCTTCTGTTAAAAATGAACTAACTTATTTGTTTCAGATAGAGGTATAATTAGACAAAATGATACTCTATCAAATCAGTAAATTTTATCTATCTTGATCAATATTTATGTATATATATATAGATGAATGAATGAACTGGGTATTTGTAAATAAACCGAAATTTTTACAGTAATGGGCAAGGTAAAGCATTCTGGTTTATATCATACTTACTTTATAATATAAGAAAAGTTTGTCTCTAAATTATTCATCTTATCCAAAATTGTTCCGCCGGGTATATCTGGTGCACCATTTTCAATTATTTTGATTGGTGTACCATATGTATGCATTTCACATGTTGTTATTTTTAAATTATCGATAGTGGCATCTTTCAAAAAAACCATAATACTTGATGATATCGAATACTTTCATAGAAACACGATGAATACAACAAATCTGAAACATGAATATAATCAATTCGAGAGTTGAATGAAAATGCTTATTTAGAATCTGTTTGTAACTAAGGGAATGGTATCTGTAGCATCTGTGCATTAGTACACATGAATATTGAATATGGCTAAACTTGCCCCTGTATGCTCATGTGTCCGTAACGACAATAGCACCCAAATATATCTACACATTCATATAGTTGAATCCGGAAGCATTTGCGATGAAGATCATACACCGCATGAACAGATGACGTCATAGGTGTAAGATGATATTTATGACGTCATTATTAGTGCTATACTTGTCATCTTTGACCTTGCTTGCTTACACTCTCTCTTGCTTGTACTGCATGCTGCTAAGTGCTGTGATCCATGATGTCTATGTTATATTCATAAATATACCCAAGCATTCTGAACGGTTGTGTGTTCACCCACAAACGAACAATAGGTATTGCTATATATCTTCCGATGCAAAAAAAATTATTTTATTTAATCTCAATTGTTATTAGCAATTATCATGAATGTCTTGATAAACCAGCCAGCCAGTTAGCTCAAAACTACCTTGAGTTAAATTGTTTTTATCAGTTGTCATTTGTACAAATGTCCGTTAGCTCAAATGTTCAAAAGAGGTAATGGTTCAAAGTTACACATTTTCTATCTTTAGACTGCCAATGCCCTATCACATTGCGAGCGTTGTTCTTTATGAGCGAGTTACAATGCAAAACTGTCGTACCTGATCGTATTATTTTAAAGAAATATATTCTAAAATGCCTAAATCCCGTAAAAAGAAAAACGAGAATATCGGTTGGAAACCGAAGACTTATCGATCGATAGTTAGGGGATCCCCCAAAACAGAAACTGCAGTTTCGATTCATCCGCTCTTGTAACTTGCGCACTGCGCATCGCACACACACACTCGGTGGGTCTCAAAATTCTCTCGCTTTACAAAAATCTAGATCACTATATCAATAATAATTGATTGATAACTCGCTAATTATACGACATAATTCGCCCAAAATCAATAGGCTTCTGGTCCGAGATAAGATGAATGCACATGCAAAATCTGGAGCAGATTCAATCTCGCTTTCGTGAGATATCGCGTGCATCTAACAGACAAACATACAGACATACAGACCAATACCTATCAACATACTTACCGATTAAAATCGATAAGTAACAACTCCATACTCTGTCCCATTTATAAAAATATCACTTTTTTCATAATCTGTATAACAAAACAAAAATGGGCACATTTGCGATGTGCTACAAATTATGGGCAATTTGTATTTTTCTGGTTAGTTATTTTAATGAAATGTGACATAGTTTATAGTATCAATTTTTTTATATATATTTATATACATATACACGCAAAGCTCTAACGAACTCCAGAAACTGAAGATGATCACTATATCGCTCTTAATCCTTTAAAAATTACCAATAGGCCTAGTTCTCTACAGAAGAAAATCTCTCAGCATAATGACCGTGAAGTGTCACGGTCTTGCTCACTTCCTGCAGTGTTACAATGTTTACAGAAACGTCATGAGTTTGTGCATCATGGAATGTGACGAATTGAAAAAAAATGTTATGATCATGCAATCAAAGTAAAGCATTTCCAAAACACATTCGTGATTATACGAGATCAGTATTGTTTAAAAAATCGCGGAAGTTCACGTCAATCATTTACTTTCTGTTCAAACAACGCAACGCAAATTTAACGCTAAATATCAATATCCCGGTGTTTAAACTCGGCTTTCTACAATTTCCATGTTTTGATGAATATTTCAGCCTAACCAAGCGTCATATCCGTGTCAGCAAAACTTTGCCCAAATTTAATTCTCGCTTCCAGTGAAGAGCGTTTGTAAATCTGCTTGAGAAAACTTGCTACATCATATCCCCATCCTGAAACACCCCATTCCAGAAGTTTAGAAAGTTGGATTCCTTCAGCAGTTTTAGTCACCATGTAGTCTGCTCTTGTTATTGATAGCTCATACCATAGTACTAAAAGTAAATACGTAACTGTATAATCCTATATATGTGATCTGTGACTAACTATATCTTTATCCTATTATCGTGATAACTACATACGGAAACAGAGTAGAGTTTACCTGTCCAATTCTTTCTATTTGAAATCAAAGGTGACATAATGATATAATTCTTGGCAAACGTGGTTTTCTCTTCGAATAACAAATTTGGGAATTCGCGATGAAAACAAGCAAAATGGAGCCATCTTATCGTGCTGTGAAGAGAACGAGTAGCAAACATTATTTCTTATCGATCTTAAGATCGGTGAATATGTTGATAGGTATTAGGTATAGGTAATAGGTATTTGTCTGTCTGTTAGATGCACGCGATATCTCACGAAAGCGAGGATGAATCTGCTCCAAATTTTGCATGTGCATTCATCATAGCTCGGATCAGAAGCCTATTGATTTTGGATGAATTATGTCGTATAATTAGCGAGTTATCAATTAATTAGTGATGAAAAGATCTGGATTTTTGCAAATCGAGAGAACGACTTTTGCAAAGCGAGAGATTTTTGAGACGCGCTGTGTGTGTGTGCGATGCGCAAGTTTTCACGCAATCGAAGGATACACACCGCTAGATCGCATCTCGTGATTACCGGTAATCTTCAAGCATTGTCCATATCCCTCTTGTAACTTTGACGTCACGCGATGCGGTAGCAACATCATAGTCCGTGACAATAGCAAGAAATCTCTATGTTTTGCAGTTATTTTGAATAAAAACGTGGTATTTATAAGTAAATGGATATCGGTTTTTATGTTTTGTATATTTGAAAATCTCGTAATTCTCCACTTTCTAATTTTGTTTTTAATAAATGAAAATATAAGACATCACCCGAAAATAAGCCCTAGTTTTATTTCTTGGAAAAGAATTAAAATAAGACCCAGTCTTATTTTCGGGGAAACACGGTATGGACGTGTGCTTGATTACGTGAACCGTGGTTATGTGAATTTGTTTACGATAATATAGTCGAGTCTCGGCTTCTGTTGGCAAGTGCAGTTTCAAGTATTTATTGGCGTCTGGAGCTTCCGCACAACCATGGCCGTGTTTTCAAACCATGGCTGCTATGGCCAAACCACGGCGACTGACTTTTTAGCTGCCACAAACAAGTGGCGAGATGCCGGTACCACGGTAGCAAATTAAAAACCAATGGCGGGTGAAATTTTGCTGCCGTAACGACGGCATGTCGGCTGTAATGGTAGGTAGGGCAGCCCCAGGACTGTTTAGTTATTGGATACGTAGTGGACCTATGGCTTGCATGCTTTTTCTTGGACATCTAGTGGAAAACCTGAAATTTTGAAATTTTCAGTGGCTAAAGATGGAATTTTTCTTTAGAAGGCTATTACTTTCATTTATTTCACATATTTCAGTGAGTTCTGTAGAATTCGTTTTTTGTTTGCTATGACATCCCCAAAATTTGTCACTTTGTCTTTTGCTTTTTGTTACAGTTCTGCTGTAAACAGCCTAAATTTTGTAGCCTACCGTATATGTTTATTTTCTTGAGAGCAAATGAATTGAGTTTTTATCTGCCAAGGTAGAACCGTTCCGTTATCAAATATTAGGCCTACAGCTACAGGTACGCATATGATTTACGGGGAATTGATGGTATGGTGTTTTTTTTTCATTTTTTCTTTTGCAATTTTATTTTTTTATTCCGTTTTTATTTTATTTTTAATTTTTTTTTCCCAATTTATTCTTTTCCTTTTTTATTTTACTTTTTCAACTTTATTTCAATTTTACTAGTGACAACGATGGGCCCCCACAGAGAAGTAACTCGGATCACTTGGTGTTATAATTCACGTTGAAATTGAATGAAGGAGAATAGATCATCGCCACAGGACAAGCTATGACAGTCTCTGCATCGTCATTTGCTGATAAGTTATCGCATATGGGACGTTTTTTATGGAAAATGGTTGACTGCGGTATCTGATTGGGTACTCCCGAAGTATGTGAACCAAGAAGGCGGACACCGGAACGTAATATGTGTAACAGGTTAGGGTTAGGCCATTTTATTCCAATGTTCCTTATTTTAGTTATATTACGAGTTCGGGGACTAGCCAAGTGACTCCTGTAGTATTTGTACCCGAAATGATGGCCTAACCCTAACCTGGTACACATATTACGTTCCGGTGTCCGCCTTCTTGGTTCACATACCTACGTGTCCACATATTAGCATAGTTCTTCGTCCTATCGTTATGGAAAAATCACTCTTATCGATGACTACTGGACCAGTTGCTTTGAATTTTCAATTGGGTAAAGAATGTATATCTTGCTATATAGCTATTACCTTTTTTTTTTTTATCTCTGTGAGCTCTATGAGATTTGTTTTTTGTTTGCAATGACGTCACCAAAATGCACCTTGTGGCGGAGCGGGAACGCATATTAGTCGATCCTGTGTTGCTTGGCAAAAGTCGATGGTACGCCGCTTAGCGAATTTTGGAAGTTATTATATGGGGAACGGTAGACTGTGTGACCTGATCTGGTTATACAGAAGTGACTCGGATCAGTTGGTATTTCAATTCACATTGAAACTGAAACAACAAGAATAGATCACCACCACGTCCACAGCACTTAGAAAAGATATGACAGTCCTTGTACCGTCCTCCCATTGGTACCCCCATTTGCAGTAACTGATCAAGTAATACAGAAGCGACTCGAATCACTTAGTAATTCAATTTACGTTGAAAATGAATTATAGAGAATTGATCGTCACAGGACCTGAAAAAGCTATGACAGTCTCTGTACACGGTACCCCGATACAGGTACTGGTAAGTTACCGCATATGATTTTGGGGGAACTGGTTATGAAATACTTTGTTTAGCTCTGGGTGTCCGTTTATTTGAGCGTATCTCTCTTGTTTAATACGCTATTCAATTATTAATTTTAAAAGACTATGATCCTTTTTTTAACGGTCTAATATCCAAACGGCTTCCAATGGCGGAGCACGATTATTGGTTATGATGTCTCAACGGCAATTCTATCCAAATGTACTTCTCTTGATTTGATTTCCTGTTGAAATAAATTAGTGTTTGCCTGATCGTCTACAATTTTAGGCACGTTGGGAAATTTATGCAACCTTGTTTTAAAATCAATTATTTATTTGTATCTTCTAATTATTTACTGAAATACCCCTGTCATCGCTGCGGAACTACGCCAAAATGTTGCGTTCTGGCAGGTACACACGCTTCCAAAATGATAATTTCAGGAACGCCAGAAAAAATCCTTGCTTTCACTTTCATCGTGTAACTTTATCGTCAGGTTAGTACCTACCTACACCAAAGTCATAAGATTTCAATATGAATGTTTGACCAATATATCAGAGAAACGTTTTGAGCTAAAAAGGCATTAAAAATCACGAAACATAGCTCACGGGCTACTACTACAATTACAAAGCAATATATCAGGGGCCAGCTCACTGTCTAAATTCGATAGAACAAGTGCTTAAATACAATAATAGAGAATATACCTAGATTGGCGAAAATCTAGATAGGTTCGAATCAGGGCCGGATTTAGACGATGAAAAGTAAATTGGTGCCCAGGCTATGCTAATTGTGAGGCCCCTCCGTAACAATGATGTCACAACTAATCTGTTTAACGTCATAATATAAATTTTAAATTTATGTGTTATGACATCACAAGTGCATTTTCAAATTGCGTGAATTACAAAACTCTCGCTACAGGCCCGACATCTGAATACTCGCTTTTTGTGAGATCTAACATAGTAAAAAATATTATAATGCTTACATTCAATACAAATACCTATTATATATCGATATTTTTTTCATAAAATAAAAGCATCATTACGGTGAAAACTGTTCAGTTAATTTAAATTAGCATGCTTTGTTTTTGAGGTCAATGATATAGAGTTTTTCAAAGTTATACAAATTCATTTATTCGGCCGTATTCCAAGTTTTTAATCTTTCGAACGGTAAATATTTGGAAATATAAACCTGAATAAAAAATATGAGATCTATGAAGTTTTAAACTGACATTGTTCTGGAACAAGCGTTTCAATTAAAAAACGATTTAAAATTAATATTAGTTCAAAATTGATTCTCTAGGCTCCTGCGGTTTGATGCTCCTAGGCTGTAGTCTATCTTGCCTAATGGTATATCCGGCCCACTTTTGAATCCCATGTGAAGTGAGGTGACGTTGTCCAAGAGGATTGCTGAACTCCTCGCCATCGCAGAGTGGTTTGCAGACGCATTGCGATACAGCTTGAAAAAACGCGTATCGGTAAGTCATCGATATTTGGGGCGTTTCGAAGGGTTTATTGCATATAAGAAGAAATTGGCAAGTTTTTACATCCATTAATCTTGTTTCAGTGTCAACCTATTTAATACAAAAAAAATCAAATAATACAGAAATTTTAAGAGGCAAAAAAAAACTCGATTTGAAATAATCGTTTTAAAACAATTCATTTTGAACAAATACCAACTTGTCCAACAAATCAGCTATAAAAAAGTTCTGATTTCATACCCCCGATGCCAATTGTGGGATAATTTGAAAGTATGATCTGATCTCAATTGATTTTTACTTCGTTATTTTTTGGATTTTTCTTCCTGGTACTATTTTGAAGCTATTCTTCGAGATAATAAAAATATCCTTCGAGGCATTGAAATGCAATTATTCTGTTGGAAATAAAATGTTTTGCTTGTCCACTTCCCACTACAATTGTTCGTGATACAAAAAATACTTGGGGCGTTGGGTTTGTCTAAGTTGGTATCGCAGGTTTCAGTTTTGCGTTCCAATCTCCAATCTTTCAAACATATCGACTCTTTATTTATGGATGGCAGTTGTGTAATTTTATTTATTTATTCTTCTCAAATAAAAATTATCGCTCGATTCGATGTTGCAAGTAACAATATATTAAAATTTAATAGCTGTCATTGTACAGAAGTTCAGCAAATTGGTATGTTAAAACATTTTATTTTCAGAACCACTGTGTCTAATTGTAATTTCCCCACTTTTTCTCATTCTAATATTATATGTGGAGATTCATACCGAAGCCTTGTCTCCCGCTTGTTGGACAATTTTTTTTTTGGATGACTTATATTCTCTTCAAGTTGCATTTTTTATTATTTCAATTTTGGACTCATTTCAAATGTTGATGTCGCAGACTCATGATGACCACTTCTGGTCCTTAGGATGAAAGCCACCTGCTGTCAATTGGGATGAGATCCGTTGCTGTATTGTATAATAAGTTGTGTCTTGAATTTGTGTATGATTTCCTGCATGACAAAATAAGTGTATTGTCAAAAGATAAAAAAATTAATCGCTGCAATTGTACAGCAGGACAGCTCAATGACGTGGTGAACTAATTTTAAAACCTAAGTGAATTAATTGAATTTTCCCGACTTGTATTTATTTTCTCTCTCTTTCAAATGCTATCGTATATAAAAATTTATACCATTCCTTGTTTTGTAGGTAATTTATTGAATAGCTAAGTTTCTCATTGTATCCATTGCTTTCTTTTATCGCAATTTTTACTTTCGACTCGTCCTAAATCTAGGTGTCGCAGACTTATGATGACCATTTCTGGTCCTTCGCGACTTCCTGTCAATTGCAATGAAATCCGTTTCTATAATACATAATTTTTTTCATCTGTTGTGAATTTATGTTGTGATTTTTTGCACGACGAAATAAACGTATTGTCTATTCATCTATTGTCTACTGAGCAATTTCAAAAGATTGTACAGAAAAATCAAAAATGCTAATCAAAAAACTAATCAACCACAATCTAAGGAAGAGTCTGCTGTCTTTTTAAAACTAAACACTTCAAAAGGTATATTGAAATGGAACAAAAGACAGCATCTGAGCGTAATCTCGATGATAACTTCACGTTGATTATAAATAGCCGTATTGATTACTGTTGTTGCTGCATGACTTGGTACTAATCTGGGTTCGTTATATACCAAGTTATAAATGAACCGTCGCGATTACGTTCTCCTGTTTTGCTCGTAATTGTAGATCGACTGTATGAAGATACTTCCCCTGTAAACATCACTATTATGCGCATGTTTGACTATTTTTCTCGACCAGTATATTTTGTAGATGTATTGCAAAAAAAAATTAAAATAAAATTTCCAGACAGAAACAAGACTGTGAAGTAATTAGAATGCATAATATAAATTCGCACACAATAGTTAATATGAATTGATGAATAGTAAATAATATATGAGTTTTGGAATAAAATCAATCAATAAAATCGAAATCTTTGAAAATCCCGAATACCCCTCAAAGACGCATCTTGTAATCAAAAATATATCAATATAATTCAGTAAACTTCTAAGCAAAGAATAAAGCAATTTTATTACACTGCTTACCATTTAATCATTTTATAACCGTGTTTACAAATTTTTTATGAGCTATCCATAATTTTCCCAAATTAGGAAATTCCGATAAATCCTCTTTTTAGAGCATCGTCTTGTTCCAGTGTCATTACTTGTTTTCCAATATAATGCCCCTTTCCTGATATTTCAACAGTGAAGGCTCGGTGTTCTCCACATTTTGTTTCCTCAATAACTTTAGCAGTGAATCTGATGAAATAAAATCTGAATATTATGAACCGACCTTCCACCCCAATTCCCATTTACTTAGATTCCGTTAGTTCTTTTTATAGAGTGCAAAATAGTAAAACACTTCAGTATAGTTGGAATTTTTTTAAAGCTTACCCAACGCCACTCATGGCACTGTTGAACACTACGGATTCTCCTAATGTCAATTTCTCTTTTGCCAGAAGCGTGACGATATGTGCTGACGTACCTGATCCACACGGCCCTCTTCCCTGTATTAAATTATGAAATAAGCTCCCTATTACTCTCCCCATTGGCTCAAATTATTAGTATTGTGGTAGTACTTGTTGAAATATGGAAAGAAGTGAATTTGGATTATAGAAAATGGGTACGTGAAGTAAACAGAAGAATCAAACGTGTTGTTTTTGGCCCCACATGTCTGTTGTTGCAACTAACTCAAGTGCATTCAACTTCATAATAGTCAAAGCAACTGTAATGGTAGAAATATTTTTTCAAGAGAAAACTGTTCTTTCAAGTATTGTTATAATAGTTTTACCTCGCTGTCTCTGAATACGGGCATTTGTTTTACCACACGATCCGTTGACAAATCAGAAGTATCGACAATCAGAGTTCCAATGAAGAGAGCTAAGCCATCATTGTCCGGGTGGCTCAGCTTCACCTACAGAATAAATGTGTGAAATTATATGCAGGAAAAAGAGATTCGAATTAGAATCATCTTTACGGTACGAACGCAGTATCAAATTACCTTTTTTACAATCGCTTCATTGAGCATATGCCCGATCCTAGACGCCAATCTCAACGATTTTATATCACCAAAATTTACACCAATATCCTCTGCTGATACGATGGCATAGAAGCCTCCTCCAAAAGCGACATCCACATTTATAACTCCAATTTCGTCCAAATTTATTTCAATATCTCAATGATAATGTGATAGCTTAATGAGTTCTCAGTTACTTCACGTATGGTGTAAACTTCTTTTGCAACAGTAAATTTATAATACAACCTTTATTAATAAGGTTGTTGTATTCAACTCTTCAACACGCAAGCTTTTTATTTTATAGGATGCATTGGGACATAAATGTGAAACAAAGGAGTGTATATTATCCAGACATGGGTTTATTACTGCGTTTTCACTCAGCTTGCACCATACCGTACTTTCGTAACCATAAATAAATCAAACGTCTGCTCTGCCTTTACTGAAAATATGTCCAGTAGTATTCAGAAACTAACCTGTTCCGAATACAAAGGATGGAACGCTTCGCAAGGTTGCATTTCCTGATATTCCATTTTTGTATTTGACAGAAATTGGTACCAAGCCACATGGGCATTGTATCGCTATAGAGGTTTCTGGTTCTGTTGGTTTTACAAGTCCATTATCAATACAATACCTGAATTTTTGTAGAAAATAATTGGTGTAAAAAAGGATAGTTTTCAAAGGCATTGATGAAAAGATGTACGCACATAAGTTTCCTTCTTTTCTAATTTGATTGATTGTAAGCAATACTATTTTAAATAGTTGGAGCAGAATTATATAACATATTTAAACCTTCCAAAAGCCAGAGTTGCTTCGCCACACATGGTTAAACATCCTTCTTTTTCATAAAATAAAATTGCTACGTCCGCTTTTGGATTGTCAGGTTTTACCCGCAACACAGAAACAGCGTGATGTCCACGAGGCTCATATGACATAAACCTATAAAACAAAAGAAAACGTATCACAACAAGTGGTAGCCGTTTGATTTTGTTTTGGTTACAATCAAACACTTTTGGGGTAGGGGAGAGTTATTTTCTTGAGGAAAATCGAGTCACATTTTAACATTAATAACTTGTGATCAATTCAAGCATCAATCGAATTATCTGGACAGGCATCATACAAAAATTGACCGAGACAGCCTCTATTTTAACTTGCCAAAACGAGGGCCGAGTCGATTGTCATGACGCTAGTTAAGTCAGTTATATGAAAATTGGTATCTAGGTACGCCGAACTGACGATTTACAATATAGACCATAGGTGGGTAAGGTTTTCGAACCAGGGGCCAAAAAATGTGTACGACTAGACTGGCGGGCCATGTTATCGTGACGTAAAAAGTTACATTTTATTAACAATATTTACAGTGTTAAAAAAGCAAAAGTGAAAAACAATAAGCCTCCTGCCAAAACTAAATTTAATTGCAATTTTAACAAATTCCTTGAGCCTTTCCTTTTAGCTAAAACATAAAAATTTGGTTTTAGTATGTTTGTGGTAGCATCAGGTGGTCAGACTGAATTACCCAACGGGCTGGATTTGGCCCACGGGCTGTAGTTTGTCCATTATATAGACTAATAAGTTGGCGCACAAGGAAATATACCCCGTGTCAAACGCGAATTTGCGCAGTCTATTGCTACTGTTTTTTCTCGTATTGAACTTCTCTTGATAAGGAACTAACATATTTGTTTCAAAAAAGTATTATTAGAATAAATGATACTTTGTAAAATCAGTATATTTATCTTGATCACTAAATATATATAGAATGAAATAACTAGTTACTTCTAAATAAACTTAAATTTATACAGTAATGGGCAGAGTACTCAATTGTCGACGATACAACAATTTGGTTTATATCATACTCACTTTATAATATGAGAAAATTTGTTCTCTAAATTATTCATTTTATCCAAAATAGTTCTGCCAGGTATATCCGGTACACCATTTTCGACTATTTTAATTGGAGTACCATATGTATGCATTTCACATGTTGTTATTTTCAAATTATCGACAGCGGTGTCTTTTGATGAATCCATCATTGTCACTAATCTTTCTTAATGCTTGATGATATTGAATATGGTCATAAAAATATAATGAATACAACAAATCTGAATCATAAATAATCATCTGCATCAAACATAACTGTAGCGTCTATCATTTGGAACATATTGTAATTGAATCTAACTACATATACCGCCATGCTCATGTGTCCGTAAGGACAATTGCATCTAAATATATTTGCACAGTCATACAGTTGAATCCCAGGAGCATTTACGCCCATTGCCATTAAGCGCGAATGATCATAGAACGCTTGAACGATCATAGAACGCATGAATAGAATGGCGTGATAGGTGTCGATTCATCTCTTTCGGTGCAAACAAAATTATTTTGTTTAATCTCCATTGTTAACATCAACTTTTGTGAATTTATACCAGAATCATGGACGATCCCGTAGTGTGTGCACCAAGATGGCAGACACTAGAATGTAGTATGTGTACCAGGTTAGAGTCAGGACATAATTTTATTATAATTCTCCTTATTTTAGTTCTATTCCGAGTTTGGGGACCAGCCAAATGACCCCATAGTATTTGTACACTTGAAATAGTTGCCTAACCCTAGTCTGGTACATATACTACGTTCCGGTGTCCACCATCTAGGTTCGTATACTACATGAGTACCGAATCATGTACTCAAACACTACACATATACGAATGTCAAAGTGGATTTTTATGTTCACGCCACCAGTCAGGCGAAACCAGCCTGATAACAGCTCAAAACCACCTTTAGTTAGGTTTTACGTTTATATCACTCGTCGTAGGTACAAATGTTCGTTAGCCGTTGGTGCAAATTTTCAAAGAAGTGTAGAGCAAAAAATGATGGATTTTCCAGCTTCTGAATACAAGTGTCCTATCACATCGCAAGCGTTGATCATTATGACCGAGTCACCGAGCAAAACAATCGTAGTTGATTCTATATCAGGGATGGCGAACCACTGACCCGTGGGTCACAAAGTGACCCACCGCGTTTTATTTGTGACCCGCCAAGCGATAAAAATTGATAAAACCGGCTTTAAATTAATCTAACAATAACTAAGCTATTATAATGTACCGTCAGTTGGACAGTCAGGGAGGGCTGCGATCTCTCATGTTCAAAATGTTGATTTTCGGGCCGGTATGGTAATTTTCAAAACCCCTAATCTTGTACGCATGTATGCACCGCTTTGTACCGTTATTCAGCTATTGGGCCTGACATCGTTTATGACATAACAGTGCAATTGGTCTGTCCATTTCTCGCAACGCCTTTCTTTTTTTGGAAGTGCATCTGCAAACTGTTTTAGGGGTTATACGAGAACTAGATGCTACTTTGCATTTTATTAGTTTCTCGCCTATAATGCCCTTGTGAAAACAAAAACTTTCAGACTTGAAATAAAAATCTAGAAATCTGATATAACAATGGGGCAGTGTAAACGTGGCTTAATGTGGTTGGAAGCTGATCGAAAATTATAACACTATCAAAGCGGAATTACCTCCAAACACTAGAAACGCATTATCCTAAACGTTTTTGGTAATTCATGTGCGTTATTTTCGTACTCTAATATCATAAAACCGAGTGCCATAAAAGTTCCTGATAGAAGTGCTGCATAAGTAAAGCCCAAAACTACACCAACACCAGCTTATAAGGTTCGTTTCAGGAGTTTCTTATAGATACAAACGTGAATTAAATACCTGTGACCCACTCTCTTCTGTTCCGTAATAAAATTATAATTTTTGACCCATTCATTGAAAAAGGTTCGCCATCCCTGTCTTATATCATAGATACTCAAATACTATTCAAAGACTAATAACATCAGAGTCAATACGGCATCCGTATTTTGTAAAGGCCAGCTTTTTCAACTTCATATCATATTTGCAGGAATTTAGACGGACCGCCTCAATAAGACACAATTAAAATTGAAAACTCCTAAATAAATTCCCTATATAATCTGATTCCCTACTACTCAGTAACTGGTAATGCTGCAAATACTATTAACGCCACCTTTGGTGAATCATTGACTTTTTGTTTGCATTAAACATGCGTTTAAAAATAGAGTCTTTTAATACTTGGTATTTCTTATTAGATGGATATTGTCAGACCTGTGGATACTGTGCTCATTGATGATTAAAGGCAATATTCAAGACAATATTTGCGTGTTTGGTCCACTGTAAAACATTGTAACTCAAAAACAATTGAACCGTTACGACGATGGTTCAAGACAAACAAACCAGGACACTTTTCCAGTAGAGAATAATAGTAAGTAAACCAAGCACGGAAGAGTATACTGTATGACTCAGTGTGGAACTTGGTCTATATACTAGACGCAATTCGTCAAACCAATAATTCCTACTGGGCCGGTGTATCGCGCATCAACGATTTCATCTTTTCTTGGTCATTACCTGTATTTACTCTCTCATAATCATATACCTATTGATTCAGTCTGCCTCATACATTTTGCTTGAAGTATCCATAGCAACGACACAATTAAACAAACGTAGGCTCCACCGTGCGGTTATATATAATGCGAGGTGTTTATTATGAAAAATAAGGTATTTAAAAAAACATCTTCGCGTTGATTTCGAGCGATGGAGGAGTAAGAGAGTGGTACTAAAGTGTGGTAGACCTCTGATTGAAGACATATATATATAAATATAGGACATCATGGTCTCACGTGCTCAGGGCGCCCAACGGGCATCCGGTTCGGTTCCGTGATAAATCAAACTGCTAGATTTAATAGACGAATATTTCCAACCGATTCGATATTCACAACACTCAAAATTTTTGAAAAACAAGAAAGAATTTTTGAATACCACATAACATAAATCACTAAACGCATGACAACATCTATATAAGTATCTCGATACAATCATTTCAACGTGTACACAAGTGGACAGCTACATTGTGAATCGGAAGCGCAGAATTTAGATAAAAGTGAATTATGCCGAGTTTTCGGCGTTGAAGAAGACTTTCATAGGCAATAATAGTATGTACACTTTTTGTGATTGCTCTGAACGGACTTTTAAATATAAATAGCCATATATTGAAGTATGGAAAATCATAAAATATTTCGTCGAGTCTGACAATCCACATCACAATGCAAGAGACTATAGCAATAAATTTGGTAATTTTCAAACCTGAAAAATAGCGAGTTCGAAGCACGATGACATACGATAAATACGATGTAAATAAGCAATTTTGCTTCAACTAATATAGGGAGGGCTCTACCTTCAAAAACAGAAGTGATATAATATTTATTAAGTGATGTAATACACTGTAAAATAAACAATTCATATTAAAATACCCAACACGAATTCGAAAGTGAAATTGCTTTCTTTCACAACTTTTTGTCCAAATGTTTTATCGAGCTTACATGTGGACCCAGAAGGTGTCGATCCACCCACACGTTGGGACAATGGGTCCTATTGCGCCCCAGAAAATTCTTGAAACGCATTATGCCCCTATAGTAAAGTGTATATCAAAGAATGAATAAAAACAGATATAGCACATTAGATGGGAAAATAAAACATTTTTTACAACTTCAGTGCAAACATAAAAAATAGCGTGCATTATAAATGATATTTTAGCAATAATGTCATCAGAAAATGTCTTGTTCCTAGACTATGGAGGGCAATTTGCAACATGATTTCTGTAATTACATCAATATTTACTGTTATCATTCAAGGTGATTTTCACAAATTGGACAAACAAGTATACTACATGGTAATGTTTAATTTTTAGTGCCAAATAAATTGGGAACATGGACACCGCGTACAGTTTAGTAAAGCTTTGGGTATGATATTATCAGAAAATAGTCTGTCATGGGAAGTACGAAGAGCGATTGATGCAAAAATTGGCAAAAGGCATGACCCATTATAGTTTATAGATAGTTTATTACAAAATATTTCTTCATTTTTGAATGAATTGTAACTATTTTAGGCAATGAAATGGGACTTCATTAATAATGCTAGCATGAATACATAAAAAGAATGTTGTCACCAAATATTTTTCACATGCACCCTATAAATTTTAATACATTTGAATTTGTTGTTACACGAAAAAATTAGGAGATTTAACAAATCAGATGGAAGAATGCAACCAGCCATTAGTCACTTTCAAATACGAATGATCTTCTTTAAGAGACATATGACATCGGGTGAAAAATACGAAATATTCACTACAACATACGTTAAGAAATATTAGCAATAAAAATAAAATCAGTGCTCGCTATGAAAAAAATTTGGTCGCGTGAGATGTAGGGAGCGAAGCACAGTTGGAAGCAAATTGGAAAATTTTGGAAAATTTTTTGCAAATTTAAATTTGGAAAACGCTTCATTTGTCATTCAGATTCAAAATTATAATAGAAGGCACCGACATCCAGTATAATGTAAAATTTATCTAGTTAAAAATGGAAGGATGTTTTTAATTGATCATATCATTACCGGATTCTGTCACTAGATTTTATACCAGTATTAGCCAAACAAATATTGCCTAATAATGATTTCGATGATGTGTTTTCCTTTCCTTCCAGGGCCCAACCAATTCCCAGAACCCCCAACCCTTGTTTATGTATGTTATGTTTGTCATGTTTTAATGAAAGTTGAAACTGCCAAGGATAAGAAGCTGCAGAAGAAAAAAAAACATGCCGGCCTGGTTTGATGTAAAAATGTGATGTGTTGATTATGAAATTGTATATATAAGCATCGACAATCATGAATAGACAACAATGAGAAAATAACGAGAATATCGGTTGGAAACCGAGGACTTATCGATCGATAGTTAGGGGATCCCCCAAAACAGAAACTGCAGTTTGATTCATCCGCTCTTGTAACTTGCGCACTGCGCATCGCACACACACACTCGGCGGGTTTCAAAATTCTCTCGCTTTACAAAAATCTAGATCACTATATCAATAATTGATTGATAACTCGCTAATTATACGACATAATTCGCCCAAAATCAATAGGCTTCTGGTCCGAGATAAGATGAATGCACATGCAAAATCTGGAGCAGATTCAATCTCGCTTTCGTGACATATCGCGTGCATCTAACAGACACACAGACACACAGACAGACAGACAGACATACATACAAATACCTATCAATATACTTACCGATCTTAAGATCGATAAGTAATGAACCGTTTTTTATGATGGTATACTTTGAATGCCAAATCGTAATTAATTGAAACTATGAACTATTAGTTTAAATGTATAATTTGCAGCAATTTTCTCCTTTAAATCAAAATTAAGTATCATAACATTG